TGGTCCAATGTATATCGTGTGCGTTCTTGAAAGTAGAAACTGGAGCAATATCCCTGATTCTGGGATGCGTAAAATGTACCCTATTCTGCGTCTTTGCCAAAATTGTGAAACTCTTTTCACTGAGAATATTCAAGCTTGAGCAGGAATTTTTGATACCAATTCATGTTAGAACCATTATTTTTCTTAAACTTATGAATAGGCAAGTTAAAAAGCAGAGTTCACTAAATTTGATTTCAACAACGATCTCTTGTGGTTCTTGACATACATATTAACGAAATCAGACATCTGTAAAACTATAACTGCATTACATTGCTTACTTTTTATGAAGAAATGAAAAAGTTGTGTCCCTGCAATGAGTACATGCTAGCAAAGACTTAAACAAAGACTTCAATTTCTTATCTAGGATTAGAAGAATATACAAGACTAGACGTACTGCAAAATTTGTTGTACTTCAATATGCCATTGATATATCTAAAAAGTTATCTGCAACATCATATCAGTAAATTCCTGCCCTTTTTGTATTTCCTCTGACTGATTAAGAATGCAACCCAATTTTCAAGATTCTATGACCCAGAATTCTAGCTTTTTTCGAGTTTTTCGGAACTCACACGTAATACGTTTTACCAACAGACTGAGCCACCCGGGATCAAGTTTAAGGAGAGTTAAAAACTTGTTTCGTTCATAAGACTGACGACATAAACTTAATCAATGTTGCAAATTATGTTTGCTATGACAGTGAAGAATGTGCCCGCACCTTCAGCCGATTGCGTGAAGATGACTTAACCATAAAATTTTTTAGCTTTTAAAAATAAATTCCATGGAGGCGAACAAATTTGTGTTTAAGTGGGGATGTTGCGAATACCAAGGGGGACGAAATTGTTTAAATAAGAAAGTAAGAAAATAAATATCATTATTATGTCCAACGTGTGTCATAATTTTTATAATTGTCTAAATTACCGTGAAATTTGTACCATTTTTGGCACTTACTAATGTTTCGGAAAAAATATTTGTGCCCTTTTTATTCGTTTTGGCCCCCCCCCTGTTCAAAACTGCGTCCGGCGGCCCTGTATTAGGGGCAAACATCCCAAAATGCAATACCTGCCTATTTAACAAATGTTTCAAAAGTCCCATCTTGCCAAACCAGAGAAAGTCATACTCGCGTGCTCTAATATTTGGCCTTAGTTATTTTTGGATTCGCTGTACTTAAGCATGTCAAAGGTCTTTTAACCATCTGTGAAACGATATTAGCCAATCTATAAGCGTGATGTAGTCTGCGCCCCAGTCCACAAAAGCTTCAATACTTATGGACTGTGCAATATTGATAAATATTCTGTCCAGACAGAGGGCTGGGTCTAGTTTATGAAAATAATTTATGCAATGAAACCATTGAAATTTTGCATGAAAAATCTTCGAAAAAATACTCAATGAAACCAAACAGGAGGTAGATAAGATGGGGCATGAAGAATTTAAAGTTTTACAAGGCTGGATCCGTTGACAATTTCAGCTAATTGCATAATTTTGAAGGGTTGAATAAATTACCACCAGCTCCTGGTGGAAACTATGGACAGGATAAACACCAATATTGCACAGTCCATAAATGTAGCAGCATTTCAATTTCATGAAATTGAATTGAAATGATTTGAATTGAAAATTAAATATTAAAATGGTGCCTTATTGTAGGTAATGTTTACAGATGGTATTTACCAATATGCGAAAAGCCTCGATTATATCAATCAAAACATTCGGTGGCGCTGGCTGGAGCTTTTTCAAATGCAATGACTGCACTAAGTATGTTGCTCAATTTACCATACGGAGGCTCCTCCGGTGAAAAATGGTTCATCATGCTAAAAAGGGTAAAGAAAAAGAGTGAACTAAGGTCCACAATGTCACAGTAGTGCGTTTTTGCCTTATGTTTAATGGCAGCAGATTTTGATGTCCTGGGAGTTTTAAACACCAATAAAATAACATCGAAAAGTTTTCAGCACTTAAGTAAAGACGAAAGACATTAGCGTTATGAACCAAGTGGCAAGGGTAGTTTTATTGGGAATGTACTGCAACGCTAAATGGATACAAGTTTATTTGTGTCTTATAGTTTTTATCTATCAAACTTTTTAGTGAATTTTAACCTGGTTGGTAATGATGATGTTTAGCCAAGGACTATGCGTGTGACACAAACTTTTTGTATTTTTCAAGGGGCCCCAATCAACTTTAGGCCCAGGACCCCAACAGATGTAAATGCGGTCCTGACTACCCCTATCATAGGGGAAATGCTCCCTAAGAATTTTTGAAAAGGATGGTTGCTAAAATAGCTCTGCTGGCTAAACTGCTCTTGTAGCAGCGGTGTAGATAGAGGGGGGCCAGAAGGGGTAAAATCCCCTTGTAGAGCTAAGCTGCTATTTTGTCGGAAAACTTCTTGTCCTGTCGGAAATTTACCATGGTTGTCTATTTTTCATTTAATTGCTATATTTTGATAGGAAGATTTTGAAGCTAAATAAACTTAAGAATATCAAACAAATATAGATTCTTGTTAGATTTTTGTCAGAAAATCTAAGTTTCTCACCCCGACTATGAATTCTCCTATTAAGAAGATTGTGCCATTGTCTGGTAACTATTACTTCTGTTTGTTATTTGATATAAATTAAGCATAACTGAATCTTAACACAATAATGCAAAAAATGAAAATTTCTCAGACATTTTGAAAGTCTTATAAAAATGGTGAACATTTAATTCGTTACCTCAATAAGATCACAACCGACACACTATTGCAAATAGAAGTGCCAGCCATAATGTAAGTCTGTACGATATACATATTGCTGTTTGTTGCTCTGTTGCAATCACAATTTTTGGTTACATTCAGAAGCTTTTCAACTTCTTTAGCCCAAGCCCATAAAGATGAGAAATTCTTCAAAAAAATATCTTAAACACTCAGGCAATCAAAAACTCAAACTGCTTCTACCTTACTTCATTCATACACTTTTGTCATTATTGTCTCTATTAATGACAGTTTGTGATAATGGAGAGATTTGATCACTAGTTAGAAATTCTGGGTTGTTATTTATGGGCCTCTATAGCCAAGGGCCCCGGACCAGTGAGCCCCTTGACCCCCTTCTCCTCAGCATTGGAAGCAATTGTACCTACAATAAGGTAAATCAACCATGTGACTTCACCATTAATGCAGTTGATTTTGATAGAGAATGTACCAAAACTAAAATCAGGACCTTACCATTTCTCATATATGTTATTATAAGTGCAGCTTACTTATTATCCTGTCATTACCTGGACCCAAAATCTGTATAAAAGTTTCTATATTTGTGTTTGCGAAATCCGTACCTTAGCAAAACCTTGGTAACTATTATGTTGGTAACTATTCTGGAAGATTACATATGCGGTTGGCTCTTCCCACCAGCGGCTGAACCGATAAACAATATTAATAATTTAGAAATCTGACAACTGACAACTTCAAACTACAGACCAATGTTTCTCCTGTCTGTCTTCAGCAAAGTCATAGAGAAATTGATGTATAAAAGATTATTTAATTTTTTGGAAGTATATAAAATCTTGTATAATCTTCAGTTTGGTTTTCGAGCTGATCATTCTGTTAACCATGCATTAATCAGTTTGACAGAATCAATCAAGAATTCTCTGGATAATAAGAAATTTGGATGTGGAATCTTCCTTGACTTACAAAAAGCCTTTGATACTGTTAATCATCAGATTCTTCTTAACAAACTTCATCATTATGGCATTCGAGGCACAGCTTTAGCATGGTTTACTTCTAACCTTAGTAACAGAAGTCAGTATGTTTCAGTAAATGGCTACAACTCCAGTCATCGCAATATTACTTGTGGTGTACCGCAAGGCTCTGTCCTTGGTCCACTTCTGTTTCTAATTTACATAAATGATCTTCCCAGCTCATCTTCCAAACTATCTTTCTATCTCTTTGCTGATGATACAAACATTAACTTTGAATCAGACAGCCTAAATACTCTTCAAAAAATGGTCAACAAGGAGCTTAGACATGTCAAAATGGCTAGATGCTAATAAACGTGCCTTGAATGTAGATAAAACAAATGTTGTCATTTTTCACTCACCTCAAAACCCTTTCGAATCACAGTATCAATATAAAAATTGGTAATCAGTGTGTAAAACAGGCTAAATATGTCAAATTCTTTGTTCTCTTTTTGGATGAAAATTTAAGTTGGAAATATCATATAAGCGAACTTTCCAAAAAGCTATCAAGAACTTGTGGTATATTTTTCAAAGTAAGGCATCTTTTACCTACTAGTGTCTTAATCTCTTTATATAACTCTTTATTTTCCTCATTTCTCCAGTATGGAGTCATTGTCTGGGGTCTTACTCGTGAAGTGCATACAAAGCCAATCTATCTTCTGCAGAAGAAGGTGGTTAGAGCTATTGCCTTCAAGAGGTTCTCATCTCTATCTACGCCAAATTCCTAAACTGAATGATTTGTTTGAGTTAAAGCTGCTTACATTTGTTTATGAATCTGTGAACATGGTTTCTCCTGTCCTTTATCACAATTTTTTTGCAACTTTGACATCTGTTCATCACTATGATACAAGACAAGCTTCCAAAGGTGATATTTTTATGACTCAAGAAAATACTCTGCAATATGGTTTACGATCAGTTAGATATGCAGGTGCCAAGTCCTGGAACAACATTCCCTGCGTCATCAAACAATCTACTACAGTTACAAATTTTCGCCGGAAACTAAAATTGCATCTGTTCTCCACCAGATACCAACTATAGAATCTTTTGTAACCTCTTCTCAAGACAAAAGATGCTCTGTGTGGGGGTGTGGGATGATGGGGATGGCTGTCGGGCAGTCTTTGCTATTTTTATTTCGGAGGGAGCAGAGGATGTGTGGCAGTTGTTCTCGTTGGTCCTATGGCCCCCTCCTGGGCAGCCTGTGGTGTAAATACTAAATTAATTGATTGTTACCACAGGGGGTGCCCTCTCCTCGATTAGTCTATCTATTGAGAGAGCTCCTCCTTTGAGAAATTCCTGCATGCAAATCTCCTTTGTTTTTGTAAAATCATCTATATTTTTTTCTTGTTCTCTATTTCTCTCATTGTATGTAATTTCTTTCATCTTTTATAACCTGCAGCTGTATTTTAAAAGATTTGTATGTATGGATTTAAAAATAAAATGAACTGAACTGAACTGAACAAAAATATTGTTGTGCTAATTGATGGCGGCAAAATGGGAATTAGGTCAATTCCAAATCAAAGTTAACAAGATCGGAAGATCCTACATATCACACATGGCTCGTTATCAATTAAGCGGCCCCTAAAAATTTTGTGTTCTTCGATAAATTTTGCTTCTATTCAGTAAAAAGCACATTTTGGTGGTCAGTAGTAACAAACTAATGCAATAATTTACTTTGTTCACTTTACTATCTTCTTTACCTTGAAGTTAAAAGCTGATTTTCTTAATTTCCCGTAATTTTCCAGTCACCTTAAGGGTGCCGCACAAAAATCCAATCACTACCTCTACCCTAACCCTTGCGGTTTTAAATCAAAAATTCAATTTGAAAGATGTTTTCTGGCAGTTACAGCGGTCATTGCTTTGTTCCAAATCCCAGATCTGAATTTACAAGGAAATATGTTTATCTTGATGTAGTTCTTCTGTTGATACTTTCATGTCAATTTTTTATTGCTAAACTGTGTATCATTTATTTCTCTTCTCTATTTTATTCGGTTACCTCATTTAATGTGAAATAGCCTTGATCCTACTCACTCATTGCACTCACTGCATATATTCAAAAAATCTTGCAAGAACATTTCTTTTTATGTCAACGTCAAAATACAAAAAACTGTGATGAAAGAGAGCTTGAACCATTGCCTCGTATTTACTTTGCTCAAAATCTATTTTAGATGCAGTTTCTGGCATCCCTGGAATACATTATTTTATCAGCCCTGAATAAATTTTATATATTCTTTTTCTCTCTGTAATCCTTAGATTGCTCAATAATATCGACAACTGTGATATTATTTGTCAAGACATTTCTTCACTACATTTTCCTTGTTCGATATTTGTAGATAACATCATGATGCTTAAGTTATATAACATGTCCCAAGCGTTGATTGCTGGTTGGTAAACAGTTTGGTCAATAGCTGCAAATATGTAGAAGTTATATTGACTAAAAACATAAGTATTTGTTCTTTTTCTCCAAAAATCTCAATGATTTATTTTTCAAATACCCCTAATCAGGCTTTTTTAATCCCTAGCTTGCTCAATAATATCGACAACTGTGATATTATTTATCAAGACATTTCTTCACTACATTTTCCTTGTCTCGATATTTGTAGATAATATCATGATGCTTAAGTTATATAACATGACCCAAGCGTTGATTGCTGGTTGGTAAACAGTTTGGTCAATAGCTGCAAATATGTAGAAGTTATATTGACTAAAAACAGAAGTATTTGTTCTTTTTCTCCAAAAATCTCAACGATTTATATTTCAAATACCCCTAATCAGGCTTTTGTAATCCTTAGCTTGCTCAATAATATCGACAACTGTGATATTATCCATCAAAACATCATTTCTTCACTACATTTTCCTTGTCTCGATATTTGTAGATAATAATGACCCAAGCGCTAATTGTTGGTTGGTAAACAGTTTGATCAATAGCTGCAAATATGTAGAAATTACTTTTACCTGTGGAATTTGGCTAAATAAGAGTAACAATCCTAGCGATCATGAATAATTCATAATGGTTACTATGGAGTTTCTAAGGCAAAGAAATCTATAAATCAAAGTTACAGCGGTGATAAGTTACCAGAGTCATTGACAACTTCAGCCTCCCCAGTGTCAAGTGCTCAAATCACCTTGGAAAATGCAATCAAAAAGATGTTTTGTAACTGTCGCAGCTCTAGTCTGTATTTTGATCCGTGCAAAATCACAAAGCATCGCAATACACCGTTCGTCGTGCAGGAGAGATGTTCTAATGAAAGCAACGGACCGTGATAAAAAATTGACTGGCACTGCGCAAAATATCATATTGGAGATCTACGCCAACAAGCTTTCACTTTGCGCAAAGAGGTGCACAGGGGCAGAGAAGTGTATGACGATCAATTACAAGAAGTTTCCTGCCTCTTTGCAAGAGAATAATTGCCAATTACTGGATATTTCGAAAGCAAATCAGAGCGTATCATTGACAAATGCAACTGGGTGGATTCACTATGAACCAGTAGCGCAGGTACTAGTTTCAATATGACACAATATGTTAATGTAATGTAAAGAAAATAAAGAAATGGTGATAATTATATTAAAGAAAACATTTTGGTAAGATTGAATACATAATGCTCTGCTCTGCTCTGCTCTGCTCTGCTCTGCTCTGCTCTGCTCTGCTCTGCTCTGCTCTGCTCTGCTCTGCTCTGCTCTGCTCTGCTCTGCTCTGCTCTGCTCTGCTCTGCTCTGCTCTGCGCTGCTCTGCTCTGCTCTGCTCTGCTCTGCTCTGCTCTGCTCTGCTCTGCTCTGCTCTGCTCTGCTCTGCTCTGCTCTGCTCTGCTCTGCTCTGCTCTGCTCTGCTCTGCTCTGCTCTGCTCGCTGCTCTGCTCTGCTCTGCTCTGCAAGGCTCTGCTCTGCTCTGCTCTGCTCTGCTCTGCTCTGCTCTGCTCTGCTCTGCTCTGCTCTGCTCTGCTCTGCTCTGCTCTGCTCTGCTCTGTTCTGCACTGCTCTGCTCTGCTCTGCTCTGCTCTGCTCTGCTCTGCTCTGCTCTGCTCTGCTCTGCTCTGCTCTGCTCTGCTCTGCTCTGCTCTGCTCTGCTCTGCTCTGCTCTGCTCTGCGCTGCTCTGCTCTGCTCTGCTCTGCTCTGCTCTGCTCTGCTCTGCTCTGCTCTGCTCTGCTCTGCTCTGCTCTGCTCTGCTCTGCTCTGCTCTGCTCTGCTCTGCTCTGCTCTGCTCTGCTACAAAGTAACCAAAGTCTTTCTAAATCGAGCTCCCTTTTCATTTTCTTTAAGGTTGGACCACGTTGCCGAGTATATAACTGTAATCCTGGCTACCAGTGCATCGAGTCGTGCTCAAAATTAGAGGGAATCGAGTGCATTGGTTTGTATACATTTTAATCCTTCAAGAAATTCTACTGTTACAAGGTCTTATATTAATCGACTCAAACATTGACTTCAAGGCACTTTGGTTCTATAGCTTTTGAACTGATTATGTTGACATGCTTCCATGCTAAATTGACTGAGAAACTTGTTCGAAGTGTGACACACTTTTTTGAAAATACCATGGTCAAGCTTGATACACTATTATAAATGCAAGAGCTTCGACCAATCGCAGCTACATTCAATTGTTTATTGTTGTTTCTTTAAGAATGTTGCACTTTTATAAAAAACCTTTTCGCGCCACGTTTTCTCAAGCTATAACTCATGACAAATTTCTTTTTCAAAAAGTATTCGTGCAGACTAGGCCTAATTAGGTTTTTGAATACAGCCTGGTGCAACAGTTCTAGAAAAAGCAAATTTTAAATTTTTTCTTTTTATTGCTAATTTATTTATGTTCCTAATCTTTTCGTTATAAAAGAATTTGCAAGCCGCCCATGTCAAAATGGTGGCACATGTGTTGTTGAGTCAAACAATACACTTGCACTTGCGCAGCAGGATATGAAGGAACACTGTGCCAGACAAGCAAGAAATTATCGAAAATTGTAGAATATCTCCCTTTTGCATAACATCTACTTATAAAAATAACCTTAGCTGTTTGTGATGATTACCTGCGTGATCTCTTCAGATATTGATGAATGTGGAAGCAGCCCGTGTCAAAATGGTGGCACATGTGTTGATGGAATCAACCAGTACACTTGCACTTGCGCAGCAGGATATGAAGGAACACTGTGCCAGACAAGTAAGATATTGTCGGAAATTGTAGAATATCTCTCTTTCCCTCTTATTACATCTACTTGTCAACATTGCCTTGATTATTCGTGCTATTTGATATTCTAATCTCTCTTCAGATATTGATGAATGTAGAAGCAGCCCGTGTCAAAATCGTGGCACATGTGTTGATGGAGTCAACCAATACACTTGCACTTGCGCAGCAGGATATGAAGGAACGCTGTGCAAGACAAGTAAGAAATTATCAAAATAGTGAATCACACTTTATGACTGATTCATTCATTTCTATTGGCCCATGGGTGTAAACTTAGTCACCCGTGAGTGTCAATAAATCTAGTCTCCTTCAATTCATGTATCTTGATATTTTCCATTTGCATGAAAACAATTTTTTTATGCTCATTGCTAGACCATTCTTCTTCCTAAGTGATTCTTCTTGCTCTCGTATCCGCACATATAATAACGTTTTTACTTAAATTTTCTGATATATTTTCTTATATTTACTTATATTTTATTGAATTCCTCCCTCTGCCATTTTCTTATTCAAACCACAATGTTTCAGTTCGTAAATGTTTTTGAAACACAAATGATAGAGCTTTTGATTAAACATTTATTCGAAGGAAAGGGGGTCGCAAATTGACAACAGCTATGTAAAGTAGAAAATTGTAAAAAATTGCATTAAGATGCATTAATTTTTGTCCTGGATTGTAGGTTTCTTTCCAAACAATCTTTCTGGAGTCAACTATATTTTGATTCTTTCGAATCTTGAGAAAACCAATTATTGTATCGAGATGGCAACAATGTCAGAAGATACTTTATTCGTTTGCCTATGCATTCGTTAGGTTGATACAATCATTTCAACCCCTCTCCTCACTGTGCTGAGCACAACTTACTACGTTTTGTTTTGAGATGTACTATAATTAACTATTCTCACTCGATCTTTGCAGCAATGAATGAAATTTACAAAAATATTACTTTTACAAGCCCATATCCCTATGTTTTTCTTTCCTGTGCACTTCCCGAGTTCGAGAAATTCCAATCGAACTTAACTGAGTCTCCTCCAATTAGGATTTCTTCCCACAAACAGTGTCTGGTAGGCCCTGTCATAACACAAGACATCAAATGAGGTGCTATTTTAGACAGAGCGCCTTGAAATCTTAGCTAAATGTCACAAGGTTTTGAAAGAAGGAGAAGGAAACATTGAAATATGGCCTTTCTAATTGACTAAAGTGGAATGATTGATTGGTAGGAGGGCTGAAAACGGGAAAGGCCAGAGAATCAAGTCCTCCAACTGAATTTTTTTGTAAAACAAGAAAGCTTTGATGCAAAATCTTTTCTACAAGTCTTCATTTTTCCTTGCTTCTCTCCAACTTACCAACTTGCGTCGGAATCTACCTAACTTTCAAATTTTTCAGCATCTGTCGCCAGCTGCAGAGCATTGTATCTTCAAGGACACAGAGCTGATGGTGTCTACCTGATACGAGGTGTTTCTGGTTCAACATTTAATGTGAGTTTCGTTTTAGGATTAATGCTTGATTTATAAAGGATATCACTGGTCTTGCGACTCTCTCATTTGCAGTCTTAGTCACAATGGTATGGGGGAAGGAAAGAAAGCTTTTTAGCCCCACCCTTTGGCCATTTACTGCCGGGAAACCTTTTTATCAATGGAGGGCGATTATACTTTAGCAGGAAGAGCACATGTACCCAAAAGGAATCATTTGATGTGAGTTTCGTTTTAGGATTAATGCTTGATTTATAAGGCATATCACTGGACTTGTGATTCTTTCATTTGCAGCCTCAGCCAAAATGGTGCAGGGAGGGAATGAAAGTTGCTGCGCCTTACCCTTTGGCCATTTACTGTCAGGAAACCTTTTCATCAATGGAGGATGATTATATATTAGCAGGAAAAGCACATAAACCAAATGGAACGCTAGTGTTATCAACTGGGAAATTACTCGAAAAATGAAAAATTTCTTCTTAAGTTGTGATTACAAGAGTTTCAGATTCATAAAAGACAGACAAGGAAGTATTTAGTCCAAAATACCACTTGCACGACCTTATGGCACCGAATTCAGGAGAATACTGAAGTCGATCCTTGATGGAAAATCGGGGCTGCCTTGCCTTTTATACCCCTTTCTAGCGCTGCTATGCCCCCTTCTGGCACTGTTTAGGGTAGGTGGTGCTGTGTGGAAAAGCAATTGCCACCAACTAAATCCATGGAGAAATATTGCTCCTCTTTAGTCTGAAGTCTAAAGACTGCAGAACTCATAAATAATTTTTTTTTCCAAAAACATTTATTAGGTTTGATGCTTAAAGAATAATTTTTTCATAGGTTTATTGTCATATGACTGACGGTGGTTGGACATTGATAGCAAGGTTCTCGAACGCAGATGCAAAGAACTGGATGCAAAGTAGTGGTTCATTTTGGTACGACCAAGGATCACATGGATCGACAACATCACCATCGACAAATGCTGACATGATAAATAGGGCGTTTTTTGACGTGGCTGGAAACGATATCAAACTGTCTCGCAGTGATTCTTCTACCCACAGCCCCCTGCTTTACGGAGGGAACTGTGTCTCTTCAGCGGTAACATTTCGTGACAAGATGTCGTCATACGGCAATTTTAGGTAGGACGAATCGTTTTATTTATAATAAACGTTGGTCTTAGTGTTCGTAATTATATTTAGCTTGTAGATTTTCGCTAAGGCAAGGGACATGGCATAACCTTTCTAATGATTGTAGTGGTGGGGAGCTAAGGGGGGAGGAATGGTAAATTTGTATTTTTGCATGAAAATAGAAAATAACCTTCTTCTGTTTTGGTTTTCCAAATTGTTGATTTAGCTAGGACGTCGGAACAAGAGGTCTACCTGGTGCACATGCCTCCTCGATTAGGGAACATCCCCTTTCCCATAAGATAAAGTGAGCTTTTCTGACATTTGAAAAAATGCTCCTGCAAAGAGCTGAAACAAAACAAAATTACTGGACTAAGAAGATTGTAAGATCGCTTTATTTTTCTTTAGAAATAACGCAGCCTGGCTTCCTACCAATGATGGCTGCAGAGGAAGCTGCACAATATCTTATGGAAGAGTGTCTGGAGTTGCTGGATTTTCACAGTACAGTTGCAGTGGTGACCTCAAACCAAGCCATACATTAGGCTTTTGGTGTTATAGCAGCGGTGATGGGGCAGTGCTTATGATTGGTGGTGGTGGCAGTGCGTGTGGACGGGCAGATCACGGTATTGGTATAACAGAGGCGGATACTCCAGTATTTGCAGATTCAACACCGAATTATGATTTTGGAGATGATGCAGATAGCTCACAAACAACTACATATGCTTTGAATCTTTGGATTCGATGAACAAAATCATTCCAGCATGGACCTTCAATAAGGTGTCTCGAGAACCTTTCTTAATCCTAGTAAAAAGTAGCTCGCAAAAGTCACAAATTGAAATTGTTATAACGAAGGCATTAATTTGTAATTTGTAAAGCATGAAGTTTGTAATTAATCAGAAATTTAGGCTAAGATGAAAAAAGCTTAGAACGTTTTCAACTCTTATCAGATTCACTGTTGTATGCTAAAATGATTAAAAATCTTTGTAATGCAAAGCTTTGCTAATCAAAAACATATGCATTTTCAGTTATCTTTTCTAAAGGCTGAGTATTTAAAATTGTTGACAGAATGAAACTTTTGTATGACCATAATCAACAGAAGAAAAAAGAACATAAAAATGCAATGAAGTGTGATCGTTCACCACAAAAAATGTGGGAATAAAAGTGGGGGAAAAAGAAAAACTTCTTTTTTGTGATCTTTGCTGCATGGGCCCTGGCTAGAAAAATTCCCAGCTAGATAATGTTGGAACTTTTGAACTAACAGAACAATGCGTGAACCTTCGTTTTCATGTGGTATTGTTTTATTTTTGCGTTTTACGGGATGTTTTTTGTTGCCTAATAAATTGAAGAAGAAAGGAGTCCAAAAAGACGATTCACAAGAATCCTAGAAGATCACTAATTCTATATAAGAAAAAACCTCTCAGGTGTTGTTGCTCAAAGCTTTGGACCCAGGCTTTGAATTTGGCACAAACAATTATCACTTTTCAAATTGTTGTCGATTTTCTGAGAAATCAAAGTGCTATAAAAGATTTGCCTTGTGCTATGCCTCGAACTCCAAAGTCAGGGGCGAAAATACCGGGGGGGGCGTGTGACACCCCCCCCCCCAATCTTAAAAATAGCCGATTTCGCAGGGCAATCGAAGATTTCGCAGGGCGCCAAGAAGAGCTTTATTGCCACGCAGAAACGCCACCTCTGAACTTCGTAAAGGGCCGTTTACGAATTTTGAAATGGCAATATTATATTTGTTATAAACCTTCCTGACATTGCATTTTAGAGAACGGAACAGGTATGGCAGGAAGTGCTCCGTTATTAGCAAAGCGAAAGCATTCCTTACCGAAAGTCATAGCCAATGGATGCAATGATTGATGAAAAAGTTTATGAGGGCAAGGTTGAGTCCACAAAAATTAGTTTATGTTGTAAATTATTTTCATGACAAGTACGGCGCCACTGGGGGGAGTAGAGGACTGAAGGCCCCCACTTTGGTCAAGATACTTTGCAATAGGGAAAAAAATCTACCCTATCGTTGTATCGTCGAGACAAATTGGCCCTTTCATGAGAAATGAAGCAAAGAGACAAAATCTACTTACCCCTACATGAGCACAGGGACGCAAACAAAATAATTTTTCATGGGGGTGTCAGGACAAGTTGGACCGACTCACGTACAAAATTAACTCTTAGAAGCCTACCCAAGCAGATAAACTGAATAAAAATGTGTCAAGAACATGTTTGGGGAACTTTTTTATTTGGTACCCTACGATGTGGTAGAATGAGGGTTTTGTTCTCTTTGTAACTGTTGTGTTCATTTGGCACTTTGGAGGGGAATCCAAAGCGCCAGATAAAATATTAACCTTTGTTTTGCTAAACTTGTACTTTGGGGCAGCTAAAAAATCTCTAAAAATGCATACACTTAAAACTGTACGTTTGTGGAAGTGACTTGAGATACAGCATATGGACTAATCTAGGATGAAGCAATTAAACAACCAAATTGTCTGTTAATTAGGTCTCTGACGGCCAGCAGAGCCAAAGAGACTCATCGAAAATCAAAATTTTCCCTGGAAGGGGGGCATAAGTCCGAACACCCTAAACACAGACTGTCCCCTGACACCCTAAACACAGAATTTAACTGTTAGTTTCCTGACAATCCTCTAGAAAATTGATTAATTTTTTCCCCTCTGGGAACAGTACAAATGTTTTGTCTAGATAATACAGTAGTGAAGGGGCACAAAGAAGTGCCCTTGAAGTGAGACTGTTCTAGGGGGTATGGCGGCGTGCGCCCCAATAAAGATTTGAATTTTAAGGCGTCTTTTTTGTCTCTGCTGACCTCCTAGAGACCTAATAATCAGACAAGTCGGTCGTATCAGCCCCCCGGCCCCCCTGCCAGGCCGCCACTGGTGGCAGTGCGTGTGGACTGGCAGATCACGGTATTGGTATAACAGAGGCAAATGCTCCAGTATTTGCAGATTCAACACCGAATTATGATTTTAGAGATGACCGAAATAGCGCACAAACAACTACATATGCCTTGGATGTTTGGATTCGATGAACTAGATCAATTGTAGATAATTTCTTTTATAGATCGCACAATATGAACGGGGACAGACCATTCAATTGCGTTTGGGGCTACGATAATAAATGACAAGGGAGCTTGCAAAAACTCCTCCATAGCAGACGTTTTGACAACGCTTGAAAAATATTTTACATGAGTTTGCTAGTAACTTTTGTACATATTAGATACTTACTAGTATTTAAATACCAGATGTAGGAGATACAGGGGCCTTGTGGTGGCTAGTGCTGTATGTTGTATATAATTTGTACAAGGCACTCATACGCCAGCAACCGTTAGGCACGCCATATAAAATTCAGGGGATTATTATACTGACTTTAAAAGACAAAATTAGCCGGCTGACGAGTCAAGAAAACATTGAACTAACCAAAGTCTTAGCAAAAAACATCAATGTTGCATTCTGTAAACACCATAGGCGTAGACTTGCATTTTTTTCAGGGGAGGGGGGGCTCAAAAAATTAATGACAATTCCTAATGGCAGCTGCGGGTGTCACAGGATAGAAAATGGACTAGCTAAGGGCTTAAAGGTGACTTTTCGTGCATTTTTCATTATCGAGGAAGAAGAAACACACATGAGATGATGGAAAGTGTATTTCTAAATCAAAATCAGTTTCTTTAGGTTGAGATCATCAGTTCTATTTAGGCACCCAAAATGTTTATGCGTGGAACCAATAATATAACAAACTAATCTAAAAATTGGTGAAGCACTTCCTTATTTTCCAGGGGGAGCTCAGCCCCCCCTTGGTTTTCCTCAGGAGGGGCTGAAGCCCCAGAGCCCCCCCCCCTAAGTTTACGCCTAGGGTCAACACGAAAACTATTTGAGCAGTAATAAATAGACTTATGGAAGTATGATATCTATGAACTGTTTGGAAACTGATTGTTATCTATTAGAATGTTTATCTATTACATCGAAATATCTATTAAAATCTATTAGAATCTTTGTTTATTAGATCACTTCTAGCTGCGTTTGTAACATATGCTACTGATGTTTCGTTTTGTTCTATCATGATGGAGGTGGTTCACAAAAAACTGCATTTGTCTTAAATCTTTGGCATGGGTGCCATCAGGGAATAAAAGTCCACCTGACCATGTGGCCAGGCGGTCGCAGGAAATTTTTCATGAATAAAGTTCTGCAGAAAAGTTTTTTTGAAATATACTATTTTGCGAGAAGCACCTTTGTTTCTTTAATGTTCATCACAAGCAAAAACGTGAAGTCAAAACAAATGTACTTTATGTATGTGACTTGTACAGGTTGAAATGGGTTTCCTATCTAAGAAACCTTGAGAATGCTTTTAAAAATTCTTGTTTGATAAAAGCTTACAGTTTTTCATCTGATTTAAAAATCTTTGTTATAATCTACAGAATTCTTGAAATTCTGCACATTTTTGCCATGTTGATGCGTGAAAGGCCTCTACCGTATATTGCCTATAACAGTGATTTTTACTGACCATCTTTTATGCTTTTTGCAATTGGTTTCTGCTCAGGGTTCTGACCTATATTTTCGTTAAGTAGTTTGTTAAAAACTTCCATGGATACAAGGACATCATATGATGAATCATTTTATGCTCGTTTTCAATTTTGTCTATTATAATGCCTGGATGGTGTGAGGACGTGAGTAATGAGAGACTGGAACGAGAGTTATTGTGACCAGTGAGCGAGAGAGAGAGACGGACGTTGAAGTGGAGATATAGGTTGGATAGGTAGAAGAAGACGTTGTAAAGTCAAGTTGGAGAATATTGAAGAAGAAGAGAAACTGAAATATTGTTTATATTTGCTTTTCTTCTTGCATGCTTCGTTACAATGGAGACAAATGTAGCTGTAGAGTATGTAAATAGGTAGATTATTATTGTACTTTTGCCTTTTTGTATATAAATAACTTGTATTAATTAGTTTCACATAATTGTCTATGTATATTAACTATTGCTCAAACCAACTGTAAATTTAGAGATTATTATTATTATTATTATTATTGGCAACTGCTGCAGCTCATTCATCGACATGTGTGACTCTTTGTCCATTGATCATCAACAAAAGCGCTATCTTATCTCCAAACTTTCCAGCAACTCCATTCGCACCACATACTATATATTCTGCTGTAGGAACAAAACTTGGACTAACTCAGAGCTACTCCCCTTTTAACATTTTTTTTCTTTTCTCATTACTACAATTTTAATAGTCTTATTTTGTAAAAACAGGCTAGCCAGTTACAAATTACCTTGTAATAGTGAGATTTGTCATTATAGTTTTAACTGCAATTCAAAGTGAGAAGTTTCCATTATCATTATTATTTCTTGTTCATCTCAGCTTCAATGATGTACAATGGGTGGCTTTATTTGGCTGAGCATCAAGTTGCTACCCACAACCTCCGATCTTCAGAGCATATCTTAGGGTCCTCGCTGTTCCAACAAGACCTTGGTTTTCAAAGAAGGCCTTTTGTAAGGTTCCAAAGTATATGTTAGGATTGAACTTATTGATCCATTTATGGAAGTCATTTGAGATGGTACCCAAAGCACCAAAAACTGCGGGAATCACTGTTACTTTTACTGCAGTTTCAAATCCTCTTCAATTTGTATTTCAGTTCCTGGTACTTGTCCACTTTCTCCCTCTCCTTTTCAGCAACTCGGGTGTCAAAAGGGCATGCCACGTCCACAATCTTGCATGTTCTACTCTCCTTCTCAAAATCTACAATATCTGGTCTCGAGTGCCCCAAGATCTTATCAGTCTGTATCTTCATATCCCAAAGGATTTTGGCTTTTTTATTTTCTGTTTCCTTTTCTGGATGATGATCATACCACTTTTCTATGTGTTCTAGGTCATAAGCTTTGCAAAGCTGCCAATAAACAACCTGCACAATTTTATAATGACGCCATTTCTTGTACTGTGTCTGGCAAAGGATCTTGCACTCAGACAAAAAATGGGCTATCGTTTCATCTCTCTCTCCACAGAGTCTGCACAATGAGGAGATGATTTTCTCTTTGTCGATGCAATGTCTAATAGACCTTGATCTGATAGCTTGCTCTTGTGCTGCCATGATAGTTCCCTCTGTGGCTTTCTTCAAATTTCCTTTCCTCAACCAATTCCACGTCTGCTCATCTCTAAACTCTGTATTTTTGAAAAAAACGCTACGTAGGTTTTTGCGTTTCAGATTCTCTCTTCTGTTTTCTAATATTTCCTCCTTTGTTTTTCCAATAACAACAGTTCCTTCATTTTTAACCACTTTGAGCATCTTTTCCTTGCTTTCTGAGATATATACATACAAGCAGTTCTTTTCAATCAAAATACAATCTTCTACACTGATCAGTCCTTGTCCATATTCTGCTGTTTTTAGATACAGCCTGTCCACATCACCTTTTTTGTGGAACATACAATACAATTTTCATCAACTTTCTTGTTTTCCTGTCCAGGTCTTTCAGTTCCTTCTCAGTCCATCCAACGATTCCAGCACTGTACATTATAATCGATACTGCTCTGCAGTGGCGGACTGGCTCAAAATTTTTAATCGGCCATGAAAAACTGAGGGAGGCCCAGGTGGCTGTGGTCTGAAAATTGAGGCGTGGTCAAGTGAACACTTTATCAAAATCGATCAATTTTTAAGCAACAAAACATATGTAGCAGGAATAGCAAAATTGAGCTGTTGATGACAAATGGGGGCAGAGTAATCTGATTGAAATTTAACATTAAATAATGAAAATTTGGTCTGATTTGGATTTCAGCAACTTTTGCGCAAGATACCTTCTCGTAGAAAACAAAGTTAAAAATAATAAGACAACAAACCTCCAAGGAAAGTTAGTTTAAAATGAAAGAATATCTGAGGTGTGAGGAAGCCTCATCCCTACTGAAGCTTAAACTAAAGATGTTAGACCTAATAGCAAACTACAAAGCAAAGTACACTGATTCGCTTTGCAGAGGGTGTGGCTCCCATGAGGAGTATTCGGTAGAAAAATCTTTAAGAAGATGCAGCAGTCCCCGTTGAAGTATCATTCGCATTGCATTATCTTAATGACATGGCTTGAGAAAATAAATAATTAACGCTGAGTTTGTTTTAAAGTTAACTACTGAATCACAACTGTTTTCTTTGTTGCTAGCTTCGACCTTCGCCACTGGCAAAAATTTAGGTGAACTCTACAACTAATGTTGTGCATAAAAACTAAACCTGGGTCCATAAAAAATCAAAATTCCAGTAAATTCCATCTCATTAAAAGTTCCAGTTCCCTATTTACCTCCCATAACTTACACAAATCATACTTTTTTTAATTTTGACACAATCCTTTTTACAACCACATGCAATGACGCTATATTAAACCTTAGTTTTGATGTAATCCATGACGCTTATCATTCGTAATGGGACATCGTAAGGCTTCACATTCCTAAAATGGGGCCCTTTTTCTGCCAAGATGGGGCCCTTTTGCCAAATTTTATTGTTTTCCTTGATTTATTGATAATATTCGCCTGTTCTGGTCTTTGAAGAGAAACACACTCTACTTGATGTAAGTTTGTGTTTAATTTTGAAAAAGAAACTAGAATTGGTTTATCAATTATTTTGACATCATAAGCTAATGATATATGTAATACCATCAGTTTATAGGTTAGGATGCGACTGAATTTGCTGCTCTAGCTAACCAGTTTGTGTGATAATGGATTGTTATATTCTCTGAACGTTTTTAATGTATTTTTTTAGATTCATCAACCTCACGCAACTGTGTCTGTCAATGAATTCATCAATGCAAAACTATCTGCCAAAGTCTCAAGGCAACTGCAAGGTAGGCAAAGAGCTGCTGATTTATGTTTATTTGTTGAAGTGAAGTGACCAGGTTGCTAGAACACTTGACTGAGGTGTTCAAGGTAGCAAGTTCTGAGCAACTGCCCATCAAGAAGCTGTAGATGAGACTGTGTGACAGCTGATCTGTAGTAGGATTATATGTCATCAATTAACATACTTAATTATTACGCTAACCTCGCTTTCGTTTGTATATAACGTGGGCATCTCTATGAACATGGGCCAGTCCGCCACTGCTGCTCTGGGATTGATAGCAGTCACCACATTTCTACTAGTAAGATGAGATTTCAAGATCTTCGTTACTCGCCGTACATATTCTGCTCTTATTTTTTCTTTCATTTCGATGTCTTTAATGTCATCTGCTTCCAGAAAACCTAAATATTTGTACCCGTTATCTGCATCAATCTCCTTTATTCTGCCACCAGATGGGATCTCAATACCTTCACTGTGGATCAATCTTCCTTTCTTCATGACTAAAACCGCGCAATTGCTTATACCAAACTCCTTCCTTACTGAAATCACGAACTTTATTTATCCGGGTATCCAAATAATTTCAGGTCATCCATGTATAGAAAATGGTCTATTGTTGGACCGGCTTTTCTGACATCATATCCAGCTTTTACTTTGCGTAGTATGAATGATATAGGAATCAAACTAATAACAAACTAACAAACCAAAGAGGTGATAGACTACCCCCTTGGAAAATATCCCGTTTTATTCTCACTTTTCTAAGACTTTCCCCTCCAGCTGTCAACTCTGTTTCCCCAATTTTTATCCTTTTCTTCAAAAATATTTTGATGTTATCAGCGATTTTGAAGATATCAAGGCACTTCAGAATCCAAAAATGGGAAACCATATAAAAAGCTTTTTTGTAATCGATCCAGCATATTGCCAGACCGATTTGCCGTTTCTTGCAGTTGCGTATGATAGTCTTGTCAATGAATAATTGATCTTTAGTGCCTCTTGATTTTTTTTACAACCTTTTTGGTAACAATCAGTTCGTGTGTCCACACAACCTTAAACATGTAATCGGTCTATAATTTCTAGCCTCATTTCTTTTGGTTTTGTCTTTGATAATAAGGACATTTTTCCTTTCGTCAACCAGGTAGGGGCATCATCGAGATGAGGCATTCACTCAACATTGCAGACATTTTCACATGAAGTGACTTAATGTTCTTAATCCAGTAGCCAGGTGACTTCCAGTTCGAGAGCTTATTAGCTTGTTTCCTTAACCTTTCTGTTTTTACACTACGATAAGCCTGCTTACTGGCAGTTTTCCCTGCCTCTGTCTCGACTTTCTTAATCCAATTATTTCTTAATCCTTTATTATGTTTGATAGCTTTCTCCCATATCCCTTTCCAAACATTTCTTGATGCCTCTGCCTCACTTATCCCATCTCTACCTCTTTCTGTACCTTATCCCATCTCCACCTCTTTCTGTACCTTATCCCATCTCCACCTCTTTCTGTACCTTATCCCATCTCCACCTCTTTCGGTACCTTATCCCATCTCCACCTCTTTCTGTACCTTATCCCATCTCCACCTCTTTCTGTACCCTCTAAACGCTCAAACCATCTCTTCTGGTTATTTTCAAAGAGTCTGTTTTGTTGATATTGTTCTATTTTATTCTCGTACCTTTTTATTTTTTCACTCTCTGCAGTCACCCTTTGTTTCAGCTCCTCGATTATAACTTTGTATCCCATTTCTTTGACTTTATATTTTGCAGTTAGTCTTGCCCTTGACTCTTCATTTTTCATGGTGTTGTTGATCTCCTTTCTCAGTTCATTTATTTGGTTAGTGAGTCGTTTCTTTCACCAAGGTTCTGTCTTTCCTCCGGTATTCCTCTCCTTCTTAACATATACAAATGGTTCAACTACGCATCCAGGCGCCTTCAATATCTTGTTACATTGTAAGATATTATTTCCTTCTAAATTGGGGATGATTTTATCAACTTGCAATTTTTTTCCTTCAGGTTCTTCCTGTCAATGAACCGAAGGCTCATTAATTGCGGCATTTCTTCTGTTGATAGCTCCTCTTGCATCATTCTCGTAATTTCGATTTCTTCCTCGTCTTATCCGTCCGCTCGTATCCTTTCCTCAATATTTTTTAGATTGTTATCCAAGGTGATCTCCACACTTCCTTCACTAGTACCATTCTCATCATCGCCGTTCCTCACGGTCATTGACCGCCATGCTTCTAGGGCTCCGTCAAAACTCTATATTTTACCCAAAGTTTGCTCATAGTTTTAATCGTGTTTATATTTTCTGCTTCAACCAAAAGTGGTACCATAGGCGTAAGAGACAGGAGCTGGGAGGACTGAAGCCCCACTAATCAGGCAACATTTTTAAGATTTCAGTCTCCATTTTGGAAATTGTTTCTCAACGAAGCAATTATATTCGGGTAAGATCCATACTAAGCCCCCTTAAACCTTTTGTAACCGCTACGCTCATAGGTAATACCAAGATACTATGCGATACAGTCGACTCCTCTTATAGTCACTTCAGTTGCAGTCACATTACTGGTTACAGGCGCATATTTGGGTCTAATATGTGCATATTTGGGTCTAATATGTACATATTTGGGTCTAATATGTGCATATTTGGGTCTAATATGTGCATATTTGGGTCTAATATGTGCATATTTGGGTCTAATATGTGCATATTTGGGTATAATATGTGCATATTTGGGTCTAATATGTGCATACAGTGGAACCCCGCCTTACGGCCACTTCGTTAATACGACCACCTCGTTATTACGGCCACATTTGTTTGGCCTGGAAAAACGGCCATACATAGTCTCATAAAATGCCCATATGTACCTATCTATGTCATAATATGTACATATCTAAGTCTATTATGTGCAAATTTTTCACATACGGTATATGTGAAAAATCAGAATGTTTGGTGCTTGATGAGCCTTGCTGGTCGTATTTGTATGATCTTCTCAAATTTAGAATTAATTTTGCTTTCAACACAACCCGATTTCCAATTGGCATCCATACTCACTTGAATTAAAAAGGTTCAAGAATCTAGAAATTGCCACGACCTTTATTTATTGATTGCTGATTGGCTATCTACAAAACCATCTGCCTGCGGCGTTACAAAGAGACCCATGGGATAATGGTATCCGCGTTTTCTGGCTTCCATGGGAATGTTGCGTTGTTGATCTTGAATTGGGAAATTATTTAGAGTGTTGTGTCATTGCATCTCAAATCACGAAGCATCACTAATTGCAAGTCCTGGTAAGATTGCTTGCTGAAGAATAATCATAGTATTGGTACAGAAGAGAATGGACAAACATACAGGACAAACGATGTTAGAAACATCATTGCCTCTTCGAGCACCGAATGCATTGATCAAAAAATTTAAATGGTTTACGCAACAAAGAGGTAATACTTGACAGTATTTTTAAGTAAAAAGAGCGGGTTTCCTATTTGCTCTGGTCGCGCGACTGTTGCCAAAGCGATTCGACAAATCAGCGAATGGTCGAATCGACAAATCAACTGAGTTGAACGACTTTGCGAATGGTCGTGCATTGACAGTGAAAGAGGAAGTTTGGTGTTGCTCATACTCAGAAGTGCTTTCGCTCAGTCGCGCGAATAGTGCGAATCAATTGGAACCTGGTCTTAAGAGTTTGGTACAGTGGCGGTACTTGCCATACAGATGTGGAAAGGGGTGCAAAATAAATCCTTTTTGGTCCGCGATTTTTTAGTGTCAGACAATGTTATTTTGCAACCAGCTACACCAATTTTTTATAAAATTTGTTGATTTTGCATTGAAGTAACAATGACGCAGATGTTATTTTTTGCGAATCTTAATGTTAGCCGTTCAATCGACCGGGGTAGAAACCTCAAAGTAAACTGTAGAAGAATTTGTCTAAGACTTGTTAGATGTGTATACGGAGTTTGTTAAAGGAAATCACGGCACACCTTCACAGCATTGTTGCTGGGTCACCAAGATTAACCAATCATACCCTGGCAAGTTCATTTATCCTTTCTATCCCATTTTCAACTGTCTCTCTTGTAAAATGTTTCAGCAGGATGGAGAGAAAAATACAACTTATTGACGTTTTTGTGTCTTTTCAGATCAACAAACATACGTTTTACACTACTGAGGCTTTTCTCAAGCACCTACAGTATGAACTCTAAACTTAGTCTAAGTCTGAGTCCCTAAAACAATTTTCTACTGGGATATATATGTGTTTGGGGGAATAATGGGCGAGGGCTGTATAATCATTACACTGCAAAATATAACAATAGATATGGGCGGTATAGGAATTACCAGGCACCGCGGAGCAGGGGGGGGGGCTGTGGGGGCTTTAGCCCCTCAATTTTTGCAAAAATGCCAAATATTAGGTAATACACTACCAGTAAACCCTCTTTTTATACGGTTTTAGCCCCCCCCCAACTTTTTTGACTGATTGATTGCCATTTAGATTAGCTTAAAATAGATTTCAGAATTTTTCTTGCAGTCATTTTTTTGTATTCGTTTAAATCATTTTCTAATTTTGTATGCATACCTTTTTAAATTTTGATTTATAAAATTTTTTTAAATGAAGCTTACTATTTTTGAGATCTCCTAGACCTTGAAGCCCTGGGCCCTCTCCCCTTTCTTTGTGGCCCTAGGTAATTTCTGCTTCCCTCTCTTTATGGCTATGGCTGCCAAAATTTATTTTCATAGCCGTGTTACGTTGAAGCTTGCGAAAAAGAGGAAACATTTTTCTGCCAAGACTATAAGTACTAGTTTTACCACTGCACACTTTCCCCGTTTATCACTGCACAAATCTGTTGTATCGTTGCAAAAATTGTGGCTGCACCTTAGAATTAAGTGTGCAAGGGGGCGGCTAATTTAAGGATTCACAGCATTAGTTTTCTATACGGAAAGTGGTCAGTATTTTTTAAATAGGTGTTCCTTAAAAAGAGGCAAAGCTAAAAATATTGTTGGGAACGGTAGATCAGATCTACAAAGGTTTGACTGTTGACGACGTCTTCCAGTGAAATCTTGAGCCATTTGAGAATGATAAACAAATAATTTTCAGACAGGAAAGGAGTGCATGATATTTATGAATATTTTTAACGCTTTTATTACATCTTCAAAGTTTAAAACATTGCAGCAATACATAGTAAACCTAGACTCTAGACATTTCTTTATATATTTGTCAACAAATCCAAATTTGAAGGCTGAAACATCCTCTACACCCCCTCCCTTTGGCTACGCCCCATGCACTTGTTACTGTTAGGTTCTCTTTTGACAAATAATGTGCACTTTGACATCAGTGAAGCAATGTGATAAATTATTCTTATGTTGCATTCTGCAGGACTATCGATGAATGGGAAGAGAACTATTTGAATATAGATCGAACTTTCTTGACTGAAAGATTTTGTGATTGGTAAGCGGTACTTTCACATTTCAGCATTTCTCCTCGTCATCCTCACTGTTAGGTCTCCTTCATAGCTGAATTGATAAAAATAATGTACCTGTTAATGGTTATTGTCGCCTATAGTTTCTTTATGAAAGTGGTCAATGACACGGGAAAGAAGATTGAGGTTCTTGGCTTTTTTAATAAGACGTTCTAATGTTTTTGAAAATTGGCGGTATATGTGTTTAGCCAAGTTTAATTACAAACTTTTTTCACGCAGGTGGAACAGAATATATAAACATGGGTACTATGCAAGTTGAATATCACATCGGTAGGTGTTGCTATTGATTGCTATGGTGCTTATATGATCTTTTATACTTGCTTTAATTGAACCATTTATCAATGAAGACCACTGGAAAGTGTTTAAGGCCATAGGGCAATGTTCAGAGCAAGTCCCTTACAAGTAATCAAGAAAAGCAGAGAGACTGCGAGGTAACCCTCTTTGATTTTCTTGCAGCCCTCCTTTAACATTTGTTGTTGGCTAAGCATGTTAAACAGATTGCGTACTTTTAAAGTAATTGTTAAACTCAAAGTTTATACATAGAGGTGAAATTCCGACATACTTCATGCAGCACTCCTTTTGATGAGGTCCGGCGGCAATTTGCCCCATTGCCCGCTTTTTGACAACACTGCCACTGACCTTCATAAGTTATCAGCTCCTCTGTCCCAATTGCAGTTCCGCAAACGACTGTGGGAAGAGTGTTCTGAAATTTTGTCAATACAACTCAACAACCAAGAAAACATTGTGCTTTTTTCAAGTAAAGGTTGGCTAAAGCAAAGGTATACAACAGTTTTTCACGCCAATCTGGTACGTTCAACATACGATATTAATACTTGCTTATTAAGAAATTTAGCCCTTGTTTAGCTATGTCAATGACGTAAGGACACGTATTAGTTTGATGTCGCCCACGAACAAAGTTTTAGGTTTCTAAACATTTTTGCTTTACAAATACATTACCAAAACTAAGTTTGGGACTTAAGTCAACAAGTTAAACAAATACATCTTGTAAAGAAATACCTAGATGATATCATCAGTTTTCTAACATAAAAAGGCTCAGACCATAAATTGTTTGTCTGTACAGTGGAGTTCCGATATAACGAACTTTGAAAGGAACCAGAAAATAGTTCGTTATATCGTGAGTTTGATAAAAACATTGATAAAAAGAGAGAAAAGGTTTTTTGGGTACTTTTGCAGTTCACGCCTAAAAAACCTGCGGTGGGCTTGTTTAGGCTATCTTCTGCTGCTTCTCAATCTGAGTCTCTCGATAAAGTTTTCATTGCCAATGATACCTATGTAAAAAGGTATTCGTTAGTGCCAATATACCTATTCGCAGTAATTTTTGACGCAATCAAACTTTTGTTATATCAGCCAGTGCTTGAAATGTATCTTAGGCATGTTTTGCCGATTACAAAAATGGTTTCTCCCAAGATAAAGTGGTGAATGAACACCGAAAATAAATAAACAAAAATAACAGATGAACAAATTTATAAAAAATTCGCTATATCGAAGGTAATTAAAGTGAAGGGATCGAAAAATTGGTTCGTGATAACGAGAGTTCGTTATATCCGGGGTTCCTTATACCGGGAGAATTTGTAAGGAGTTCGTTAGGCAGAGTCCAAGGGACCAAACATTTAATTCGTTATACCGGGAAGTTCGTTACATCCGGGGTTCGTTATATCAGAATTTCACTGTATAATGCAATTTAATTGTAAAGACCGTCAAAGCATTATTATTTGGTTTTTTTGCTAAAGAAAAGTTTTTCGTTTAGGGGTTTTTGAGTCGACGTGTATGTGAAACTTTTATCAATACATCTGATGAAGAACTGTGTTCCCAAATTGGCCCATTTTGGCCTGAACCCGATCCAGTTCAGGTCATAAGTTTTCTTTGAAAATCAAGAAATTTCGGTCATACTTTAGATAAGATTTTTTTAAAGCAAATCTTAAAAATTTGACTTTGAATTCCTCTCGGCGTGATTCCAGGGGCAAATTTGAGATTATTTAAATCTCTTAATGGGCTTTTTGTCCTATAATTAAAATTGAAAGAGCAAGTTTAAACTTTGCCCAATAAAGATTAGCGTATATGGTGCTTTTTTATGATCCTCGCTAAAGTGATAAAAGAACTAAATAATAAAGCTAGATATTCCCTGTTTGCCAATTTAAATTCCTTTTACTTCTTCTCCAAAGCTACAAAGAAAATGTACACATCAGCATGGATAGTGGTCGCATTGACGATTCATCTTGGTGTTGCTACTGAAGACCAATTTGCATCTACCTTCAATCTTGTTTCAAACCCTGGTAACGTTGACGCAGATGGTGGAAGCAGCTCAATCATTATCCAAAAAGCTTTTCACCAATGCAGTATCGATCCAAACTGCAAATTTGTGGTGGAGAATCTGAGCACAAATGAATTCTTGGAATTTTCATCAGAAGAAGCTTTGCCTGAAAACCGGGATATGCTGAAAATCTGGGAAAAACGAATCATGTAAAAGAGCACACTGTATAAAAGCATAATATTTAAAATTAACTTCGATGATGATATGATACTTTAGTAAGATTTTATTAAAGTCGTAAGAACAGGACGTTCACAAAACGTAATATCTGCACTAACATAACCATGGAAACATAAAGACAGCAATGCAAGGATAAGATACTGTCATGTTTTTTATTTTCAATGTCACATTCATGAGGAAATCACTATATTTCAATTATCTTCATGCGTTGTGTACTTTGATTTTGTACGAACTTTCAGAATGATGTTTCCTTAAACCAAAAAAATAAGAGAAAAGTGAACGATCGTCTTACACGTAGTCACACCCTGACTCTACATTAAACTTTGCTCCTTTGTGTAACGGTTTGGATTGTATATTTATTCAAATTAGTAATGTTCTCGTTGCGTGTTAAAGTCACATGTTCTGTTAAGTCCTGTTGTGTTAGTGAACGCCTTTTTGGCAATGTGTTTGTCTTTCGACATGAAGTGTGACGCTCGTATTGTCCTTTTAATTAGCTTCTGTTTATGTTATTAGTTAGCCTGGGTTCCAGAGCGTCAGTGTCGAGGAAATAGGGCGGAGGGTTGCGGGTGCGCTCTCTCTTGAATCATAAGAGTTAAGATAAAAGAAGGAGTTTCTTTTGTGCGTTACGTGTTCGGGGCTTAGGCTCTTTGGCCTAGCCCATCGCTCCATCAACGAGCTGGTTATTAACTGGTTCTTCACCGTCATGACAAGAACCCTTATCGTTAAATTTGTACAATATCGTATTTCGGTCCATTATGCCACTGATAGCTTTTGTCCATTACGGCGGCTTACTTTGATTCGTTACGGTGCTGCTTACTTTAGTTCGTTACGGTGCTGCATACTTTGATTCGTTACGGTGCTGCTTACTTTGATTCGTTACGGCGCTGCTTACTTTAGTTCGTTACGGTGCTGCTTACTTTGATTCGTTACGGTGATGCTTACTTTGATTCGTTACGGTGATGCTTACTTTGATTCGTTACGGTGCTGCTTACTTTGATTCGTTACGGTGCTGCTTACTTTGATTCGTTACGGTGCTGCTTACTTTGATTCGCTACGGTGCTGCTTACTTTGATTCGTTACGGTGCTGCTTACTTTGATTCGTTACGGTGCTGCTTACTTTGATTCGTTACGGTGCTGCTTACTTTGATTCGCTACGGTGCTGCTTACTTTGATTCGTTACGGTGCTGCTTACTTTGATTCGTTACGGTGCTGCTTACTTTGATTCGTTACGGTGCTGCTTACTTTGATCTGTTACAGTGCTGTTTACCTTGGTCCGCTACAGTACTGCTTATGCTGGTCAGTCGTGGTGCTGCTCATTTGGGACTGCTACCAGGTGCGGATCCAGCCTGAATTCCGACCAATGCAAAAGTTGTCAGAGAGAAAAACCACAAAAACGAATTCAAAGGAAACGACTCCCCAAGAGAAGACAAAATCTACCTGCAATTCGAAGGAATAAGCTTCTGTGCTGCCCCACCCCTGGAGGATTCGATCTAGGGCTACCCACATTCCTAAACTGATTTTAGTTAGTTATTTGTTACATTGTTTTGTTCGTTCCGTTGCGCTAGTCCGCAAAGTACATTTATGACGTGTAGTTAGATTAGGACTGGGACCTAGTTTTTAGGCCGTTTTTTTTATTTTCGTGAGCATATTGAGTTTTGTTACAAAATAGGAGCGTGAGAAGACAATTTTCGGGATTATTACAATTAGTGACGGTGTGCCTAAACAATTTGGTACATCTGGCGACCCTGCTACAATTTGTGAGGGTGTACCTTGACAAGGTTTACAAATTCGGTACATTTGTGGCAACCCTGCCAGGACGAGCTTGAGAAATCATGACACAAGAAGGAGAAGAAGTTAGGTCAACTTCAGAGGAGATTGAGAAATCAAGGGATCTTGAAATCGAGAAAGAGATCACGAAATTAACATATTTCACTGAGCAAACAAACGAGTTATTTGAGGGTAAGGATTATAGGGAGATTGAGATTGTGACTAAGAGAATAGAACAAATTCATGGAAAGATTTCAGATTTGATACTGCAGTTTGAAGAGCTAAAAATAGATGAAGGCAAATCAGCCAGGGCAGTAAGACAATGGAAAAAGGAAACAGAAGAGAAATTCTTAAAGCAGCTTGATGACAAAGAAAAGCTTATTGCTGCGTTGAAAGAAAATGAGAATCAAATCAAGGAGAAGGAGAATAGAGTTAAAGAGAGAGAATTTCATTTACAAGAAGAAAGATTTATAGCACAACAGAGATTACAAGCAGATTTTGAAAGAAAGCTAAGTGAGGAAAAATATTTAAGAGAGCAGCAAATATGGGAAAAGAGAATGGAAGCTGAAATGAAATTAGCAGAAAGAAAATTGGAGTTAGAAGCTGGAGCTAAAGCAAATTATTCAAAATTGCCAGAGCTTAGGGTTACACAGTTTAACGGCACTCTGTCAGATTGGGTGAGATTTGAAAATATGTTTACAACACAAGTATTAAACAAAGGATTTGGTGATGAGATCAAATTTGGCTACTTGCTGGAAATGGTAAATCCAAAAGTCAGAGAAAAAATTGCAAATTTGAAGCCAGGTTCAGAAGGTCTAAAGATAGCATGGGACAGATTAAAGAAAGAATATGGACAAACACAAACTGTTATAAACACACACATTGAGGAAGTTGTAAATTTACCAGTTATAAGATCACCCAGTTACCAAAAGATTCAAGATTTCTATGAGAAACTGAGCAAAAACTGTGATGCCCTTTTGACACTAGGAGAGAAAGAGGTTCTTAAGGAATTTGTGATGACAACCTTGAATAAGCTTCAAGCCATAAAGTCAGATTTAGTGAGAATAGACGAGAAGTGGGAAACATGGGAAATGCATGATCTAATTGAGAATATTCATGCATGGCTGAGAAGAAACAAACCAGATGACATAGGCAGGGAGACAGAAAAAAGAGAAAGGCACTGGTATGCTGGAGATTCAAACAGAGAAAAGAGAAAGCCAAAGTGCATTTATTGTGATGCAGAGCACTGGTCAGACAAGTGTGACAAATATGAAACAACAGAGAAAAGAAAACAACATTTTAGAGATAACAAGTTGTCCCTTCAACTATTGGGTCTTTTGGTTTGCCTTTGAAAATATCTTCTGTTTTAATTTTGGAGTAGAATTTGTCTCCAAGAATTAGATGAATTGTGTACTTCCTTGAGGATGTCATGTAATATGCTTTGTCTCTTGTGTGTTTATACATAGTTTTTAGCTCCTTCAAATCAGGCCTTGTTATTGATGTGAAATCTCTTAGGTTTGCTCCTGTGACTTCTATCTCCTCTGATGCTTTGTTGTCAACTGACTTCACAACTACTTTGTTCCATTGACAGTCATGATATTCTTTGTTTCATGTCTGATTGGCTTCAATTTAAGCATCTTGATGGCATCAGTTGAAATAAAGTTTCTCCCTGACCCAGTGTCTAAAAATGCCCATAATGTCTCATCATTTGATGCAACAGGTATTATTGGTGGCAGTGTCTCTTCTGGAGATGGAGAGTAGCCTGTAAGAACAGAACCTTTCTTTTCTTCTTTCTGACATAAGCTGCTATGATGTTTTGCTTTGCAGTAGTAACATCCTCTACTAAAACACTTGTTTTCTCTGTGTCCTTTCTTCCCACAATTAAAACACAACTTTTGCTTGGGTAATTCATGGAGGAGAATTTTCAGACAATCAATGTATGTTTACCAGAGAAACCAGTGACTATGAAAGGCTTTACAGTTTAGATGTTTTAGGGGTGGAAGATAGAGGTGAAAATGATCAGCTTGATGTGATGAAAGAATTTCATGAAAATATTTGCAGAAAAGAGGACGGCAGATATGAAGTAAATGTACCATGGGTACCTGGGGCCAAATTAACCAAAACAAATGAACTTCAAAGCAAAAGGAGACTGCAAAATCTGGAGAGAAAATTAGAAAACAAAGAAAGCTTGAAACAAGAGTATACAAAGATTGTAGAAGACCAGTTAGAGAATGAAATTATAGAGAAAGTGCCAGAAACAGCAACTGGAAGCAGAGTTTATTACATGCCTCATAAGCCTGTTGTTAGAGAAAATGCAACCACAACAAAGGTCAGAATGGTTTTTGATGCAAGTGCAAGACCTGATCATTCATCTAATAGTATCAATGATTGTATGTACAAAGGCTTAGCAATACAACCACATCTATGGGACATATTGATAAGAGCAAGAATGTCACCATGCATACTCCTTGGAGATGTGCAGAAAGCGTTTTTGCAAATAGGAATCAAAAGTGAAGACAGAGATGCTTTCAGATTTTTGTTCACTTTGGGAGGTAAAGAGGAACACTTGCGTTTCCTGAGGGTGCCCTTTGGCACAGAAGCCAGTGCTTTCATGCTAAGAGCTACACTTGTGTATCATTATGATCATTATGACACACCAGAATTTGAAAAAAACTGTCAAAATGCTAAGAGAAAACACTTACGTAGACAATTTGATGGCAACAGGAGAAAGCTGTGAGAGTTTACAGAAATTCAAACAACAGTCAACAGCAATTCTTGAAGATGCAAGGTTTCCAGTGCATAAATGGGAATCAAATTTAGCAGAGCTTGAAAGTGAGGAAATGAAAAACCCATCCACAATTTTAGGCCTAAGCTGGGACAAAAGAGAAGATATTTTAGAAATTGAGATAAATAAAAATGCAGAGAAAAATCCAGTAACCAAAGCAAGTATGCTAAGTCAATTGAGCAGAGTATATGACCCACTTGGTATTGTCTCACCAACACTTGTAGAAGGAAAAGAATTGTACAGAGAAGCTTGTGATGAAACAAAAGGATGGAATTCAGAGATATCAAAGCCTCTTGTCAAAGATTACTTAAAATGGGTAGAGCAACTGAAAAATGTCAAGGTTCCTAGGAGTTTAATTAAAGAGAACAGAAAAGTGAAAGGAATAAATCTCCATATATTTGCAGACGCAAGTGCAGTTGCATGCTCATCAGTATTCAATTGCATTAATACAACATGAAACAGGCATTGTGAAAGGCCTTTTGACATCAAAATCAAGGATATCAAAGCGAAATACATCCATTGCAAGGCTGGAACTAGTAAGTGGACAAATGGCTGCCAATATGGCCATTAATGTTCATAGTGCACTTAAGGGATTGCCTATTACCTCAGTGAATATATGGATGGATAGCATGGTAGCACTTTTCTGGATTACAAATCCAGGAAAATTATGGAAAGTCTTTGTTGCAAGCAGAGCAAGGAAAATTGCAGAGATAACAGACAAGCTTGACATTAAGTGGAGATACTGTCCATCAAACAGTAATATTGCAGACATAGGAAGCCGGGGGCAAATATTGAAAAGATGGTCGAGGGGGAGTGGTTTGAAGGACCAGAGTGGCTACTCTCAGAGAAAGATTGGTCAGATCAGCCAGATTTAAAGAATTCTTTAGCAGTAAACAGTGAATTTAAGCCAATGAAAGAAACAGTATTTCATGCAAATGAAGTGGAATCAGATGAATGGGAACAACTTTTAGAGAGAAAAACATATTGGCAGACTTTAAGAACAACTGCCTGGGGGCTGAGATTTGTTAAAAACTGTCTAGCCAAGGTGAAAAAGGGAAAACTAACAAAGGGGCAACTGACAACAGAAGAGATTTTAAGTGCAAGGGATTACTGGGTGAGAAAAGAACAAAGCAAAATAACAGAAATCAAACAGACACCAGGGTGCAGAGTTGAGAAAGAAGAGGAGACTGGTATTTTAAAATGTTATGGGAGAATTCAGGGTTACAATCCTACCTACCTAGAAATGGGATTATTTGCAGAGAAGCTCATTAGTTATACCCATCAAGAGATTATGCATTTTGGGGTTGCAGATACAATGGCTGCCGTAAGAGAAAGCTGGTGGATTCCAAGACTAAGAGCTGCAGTTAAACGAGAGAAGAGAAAGTGTGCAATATGCAAGGTGTTTTCAACAAAACCTTACAAAGGACAATCAACTGCACCTCCTTTACCGACATTTCGTACAAATGTCAGCTGGCCATTTGAAACAACTGGAGTCGATTTTGCTGGACCTTTTCTATCCCGGGTTAACAAGAACAAGGTAGAGAAAGGATACATTATAATATTCACGTGTGCAGTTATGAGAGGCGTACATTTTGAAGTTACACGATCGCAAACAGCTGAGGAATTTCAAGCAAAGTTGAATGCATTTATCACTCGGAAGACAAGACCAAAGTTACTTGTATCTGACAATGCTCAAGTGTTCAAAACAACTGCAAATTGGATAAAGAAAATTCGAAAAAGTGAACAGTTACAGAATTTCTTAGCAAAACAAGAGATCAATTGGAGATTTAACTTATCGAAAAGTCCCTGGTGGGGCTCGATGTACGAACGTTTAATTAAAGATCTAAAGAGAGCACTTTTCAAGACAGTTGGAAAATCACTACTTAGTTTCAACCAGTTGGAAACAGTCGTCATGGATATTGAGAGACACATGAATAATCGTCCTTTGACGTACGTAGAAGGAGACAACGAGGAAAGCCAAGTTTTGACACCAAGTATGATTATGTGGGGAAAGAACTGTCACATTCTAGAAGATATAGATGTAGAGGAGAACGATCTGACGAAGATACAGAGAAGATTAAGTAACGCCAGACAACATGTATGGCAGAGATGGAAGAAAGAATACTTATATAGTTTAATGGGAGTGCATCGCATTACAAAGTTTAACACGTGCATTCCAAAGTTGGGGGAGATCGTCCTCGTTTTAGGAGAAGAGAAGAACAGAGGTAAATGGAAAAAAGGCAGAGTCGTCAGCCATGTAAAAGGAAAAGATGGAATTGTCAGAGGAGTCACATTGCTACACAAAGGAAACACTATTGAAAGACCATTAGTTGTATGTCCGTTAGAAATAAGAAGTTGTGTTGCTGAGGAAACTACAGATGAGAGAGTCGAAGAAAAAGCAACTGAAGAGAGAAGCAATGAGAAGAAACTGAAGATGAATGCTGCGATGAATGCCGCTATGAAGACAAGATGATGTTGGAGGACAATGAAATTGACTAAGAGTGGAACAATGGATAGTAATAAAATTTGAGGTTTGTTTAACTAAAATTTTAGGGGGAGTTGTAAACTGATTTTAGTTAGTTATTTGTTACATTGTTTTGTTCGTTCCGTTGCGCTAGTCCGCAAAGTACATTTATGACGTGTAGTTAGATTAGGACTGGGACCTAGTTTTTAGGCCGCTTTTTTGGATTTTCGTGAGGATATTGAGTATTGTTACAAAATAGGAGCGTGAGAAGACAATTTTCGGGATTATTACAATTAGTGACGGTGTGCCTAAACAATTTGGTACATCTGGCGACCCTGCTACAATTTGTGAGGGTGTACCTTGACAAAGTTTACAAATTCGGTACATTCCGAACGCAGCGGTCTTATAGCAACAGTATAGAACAGACAGTACAGAGTGACTGACTTAGCTAGTTGCTTAGCAGGGGTGAAGTAGTGATTGTCAATTTACATTTCATTGGTTGCAAAAAAAAATTGCGTAGGTCAAGTGTACACAATTGCATAGGTCAACTCTGATTCCCATTGGTTGGCTATACCGCTGCAGAAGCAAGCTCAACTTCTGATTTGATAAATCAAATCTCACCTATGCTCGCGCCAAAGATTGCAGAGGTGAAGTACACTCTGATTGGCTTACAAGAGGTTTGCATAGGTCAAACAAATGTTGATTGGCTCTCGATGGACAAACAAGTTTCTGGATTCAGAATATACGGACCAGATAAATGCCTAGAATCGCCACTCGACTATTCTGTGCAGAGGCGGAAAGAGAGTCAGCAAAAAATATCCCCTGTCTTCTACTTGTTGTTGGTAGCTATCAGCGGGGGCAGAACTAGGACGGAAGTTGCTAAAGAAGTTGCTAAAGAAACTACTGGTTAAAAATTTTGATAGTTTCAATTTTATTTTGTTATTCTAAAAATCTGACTTATGCTTCTGCATAGGTTGATGTATTCTGGGTCCGCCTCTGGCTACAGTGCTGCTTGCTTTGGTCCTTTATGTCCGTTACTATTCTTTCCTACTTTGGTCCGTTACGGTGCCGCATAAATGGTCCGTCACAGTGCTGCTTACCTTGGTCCGTTAAGGTGTTGCTTACTTTTGACCGTTACAGTGCTGTTTACCTTGGTCCGTTACAGTGCTGCTCATTTTCGTTACGGTGCTACTTTTACTTATTCCATAAATATACTAAAATGTGTACGGTACTATATGATGCTAAAATAACGATCAATGTAAGTAAACTGTACAAGGAAAAAATTTTCTAAAATAAATAACGACGTTTCGAGCATAGCCACTTGATAACGGGCTATGCTCGAAACGTGATTAATTATTTTAAACAAAATTTTCCTGGTACAGTTTACTTACACTGATCGTTGTTACTACTTTTACTTATTTTCTGGACCGTAATATCTCTGCTATCTTTAAAAATGGAGAACGTAGTCCAACATTCTTTCAATTTTTAAGGAACAATTTATGCAGTTGCCAACGGACCTAAAGCCTAAGTTGAACAACAATACGTTGGTTTTGCTACTTTCTTAATTCGGATATTCTTTATAGTTACTCAAATTCATAGAAATAATCTTAGTACACTAACTAACAAGATCAATAAAAAATTAATGTTTTGGGGCTCTTATTCGGGGGGCGCTTATTTGAGTGTATTTGGCGTAGTCAGGAGGGACCAATTCAAGGGGAGGTGTTTATACAAATGGATGGGTTTTATCGAGAATACGGTATGTTCATGCGCATGCCAGCGCCATATCGTATCATCTTCTTCGGGTAATGATTTGTAATTAGAATCGCTGCGGGTAGTGCCAGCGTCGTAGCAGCTTGCAGCTAAACCACAAGCAATGCACGCTCTACTTTCTGCACGCTTCAAAAGTCGAAATAATGCGCGCTTCCCGCTCCTTGTTATGTTTATCATTGATTGGTTGAATTCCCAAGCACACCCTCTCGATCAATCATTTAGAGATTCTTTTATCATAGGTCACCGCTGATTGGCAAAAGACAATTGTATGTCAATCAAATTTATCATATGATCAACTGGGATAAAGACGACGCAGTAAATTCTCATGGTTTTCATGTGACAATCAATAAGTAATTGATAAAATTCTTACAATTTGGAAAATTTCCGATAAAAACAGGAAGAAATGGCATTGAGATTATCTGGATTTGGAAGATTCCCGTCGCGAATCAGCAAAGTTAAATGGTGGGTATCAAGTTGCATTGGGGTAAGGTGGGTTTGGCCTAGGCCATGACCACAAACATGACCTTAAATAACATACTTAAAGCTGTGATAAATTTCATCGAAAGGATGGTTCAGTTTCAGTATCAGATGGGGCTGCAACTCAGTCGAAATTTTTTATTATATGTTTCTTTTCATTACTTTCCATGTGTGCTTGAACTTTTCCAATTTTCCTGGCACACTCCGCTCAGTGTGAGGTTACGCAATACACCTGCCACGCGTATGCCCCTTACTGCTAAGCCGTTCTCGACCAGATATCACGCGCACGCACTGGCAAAATATGTGTACACGTTTTGCACTGCAAAGTTTCCCCTCATCCCTTTGCTTTTCAAAATTTAAAACACTCTACTACGCAGAGTTTGGCACTTTTCAACGAGATCTGTGGTGCGCGCAAGGGCAAAATACCTAGTTTGCCGGTGTCATACCTGCGGTGTGCAGTAAATTTGCAGTTGCAATTCGGGAACACCATTTCACTAATAAGAATTGTCATTCTTTGAACTGTTTTTGTTCTATAAGATTATCTAAATGGGTATTGCCCTTGTTTTCCGGTGCACGATGGGGTGGTCAAAAAAATGCCTAAGCCCTACCATTCCAGAGCCCACCGTCACATCTCCCTAAAATAGACAGTGAAGTGTCCGAGGTGTCCGTCACAGTGTTAAAACTTGTCTGGATCACTCGTAGAATGCAGACAAAATATCAATCCTTGAGAAGTTTGAGAGTACCATAACCAAATATGATTACAAATAAATTTTTTTTATTTGGTGTGGATAGCTCAACATGAATTAAAAACAGTACAATCTGATTTAGAAACTGAAGTGAAACAAAATATAATATATTCTGTATCATATTATAGTTTTGAAAAAGTAAACTCGAAGTCAAAACCCAACTGGTGTGCAGGAGCTTTAAGGAAGCTTAGGGGGCTGGCTAAGGGGGGAGTGGCTAAAACTGAATAAAAAGAGGACTGGTGACGATCCATTTCCAAATTCTTTATTTTTAGACACAAAAGCACAGTGCCTAATGCCTTTATTCAAATGTACATTCGTTTCATTCAATCAAATCAACACAACAGAAGTGTCTTTCTAATCCCCTCCCCTGATTATTCAGTTTTGAAACCATTGCCTTGTGTTTGATTTTTGGTAAATTTTAGGCTTTAGAGTCAAATCTAAATGCTTTTTTGGCATATGTTTTCTTAGCTGTTCAAATTAACTTCCTGTCCTACCAAGGCAATGACACACCTCCTTTCGATGAACTTTACATATGTTCAGTGTTTGAAAGCTTAATATTTTGATGGTTCTTTGGATCTTGATTTTTTAAGTGACCCCATTTTTAGAATCTGATTTTCAAGCCTAAAGAACACTGAATGACTGTGTGGGCTGAAATCCTTAATATTTAGTTGTGATATCTTTATATCAAGTTGAAGGTAACCAAGTTTTTACTGAACTTGACTATAAATAGGATATTATCAAACTTTTATTTGAGGTATCAGAGGTCTGTAGTTAAATATAATATTATCCCCACAATTATCTCAAACTATGGACAAAGTCAATTTCTAGAACATTAGCTGCTCAACTGTTATTTTGACAAGTGTATTTCTCAAACTATTGTGTATTTCAAACTACAAGTGTATTTCTGCAACAGTAAATCACAATGCCTGTTTACTACCGCTTATCTGTACTTAAAGCTGTGCAGATATGGTATTTAAACAACAGGCTAGGTTCTTATTTCTATACTTTCTGTAGTACCTGAATTTCATGTGCGGTTTTCATTGAACTTCCCTTCATGAAAGAAAAGAACAAGTGGGAAGGAGCTAGTGCCAAAAACAGTTGCCTAAGATATGATGGTGCAAATTGCTATCCATTAAGGAAACTTGGCTTTCTCTGCAACTGATGTGCAAATTTATAACCCTTCCTGTGCACAAAAAAGGATCAACCCAGTCCAATTTATACATTCACGTTATACAAAAATGAAACTGATCAACTTGTCCTTTGATATCTTGTGACGTTTTTGTTAAAATAAATATGCCTGTGTGGCTTTGGGGACAAGAATTATGAAAAGATGCATCATATAGCACATTTTATTTAGATGGAATAATAAACATTTATATTGGTGGAATATATACAATATCCAATAAAGATTTTGTAATAAAATGTTTTTATACATTTTTCCAGTTTGAGGCTTCTGAGCTCCCAGCAGCTGCCTCCAAATGAACCTTTCACAAACTTTGAAGACCCAATTGTCAGAGAAAGATTGAACGAGGCATTAGCAAGAGTAAATGGCCAGGTAGAGGACATTCCAATTGTTATTGGAGGTCAGGAATTCAGAACAAATGATGTCAAATACCAAGTATCAGTGAGTATGAATTTCATGTTACTATATATGTTACAGCTATGTCATAAAAAGCAAATTTTTGCCATTTATATGCAAGGTTCAAATTCAATGAAAGTAAAATGATATTTATGATTGTCTATTTGCCATTGAAAAGTAGGAGAGTTGAGATATTAATAAATCTATGAAGCTAAAATTCATGCATCATGCCTTTTTACTTAGAGCTGTAAATTGAAATGAAGTCAACATGTCAAGAAATCGCAAGGGCTGGTATTATACTATATGTTTTCTTAACATGTGTCATATAATTTTGTTTTCTAGCCATATGATCATCAAAAGAAAGTGGCAAAATACCACTATGCAGACAAGGCAAGTTTTATTTTTTCAATAACGATTTTCTGAATTAAAGATATTTAGTGTTTGTTAACCAGGCCCTGAAATGAGCAAAAGTTGGGCTCTTGGTTAATCAAGCTCCTCCATTAAGTTAGGTGCTTGATCAAACTTCTAGTTTATTTGTGTTTTTTGATCATATTTTCTTAAATGTGTGCAATCAACATTGGTAAGTAATAGCTTGCGAAATCAAATGAAAGCGAACTGTTATGATGAACTTTAACATAGTCAAAGAAAAATTTAATACTTAGTATGAATGTGCCTGGATTATACACTTTATGTACATCACGGAGGACATATGGACGTTATTGCCAGACATTCGCAAAAAGACGTTCCAAAACTTTTTAAAAACGCTTTGAATGCCCAGATGGTGTTCCTAATGAAGGTCTAATGTAGTTCAAATACAAAGTGCCTATAGTATTCCTAAACATTTGCGGTGGAATTGATTTTCAAATGCATTTTCCATTGAGATGTGGTTAAATCAGGTTAATTATATTTCCTATGTTTTGATATACCGGCTTCAATCGAGTGATCGCTCGCATCAAATAAAAAGGCCTGCAACACAGAAGTGAGGCAAATGGAAAATAGCACATGTGATCTGAACATTACTTGGGATTTGCAATGCCTAGTGTTTTAGTTGCCAAATGTTTTAGCTGTTTTTGCAATCTTGAAAAGTAATAACCTAATATATCAGCTGTTGATATATTAACATGTATCTGTTGAATTCCCAAACTCACTTTTTTCAATGTATATTATAGGCATTAATAGAAAAAGCTATTGAAAATTCACTGAGTAACAGAGAGAGATGGGAAAAGATGCCTTTTAGTCAAAGGTTTGTCGTCCTTGTTTTACATTTGTTTACCTGATTTGTCAATATCTTGTTTCATTATGCACACTGTTGTTTATTGTTTATTAGGATTTATCTACAAAAATACAACTATAGCTCTATCAAATGAGGCAGAGGTGCAACCCATTAATTTGTGAGAAATCTTGTTTTGGATATTCAATAATTACCTATCTACAGCAGTAATCTGTATAATCATTATATGCTCTAATTTATTATGGACTATTCATTGTCAATCTTATCAAAGAAATTTTCAAAAGTGCTTGAATTTTATAAATCAATATTCATCTGCAGATTTTATAGTTTTAAATATCAAGAAGAAGTTGGATTTAATATAAATATTATTAAAGATTTTGTCTTTTTTTGCAGAGGACCTATTTTCATGAGGGCAGCAGAATTGATGGCAACAAAGTATAGATATGATATGCTTGCAACAACAATGGTAGGACAGGTGAGGAATATCTTTTTTATAAACAATTTTGCTTTTTGGTAATTGCATGCAGCTTTGCTTTAGATATAATTTTACAAGTTTTCTTATCATGTTGACAGTTTCTGTCTTTGAGGATAAGAAAATTTACTTGTTTTTTATGTTTTGAACCTTCTTTTCATGGTTGCATGGGACAGTACCCTCAGTATGTCAGTCTTTCTGATATGCTTTTCTTTGACAGGCAAAGACTCCCATCCAGGCAGATATTGATGCAGTAGCTGAAAGCATTGATTTCTTAAAGTTCAATCACCATTATGCAAGGGTGAGTACCTTTAAAGATAGCACCAGTGGCAGGGGCATTATTGCTAGTGACTCTTAGGGGAGGCACTGCTTGTACATTTTTTGACAATGGGTCTAAATTAAATTATGACATCATTAAGCGTATGTTCAGTTTTTTAAATACAGATAGACATGGCAAACAATATGTACATATCTTTTCCAGCATCACTTTTACAAATTTCAATAGTCGGTCAGAGAAAAACCAGCATATGTATTCGAACATTGAATAATCATAATCATCAGAAATCAGTATCTGTGATAAACAGTAAAACTTGCAATAGGACTGACAATTGATATCTTAAGAATCTAAGGAAACTAAATGGACGACTTTCAGTGCATGAGTAGTCTCCTCAACAATGGCGTGTCAGCAAACTTGCTGTCAGCTTCATCATAACCCAGTGCCAAGACGAACTCAACATTTGTTCAACCTCTCTTGGCCCATTGTTGATTGCAGCCAATTTTTCTCACACTTGAGCTTTAAAAAGGTGCACTTGCATTTAGAAATACCAATTGGAAAGCTAACCATTTCCTGTACAAGTGTACAGATTTGGTTAGGCAGACTGTAAAATAAATAACCACTTTATATGTCTGCAATTACTGTATATGTCTGCAAAAACTTTTTCTGTTTATATCTTCCTCTTTTTACTGATTAGTTCCTTTGAATTTTCTTGCTTTTCATGAACTACAAATTTTATTTTGCCAGAAAGATGCAAAATTTCCAACAAATTGCCGAGTGGTCCATGATACACGAGCCCCTGTGCCCCCCACAGTCAGGCGCCCCTGACTAGTTGGTAATAAAAAGGGTGATTAAAATGATTTTGTCCTGTACAAAATTGATAGAAATGCACAACTGAAGTTCTGTTGAAATTTGTGTCTCTCATACTGCATCTAACCCTTTTTTCTTTCCACTCACTACCATTTATTGACCCCTCTATCTCAAAGCCACACTTATTTGTCCAATATTCATCCTCCAACTACCCCTCTTCCTACTTTTTCTCTACTTCATATCTTCCCTTATTTGGCCTTATCTACACCTCTGTCTAATGCATGTTTGTCGCTCTATTGAATTATTCAATTATACAATGGACAGGCAACCAAAAAACCTTCAACCATAGTGTTGTGTCAAGTTCACATTAGTTGTTATGCTTCAATCTTAAAAATAGTTGTTGAGGTAACAACTAAAAGATGCAAGATAACAGTAGAGTCAGACAATCACTCAAGATCAATCCCCCCCCCCACTTTTTTTTAGCTGCACAGACCCATGTTTATTTTACTAGCACATGAATCAATTTTGAGGTCGGGAAAAAACTTCAGAAATGTCTGTTCATGATTGCAGTTTTTTGTCATTCTATTTATTCTATATTTTTCATTGCCTTTTCAAAAGATAGGTCATTCTTTCTGGACATTTTAGTTTTCTTTGTGTACACGATTCAAAGATATCTATGTTTACTTGAAGCAATTTTTTTCAAAACTGTTTTCAAAACATAACACTGTTTAGCTTCTTCTCCATATACTTCCCATAATGCTACTACAATGCCAGCTGTGAATTACTTTTAAAATTTTCCTGATTATCAAATAAGTTCAAAGGATATTGTTTGGTTTTCCAGGATATTTATGAAGGACCTGCTTTGCATCAACCAAAAACAGTTATGAATCATGTTGAATACAGAGGTTTGGAGGTATAATAGAATTTCTTTGTCTCTTTTCAGTTATTTTCTAGTCTCAAAATGTCTGTGTTTTTCAACTCTAACTTGCACTTGACCTTCACGTGGCTGCTGCATAATGCGTATTGGTTTGGATAAACAAAAGAGCATAACAATATTTTCCAATGTTTTTATATTATGGCAAAATAATTAGCTTTTTCATACTAAAAACAATTCATTTTATCTTTGTAAGGTTTTAAGAAATAGTCTTCCTTATCGAACAACTCTAGTGCGCCAGTCCTTTCACTGTTCGTTATACAGTTTGATGACTTGGTTGTAAGCAAATCTTTGCACAACAACAGTATATAGTTAATGTTCTTATCAAGCGTGAAATACGGACTAGCAACTAAGAATCGTCCTGTTCAACACTCGATAAACATCCTTGCACAACAAACGTATTAAACTGCTACCTTAACAACTCATTAATTGTAATCTCTGAGAAGGAATGTCAAAAGATATCAAGGAAAACGTTGTTATAGTCCTGTCTGAAGTTTTTATGTCTATGAGTGTGTGGGGAAATTAGGTCCAGATTTAAAGCAATATTTTTTTCTGCTGCATTCCTTGCCTTACCTGGACCAACCTAATAACATAATACCATCCTGCTTCACGGGCAAATATTGTCGCATGAACAAAACAAAGTATGATAGCATGATAGCAAATACCTTAAAAATGCTTTTGCTAGTGGTGTTTGTTTCGGTGTTTTCATTATTTTGAATTTTTGTTGATGTCTAGCATACTGATTTTCTTGCAGGGCTTTATTGCTGCAATCAGTCCGTTCAACTTCACAGCCATTGGTGTAAACCTTGCTGGTTCTCCTGCAATGGGCGGCAATGTCGTTCTGTGGAAGCCATCTGATACTGCTATGCTATCTGGCTGGTTGGTGTACAAAATTCTACGAGAAAGTGGCTTGCCTGATGGTACGTCGTTCTCACCTTTCCTATATTTATTTAATCTTTTTAGTTGATTATCTAAATATGATTTCTTGCTTAGTTTCAGGTTGTGGCATATAACAATCCAAACCAAAAATAATTTTAATCGTTGTTGGACGACGTTCTCCTAATCGCAGACTTCATTAGTATCTAAGAATGGCTGAGGTGCTGCGAATGGTTGTTAATTAATTTATCTATCCCTTTTCGTAGGCATCATCCAATTCGTACCATGTGATGGTCCTCTATTTGGTGACGTCATAACAAACTCTCCCGATCTTGCTGGAATTAGTTTCACTGGAAGTTCAAAGTATGTTGTTTCTGCTAACAATTTGAGTTTTCTAAGCATTTAGATTTTTGCTTTATATTCATATAAACAAATAGAATATACGGGCATAAGAATCAAGATAATATTTGGCAGAAGCTGATCAGGAAAAGATTTCAAACAAATTCTGTAACAGATATTTCTCGTTGGTCCTAAAGGGGTTTTTTATGATGTGTAGTGTAGAGCAAGGATGGTAATATTTCTCTTCTCATCGTAGATGCATTCTTCTTTTTTACTGAATGGGACCTCCTATCTGCATCTAAACAATTCAATTTCTCTTCACAGGACGTTCAAAAATATTTGGAAATCCGTCGGTAACGGAATTGAAAATTACAAGTAAGAATTTGTATATATACTTCTTTCACCTGTTAGATTTATCGAAAGATATTAGCAAATATTTGTGACTTTAGATGATAAATTATCATTAATATTTAAAACCTTCAAATGTTCACTTACTACTTCAATGTTTCAGTGAAAATTTTATCTTCGTTAAGTATATACTTTTCTGTGACATATTTGCTCCAAGAATCCGTGTTTATTAGAATCAAACCCTTAAGTAACTCCTGATGAAATTCTTCTTTTTAGGACCTTCCCTCGTCTCGTTGGAGGTGCGTTTGCAAACATATTTTGTATATATTTGATATTTTTTTACCTCAATTTTCAATATTGTAAACCTATTGAACATGATGTACGGGCGGACTGGTCGGATTTATCAACTTTGGAGAGCATAACAGTTATCTTAATGATATAGAATTGATATGTTTTTAACAATCTCGATTTTTGAGCTTTGACGTGCCGGTGGATATGTGTACACTTGTCGTAGCCGTTCTAACGATATTGTACAATTTCTTCGTTTTTTCTATAAATTATGTCCATAAAGATTAAACCTGGTTTCGTTAACAAAACCGTTCTATTTTCAGAGTGTGGTGGCAAGAATCTTCATTTTATCCACGAGAGTGCTGATGTTGGTAGGTGTCGTTCGCCTTGTCCCATCATTTACTTCCCCCAAACGTTTATTGCATATTCAATCCTCGAGCTTCAATCTGTGAGATGGTTTAGAAGTCGCCAATTTTTCAAAACAAGAAACCAATCAAACCCGCCATTCATCTACTCTACCCATTTTGGTCCATACGTACAGTCCCGGACAAAATGCATGAGATTTTAGAAAGAACCTTACACATTTCAGCTCGCCCCCCTCTTTTTCAGTGTCGATGCTGTTTAAAAAGATATTTTGGCTGCAATCCCAACCTTGAATTTGGAGGGTTTTTTCTGTGACCACTATTGTCTTCAATTTTCAAACATCAAATATTTTCTCGACCATTTTCCCTAGGTTGTAGATTAAACCTTTCTGACTTTTTCTGACATTATCTGACACTTTGTTCTCTGTGGAGTTTATGAAGGCCTGTTATTAGTTAACAGTTAAACAGTTCGGGAAAATTGTAATTCCTTTAGTTCATCTTCTAAGTAACCTTCTGTCTATTTTGTTCTAGATACTGTTGTAAATGGCACAATTTTATCATCTTTTGAGTTCGGAGGGCAAAAATGTTCTGCTTGTTCGAGGCTTTATGTCCCAGACACACTGTGGCCTCAGGTAAGAAGGCTGATCTTATACTGATCTGATTTTTTGGTAATGAAAAAACTTGTAAAAAATAGTTGATTAGATATCAAATATGTTTGATATTGTTTACGAAAGCTAATGTTAACCAGTGGCGGACACCTGGGGTTAAGGTTGAAGGGGAGCAGTAGCCCCTCCATATTTTTTTAAGCAATGGTCTTTTGTTCTAAAAGAATGGACGTGAAGTCATCTTATCAAACAATAGGCTTGCTCCCAATATTTGACCAAGTGTCTGCCACAGCTGTTAACTGTTTGCCAGATTCAATTCAATTCTTTCATACATTGCAACCTAAAAATACAATCTGTTGGCAGTTGTCTAATGACCCTTTCAAGTGTTCAACATTGAGTTATGGATTGAAATTCTCGTGTTCTACGCAACAAGTCATGTTTGATCTGATATATTCATCTTTCAAGTCGACAAATATGATTAAATTAAGAGCGAAAGGCAAATATATCTGGTTACGTAATTTGTATTGCCCTGAAACGCCTGGTCTGGAACCAGCTTATTGTTCTGACTGGTCGAAATAGTAACTTGTATTTTGACTGGCCATTTTGAGTCGGGTATTGACCTAAGACTAGAAGGGTCCAACCAATCTGTAAGGTTGAATTAACGTTTAAACTATGAGTGCCGTCTGTATTTCCATGATGAATAATATTGAATGTTGTAATTTCTGAAAGAAATATCCAATGCTTTTTCATCGATCAGCGCATTCTAATGATTTTATTAAACAGAAAGTTCTTATGATATTTCAAGGCTAATTTCAAGAGTTAATCGTAAAAGATAAAAAAGCTGTTGGCTTTAACGCCACTAGTTTATTCGTGGTTAATGGGAGTGGATGGGACGAATAATCTTCTAGTAGCTTCTTGATAAATTATAATGCGGCTTAATAACAGTCACGATGGAACATCAACAGACCATCATCATTTTTACATTTTGAGCAGCTTACAGCATACATCAAGTCTCTAGTTTTTATATGTCTCGCTTGTTTTTCTTTTTGTAGATAAAAGAAAAGCTGGTTAACATAATGGGCCAGTTGAAACTTGGAAATGTAGGTAACCCGTTTTGATGTATTCGTGTTTATGATAAGGGCCACCGATTAATATTGAAGTGTCATGGATAAAAATATATCTGGTTTTTTATACTATAACTAATAATTTGTATTGTTATGAATAAATGCATTGATAAACTGCATTTTTGTATAGAATCAGATTCGATCGCGATTATATGACTTAGACTCCTAGTGGAACTTTCTCTGCAAATATTTTGAAATTTCTTCATCCAAATAAAAGCTTGTAAATTTCTTCATCCAACAAAAATGTGCGGTTATCTTGCGTAGCTTTAAATGGAAGTTTGTAGTGATGTCATCGCAACTCAACTAAAGTAGTCCTATTCAATCTTTTACATTTCTTTCATACTTTAGTTATGTAATTTACGCAAATTTGAATTCAAGTAGACCGAGTTAATAGAACCAGTAAATTTTGTTGCAGCCAGAGGAATATTCTACCTACCTATCTGCTGTGATTGATGAGCGGGTAAGTGAAAAATATACATTTGTAGAATGCTGTATGAAATTATAGTCTTGCCCGATACTGAGAGAAATTTTTCTGCAAAATAACAAATCCAGAATTTCATTGGAGAAAGATGTTCGATGATAGTGGATCTTTTATCAGTCAAAGAGATGTTTGCGAACACACCCCGCTTGCAAGAGAAACAGTTTTGTATGAATTATTGAAGAAACTTTATGGCAATTGAAATTATGATATAACAAAGTTAGCAAGCTATGGTTGCAAGTTAGGTTTTCTTACTTGACTACTAAGATCCGTGGCCAATGGCTATACCTTTTGTAAGATCACAGTCTGTAAAGTAATGTCTTCTCTGGGAAGAGAGACAAATTGAGCTTCCCAGTGAGCTTGATGATTTTTTTGCAAAGAAGTAAGAAGAGAGTAATAAAACGGAGAATGAAAGTGCAGGTTCTAGGTTACTTTCCCCCTTTTAAAATGCTAGGAACGTGGTTTTCGGTTGTTCAGTGTTCTATTTTAAGTGTACTTAACATGCTTGAAAAGAAGCACTAGGTACACAGTCTGCAATTGAAGGTATATCTGTTTTTCGTATCAGCTTACACTCTATTCATGCTTATAATTTGCCTTCTTATGCTACAATTCCTTTTTTTAGTCGTTCGATAAAATTTCCTCGTACATTGACTACGCCAGGAATTCACCACAGGAAGAGATAGTTGCAGGAGGCAAATGCGATAAAAGGTGCGGACAGTTTTTAAAAGGATTTTTGTAATTTTTCAGATTGCTTTTAAGATGAAAGCATTTTCTAGATGAGTGTACTTTTCATCAAACACTGAAAAAACCACTCTTTAACAATGATTTTTTGAACAAGATCTTCTTTTCATTCTTTCTATCAATCAGAATTTATTGGAGCCCCTTTTTCGTTGTCTGCTGAAAAACAATAAAATGTCTAGGCTTTTTCTTGTCTGAAAACGTTTTTAATGCTGTTTTTTCAATGCCATAGAATTTCAAGATAATTTATGATTTTTTTCTTTGTCTTAGTGTTGGGTATTTCGTCGAGCCAACATTAATAGAGACGAAGGACCCAAACAGCAAACTTCTGAACGAGGTAGGCTGATTCTTGAAAGAATATAGACTATCAGGGAGTAAAGAGAACGGAAATTTTGCAAGCCCCGGCAAAATAAATAGGTCAACATAATTAACTTTCAGAAAGTACTCAAACTCTTGTATAAGTAAGAAATTATACCAGCTTAAGTATTAAGAACTAGGAGCGTTGCTTATTTACACCTACAATGCCTGCCAAAAGTACTTGGAACACCCAGCAATTTACGCTGCATTTGATATCTTTCATTCCTTTCATGAAAAAAGTTACTACTTCCGCCCCCTTCCCCCTAAAACAATGTTGATGATTTAGAGAAATACCATATAAAAGGCGCAAAAGAAAATGCTTCCTAAAATCCTAACCCGTTTGATAGTAAATCAACATTGTTCTGTAGGGGAGGAGGGGATGATTGATTTTGACCATGGAAATTGATGTCAGTGTTCCAAGACTTTTGGCAGGCATTGTAGATATTGTAATAACCATAGAGAGAACAATAATGTTGCTCGGTTGTACAGGAAAATAAATGAACAGATTCACAAATGGTTTTGTTGCAGAAAGAGAGGGCATAAGTTTCCTTCATATATTCAAATACTTCATGACTATGTATGCGATTCTCAAGTTTCATTTTTAATGTACCACGCGACCAGAGAACAATATAATCCAGCTTTAAACTGGATGTCAACTCATGCCTAGCTATTGTATTAAATTTATAAAGAAGATATCGACTACCACACTAAATTTCCAGGATTTGTTGGTTTTCTCAAACGGAATTTTGCTGTTGCCTTTCAGGAAATATTCGGACCAGTATTAACCGCTTTTGTGTATCCAGCAAGTGAATACAAAGAATATATGAAGCTGGTGAGTAGGGTTTTGCCATGCAATATTCGTATTATTTTTACTTATTTTTATAATATTCGTATCTTTGCTAAGTCGTCTTTTTTACCTAAATTTTTTCGCTTCCAAATTTGCATACCTGTTGGGATCACAATGTTTGATATACTGATGATAAAGTTTTGATGTGCTTTGAAAGAATTTCATTTTCAAGTTTTCAAGAAGCAAGGATTTCGGATTATCTTAGTCGAGAATTCAGTTTTGTCGATTTTTGTTTGCAATTGATGTAATCCTTGTCAGATTTCTTTTGCAATTTTCGCATCTGAATAAATGTAATCATTTGTAGTTTAAAGTTTTGCTGCACTGTTTTTGGACTATATTTTTGCATTTTTTTATACTTGGATTCATATTCATTGTCTAAAAAAGCACGAAAAAGCAGAAATATATCATACTGAAGTCCTAACGAGTAATCTAACAAAGTCCTTAGAGTGCAAAAAATTGAAAAGTAGCTAAAAAGTATGCAAAGAGTACTTCTTTATGATATGTTCCCGCTTTTTTTTGCTATATTGGAGTTTTGTCGTACCAGAAGCTTATTGCCTCTTTTTTATTTTGCATTCCTTTAGGCAAGTACTACGTCACCTTATGGCCTCACAGGATCAATATTTGCAAAGAATAGGTATCTTTCTGTTATTTTCCCTATCAAAACCTTCTCGATAACTTCTTACACCTCAACTTAACTATCACATCAGTTCGTCAAAAATCGTAATATAAATGAGAGTAAAGTTAGAAATTACGTAAAAAGGGTTTTGAAAGGGTGAATATCCCTTTAAATGTCTCTCCCTATCGACGTGTTTCTTGCTTCATAATTCAAAATTATTGGAAACGAGAATACCAAAACCCTGAAGCCGAATAAAGCATTTATAGTGCAATGAATTCCTTTTCACTTAGACGTAAAACTCTAAAGTTTACATTTTGCATACTTCCAGGAATGTCATTGAGGATGCTTGTGAAATTTTCAAGCAAAGTGCTGGCAACTTTTACATAAATGACAAGTCAACGGGATCCGTAGTGGGACAGCAGCCTTTCGGAGGAGCCCGCGCATCAGGTAACACTGTGATACAGTAAACAGTCTTTTTTTCTCTCTAAAGTGTGTTGTGTGTAAAGTGTGTTGGCAAATCTATATATTGTACATGGCGCTATAAAGGGATATTTAGTTTTCCAGGAGAACAATTACTATTAAGAGATCATTCGTTTTTAAAATTACTTTTTGGGTGGTATTTCTATCCATAACATTTATAACTCCTGTCTAGTTTTATTTTGTTCTTTTACCTGCAAATTGATTTAAGATTTTTCTACGTTTTTGGGACTAATATTTCTTTTGCCTTTAAGAAATAAATGATCATTTTGTATTGAGAAATGGCCTCAAACACTCAATAGCATTTTAAAAATGCACTTTGCATCCTTTATGACTAAGATTCTATTGAAGACAGACCTCATAAAATTCGTGATTCGCAGGAATATTTAGAAAATGCGATTTTTTACGATATTTCGCAGATCGTATCTAACACATGTCAGTTTGTGATCTGGTTAATCACAACTGATTATTAATATCCTTAATTCTTTGCAATAAATATCTTTGAAATGTGTTTGATATAAAGACTTGAGAAATGCTGATATTATGTAAAACTAATGTTTGCAAACCCAAGAAGAACTACATTTATCATAATATTGTTTTGAGACCTCCCAGCTAGAATCAAAATGTTGTCCACGACACTTTACTTCTCGCATTGTTTCACATAAATTAACAGACTTATGTCATACCTGGATGTCATATCTTTCAGTTCAAGCAAATTTTGAAACAGGCTCAGATATTACCCACTATCACTCTTTTCTGGAGGGGATTTGCCTCATTTTTATCTGTGCATTTTTGACTTTGAGATTTAGGTTTTAAATGTGTCTTCAGTTCAGTGTATTTATAGCACGCTCGTCGATCAATAAGAACAGACCCAAAAAAACTTCCTTGTATTCTCATGTTACGCTTCATAACAAAGCGAAAGTCAGCTCTCATAATATTTACATAAACCTGTTGCTAAAGATTTCATTATTTGTTTCAAGGAACAAATGACAAGGCTGGCATGAACACTTATATGCTCAAATGGTTATCTCCACGATCAATAAAAGAAAGCCTGGTGCATATCAATAACTGGAGATACCCCTGTATGGACTCTTGAATGATGGAAAGTTACGTTAATATTAGAGCTTATGGTTTTATCTGAGTCGAGTATGTGTTTTATTGTGTCTAGCTGAAATAGAATTTAATTTTAATCTGGAATCTATTTCGGCTACTCAGTGAGCAAAGATAGATTTATTTGCATTTAACTTCAAGCTTGAAAAAGCTGTTATTTTCTATTTAACCTAATCGATGTATTACCATAGTCAATAAAAAAGCTTTCATTGCATAATAACCCAAATCGTTTATAATATCCCCAATCTTACATAATTTCGTAGCCTCGCTCCCAACCCTAAATCGCTAACTACTGGTCTCGCATAGTTCTCTACCGCAAGCCATAATATAGCTTATAATCTAGTATGTGTACTATACTCTACCGAATTTAAGTATATCTTATCGCTTCTAATCCATATCAATATAAATGATACAATTAAAATGTGAGTAGCCATTCCCAGCGTATTTTCCTATCAGATCATAGGTGCCTGTGAGAGCATTATATTTAACAGTTTTAACTTTTGCTTGTAGTTTTTAACCTACTCCTGACACCGTTTTTGTCGTAGATGTGTTTTGCAATTTCTGAAAATAGAAATTGCTACAAACGCAAACTGCAAACTGTAAAATTTCGTCGTTTGAATCGCTAAAGTAAGATATAACTTCGGTAATGCTCGTTGACATTCGTGAAATTGAAGCAACGCAAAAATTTCGGTCTAAATCAGCAGTTGTCTAATTCAAACACGTATACGATGACTTAAGATGGAGCTTTGAAAGTAGAATTTTATGTTAGTTGTTAATCAGAGCAGTATTTAGAGGCTTTATTTAGAAGCAAATTAACTTTGCAATACGTAACTGGTATATTAAAGAAACTTTCCTCGCATTAACAAAGTAGAGTAGGAATGAAAACTGCTTGTTATTGATGATGTCTTTCCATTCTTTTTACTATTTGGCAATTTCCTGGTACACCTTTAACGATTGATTTGGGGTGAAAGTTTATTGCTTCACCAAAGTTTATTGCTTCACGTGGGAAGTTTTATGCAAACACCATAGAATAGAACCACTTTGAATTATGTCTTGCAGGATCTAAAATTTCTTTTAAAAGATGAGCGCCTCATGAGTAAATCGATCGATAGCGGTTGTGAAACAACCCATCGAATCGCAGTTACTTTTATCAAAAGGATTTTGTGAATAAAGAGGAGCTTCTCAAAGTAAAAATGGAGTAGGAATTCTCATATGATATCATTCTCAAACCCCTATATTGCTAATGCAGTTAATTTTGAAAAACAATAGGAGGCATTTCTACAACTTAACATTCAACAATAAAAATTTAAATACACCAAAACATGACAAACTTTAACCAACTAAATGAAGATCTTTCATATCATACAATACTTTGAGTGAAAATCTTTAAACTTTATGTCTGATCAATCAAAAAATGAAGTTTAAGAACTATGTGAAGTGACTGATCGGATAAGAACATAGCCCAAGAACACAAAATTTTTTATTAGAAATAAAACCAGGCGACACTAGGTGTAACGTTTTAAATTCAACAAAGCGTTTGGTGGCAGGGGAAAAAATTGTGTCTGGGCTGTTGTTATAGAATGGTACGATCAAGCTTGAATACAAACATCTGTTGACTATCTGAACTTCTTTGCCAATAATATTTAAAGGTGCCTATAAGCAATGGCGTCTGTACCCTAATTTAACGTTTTTGTATTGTCCTCATTTCTGCAGCTCCAACGTTTTTAATACCAATCGACCAGAACTTAAAAAACCTAATTTATAAGCGACTCATTACTATGCCTTTCTGATCTATGGCTTTATCTATGGGTTGAATAACATTATCAATTTCTACCACAACTATTGTGCGAAAACTTTACGTCCCTGAAAAGTGTAACTAGTAACAGTATATTTTATGGCTACTTTGAACAGCCGCGTGAGCCAACTAACGAAATGGTTTTAATGACCATCAGGATATTGTTTAAAGAGACAATTATGATGCGCTTGAACGCAGGAGGGTTAGACATTATCTTGACTTTTTACAAGATTGAATGGGGCGCTATTTGGTTCATCTAGTATCAGAACTAGAAATTACAGTTTTAGCTGCAAGCAGTGACTCACTGGCAGATTACCAGTGTATCCAAACAAGGTAGCATTCTATTAATTTGTATTTAGTATACTTGCCTCTTTCTCACATTAAAAGTCTGCGTTGAACACCTTCAAAACTCAGGCGAATCATCGCTTTCATCTGCATATTTGTGATTGACAGGCACGACACTGTCCATCATATTATGACTGAAATTGGAAGCAACCTTCTGCGAATAGGTGTCTGCAAAAAGAATACATAATACTATGAAAAATGAAGAATGCAAAAGAGTGTGCAATGCTATCAAGAATATATTAGAAATTCACATCTACAAATTGGGAGCTCTTGTACGATAAGGAGACTACAATAGTGAAATTGTAGCCCCTTACAGTTTCTCGATGGATGATGTGCTTTGACATTGCCAATTAAATCTAAATCGGAACTGGATCACCCAACCCTAATTCCCTTCTTCAACACCCCCCCCCCCCTCCCAATAACCTACTTGAACTGCCATTGGAGGTAGATGGTAGCTTTAGTTGCCCTACCTTGATACGTGCTTTTGAGGATAGGTGACAGTCTCAGATCTTCGTCTGCATTGTCTGGTATAAGTGGGCTTATTTGCATGAATGTGCCCTTCTTCCTTCTATTTGACGGCATGATGCCTTCATCAACATGCTGGTCTACTGCATTTGAAAGGCTTGATGCGTTTAGGAAGGCCTCGCTAATGATGTCAGTTGCTTCTTGAAGTGAGATAATGTCTTGGGAAGATGTCTCTGTCCCTTGTGAGCATTGTTGGTTAGACGCCTTTCCTATGCCACAGGAAACAGCAATATCTTCACCTTTCTTTGCATTTTTTGCTTTATTTTTTGATGCAGATTTTGAAGTTGCTACTAATGATTTTTTTGTGTTAGTTTTAAACGTTGTATCTATATCCAGATCATCAACTTCACTTGATTCATCAGCCATAGCTGTCATACACTGGGTACCGCGGTACTTCATTTTTCTCGCTTTTTCTTTACCATCTTCAGCCAATTCATTAATGCTATCCCAACCATTTTTGCAAGGATTTTGCTTCCTTTTCAGGGGTGACGAAATAGACTCGAGATTTCTATCTTTATTCTCCTGGTTTGAAGATTTCTTCCTTGGCACAGCAAATATAGACTTCTTTCCAGGCTTCACAGTGCCTTTCAAATTCTTCTTAATTTCAATTGATGCATTATCAGTTTTTGAAATCTTTGCGTCATCCCGAGCCTCATTGTCTTCAACATTCGAATCATCATCTATCGAACTTTTTTCCAAACTATTCATTTCATTATTATTCATATCCTTGATTTCATACATATCTTTCCTTTTCCTTGATATATTTCTTTTGATCTTTTCGTGCTGTTTACCAGAATCTTCTTTTTGCTTCTTTTTCGTCTCTTTATTTTCATCTTTTCGCTTCTTTTTCGATTCTTCTGAAGTACTCTCCACCGTGCTGCTCCTTTTGCTCTTTGATCGACTTCCTGCTGCCTTATTCTCGGTGCTTCTGTCTCTGCTATTGTTCTCCTTTGCAACGGTCTCAGTAGCCCTTACTAGTTTGGCAGCTTCATCATTCGATTTCTCGTCATCCTTGCTATGCTTTTTAATAGGACGATCTTTCTTTTTTTCTTTCGTCTGCTTCTTCTTCTTTGGGTTTTTAATTGCACTCTAGCTTTGGCTTTAACATCTTTTTGACATTCAATCAAATCTTGCTTATCAGTCTTTGCTAAATGATCTAACTTCTCTTCATGCTCTTCAGCAACCACTACAGGCTTCGCTTTTGCTTGCTTCCCACTGCTCTGTTTTCTTCCACTTCCTTTGCTTGCCGGTTTCTTGGCAGCCTTTTTACTCTGACAATCATCGGTCTCTTGTGAATCCTCCTTAGAGCTTGCTTCGTCTCCCAGGTCAATGTTGTCTCCATTCTTCAGATTCTTCTTTGCTTTTTTCATCATCTTTTCAGCGCGTTCTGATATCAATTTTTCATCGATTGGCACCAAGGTTGGCTTAACTAGCGAAGGTACCGAATTTATCTCCTCTCTGGTAAGCTGCCACGACTCTGTCTTCCTTTTAGCTGGCGAGGCCTTTGACTGCTCTTCTCGTATTTCTTCTCGTATTTCCACCGATTTCATCAGCCCTCTATCTCTTTGTTCACCAGTCATTGAATCCCCTTCATTGCAAAAATCTAAAAGGCCACTATTTCTGTATTTTTTAGGACTTTTGGGCAGCGTAACAGGACATGATTCCTCATACTGTACATTTCCGTCATCTGATTCCGTATAAACATCTGGAACAACTTCAGTTTCATTGGTAGCCCTATCCGCATCCTGTTTAGTATGCCCAACAGATCTGGGGCACCTATCTTTCATTTTCAGATTTTTTAAACCTTTCAATTTTTTCTTGATTCTTTCTTGGGTCTTTGACAGCTTGGCTATACCTCGATGTTTACACATTTCCAGCTTGTCAGTTTCATTGTTTCCACTACTTTTCTGCTTTTTGGATAAATCTGAAAAAAGAACGCTTTTCGTGTGAATTTAGTCAGCCTTTTGACATTTCCTGTTTGCAAAAGGTTGAAAAATTGGTATCTCTTCTTGGAGGGTTTATATAGACTCAAGTTAGCTTATGACTTTAAGGCAGGGCAAAGATTTTTTTTGCATTTGGTTCGAATTAGGCAATACTTTATCAAAGTGAATTAATAAATAAAGGGAAAACAAAATGCAATTAGAAACAGGTTTCCAAAACTATTTCAGCAACCATCATATGAAAGAAAACGGGTAAGCAGACATTTATTGAACTTGGATTCCTTTCAGAAGCATAAATTGTAATGCAGTCATGACTTCTATGATCTCAAAATTTTTTTACAACCAACCTCTTTTTTGCTTCTTGCTTTTCTTCTCCGTGTTCCCAGCCTCCTTATTTCTAGTTTTCTTATTCCCAGTTTCCTTGTTCCCAGTTCCCTTGTTCCCAGTCCCCTTGTCCCCAGTCTCCTTGTCACCAGTTCTCTTCATATGTTGCTTCATGGTTTTCCTCTTTGATATAATGCTCTTCCTTGGTTCTGAAGAAAAGGAAAAATTTATATTTTACAAAAATGGTAACATTTTAATGTCGGTGATATAAAGCTTCATTGCTCTTTAAAGGCATTTTCTTAATGCTAACGTACATTTTACAACATTTCAATTGAATTTAGCCTTCACGATGTCTCTAAAACCAATCAAAGATAATAAATAAAACGAGAAAGACTTACAGGGAGAGAAGAAGGACAAGAAATTTTAACATTATATACACCATTGTTGCCTACTATTCATGCTCTCTTTTCATATTCGAGAACAGGGAAAAAATTTTCAAAGTAAATTCATTCCACAATTTGTCTCATTTTTTTACCGTATTATAATCATACTGATAAAAAAATGACAAGATTGAAAGAGAAAGTTCCACGAACCTTCGCTTTTCTCTTCTGGGTTTCCAGCGTATTCCTTCCCATCATATCTGATTGTAAAGCCATACTTCGATATTCTTTCCTTGGGTACAAAAATCATTATACAGTCAATGAAAGATATCAGGTTTCACTAAGAGACAGCATAAGACAGGACAGGCAGGAAATGACAGGGCAGATCAGGGCAAAGCAGGACAGGACAGGACAGGTCAAGCAGGAAATAACAGGGTAGGGCAGGACAAGATAGGACAGGGTGGGCCTGATGATGATCAGCGCAGGGCAGGAAAGGATAGGGGAGAATAGGACAGGACAGAAAAAAGGGTGGGCCTGATGTTATAAAACTGAATAATTGGTACAAGGTAGACGAAAGGTGGATATCATAGTATCTCAATGAATGATTGATATATTACCGTATCAACGTAGGCTATGAAGGTGAATAAAAATTTCTTTACCTTGACAGAAAGCGTAAGAGATTGCTTTGCATCGTTAAAGGCATCCGTTACATCATTTTTGAAATTTGTTCCTCGAAATTTCATCTGTATTAAAAGACATTATTGCAAATGAATTTGAGACGAGATCGACGTAAGGTAGTGAAGATGATTGAAAATGCATATTTAGATTGTATTTATGCCATATTTGTTACGATAAACTTGAAATCTCATCGATATGAAAGCATGCCTGCGTTTTTTAAAGAAAAAATACAGGAAAACAGGACTCAATGGCTTCACAAAGTGATGGACAAAACAAAAACAAAACAGATAGAGGAGCAGCAAAAAATCCTTGAAATCTAAATCTGTATAGCAAGAAAAAAATTTTGCAATGGGGGTAAATTTCTCCACGTCCGCGTGGCGACACGTCAGTGACCTAATTGTCGAAACTAGTATCAAAACTAGCTGCATTTAGTAAATTCCCAAAACAGAGAGGAATTAAAAGTCGAAAACGTATTCAAAAGTACAAAGAAAATTCTTTGTTGACAAGATTCTAATAATTGTCGGCACTAGCATTTCTGTGCTGGGTAATTGCTGAGGGAGAAATCAGAAGGAGAAACCGAACTAGTATAAACATGGAATAGGCCTACAGAGATGAAAAAGTAACAAAATGTTTCAAGTTTCCTTCCATCAAAAATCTGAGGTTCCATGAGCCAATATTTCATTACAACATGACTCATGTAACCTCACATATAGAAGGCTGTTCATGTTATTCTAATTAAGACACCAGGTCTTCACGTATATCTTTACAAGGGCCAATTCTGCAAAGGCGAATGAATTCGTAAAAATTCGCTCATTGGAAATCCAGCTCTAAAATATAGAGCATACTTGACATTGGTCAACCGTACCGGTCTTGTGCTTGCGTTTTTCTGATTGGCCTATTTCGATCCACAACTGGGTATATATTTTCCATCGTGTTCTTTCGGAACCTTATTCTGACGTTTTATGCTCTGAGGAGTGTCAGACGAAAATGCTTTTAGTATGTCGTAAAATGTTTGCTTTTTTCAAAGCCATTTTCAAATTCTGTACCGCAAAAAAAATTGTTCATACTTGACATTGTTTAACTCATCGAGCGGGTCAAAGTATAAAAGTTCCTGGAACAATCTAATTCAAATCGATGAATGGCATGGCGTTATGCTTCCGCCGGAGTATAAAAAGATCATTTTAATGGGTACAGTAATACTGTTTGTATGAAATACAATAGTTATTTTTGGCTATGACCTTTAAATATTGTGGTTTCAGTGAAGAAAGAATTGGCAGTTGTTATCAAAATTCAATGAATTTCCAAAGAAACTCATCCTGGTTGCCATCAATATCGAGTTTCTTAGAAACCAGTTTGTTTTCGGAGAAAAGGTAGTCACTCGTTTATCATATGACTATATGTATCAAAGGTCATTTCCACAGTAACAATATCTTGTCATTTCCAGGAGGCTTTAAAATTATTCCGCTCTTGATTTTTGATGTGCAATGTTCTATGTCATTAAGAATAAGACAGATTCGTTCAAACCAAAATTAAAGCTGTAATCCGAAACATGTCATTAAAGTTTTTGGCACGATTTGGCACAATTATTGTTTGGTAGTCAAAACCCCGAAGTTGGTAAAGGAACACTGAACTAATGCTTTTTGGTTCTTGAAAGCGCCAAAATTCTGATTTTATCACTTTCTTTTGAAAACTTTCAATTTAGAACACCGAATTACTCACACTGCCCATGTCCTTTATGTTTTCTTTCCCAGAAAAATCTCTCAAGGAATGCGGATATAACCAAGCCCTGGTGCACTGCTTTCCAAAAAACGTGACATGTATCGACTGCAATAAAAGAAGAAACTAAGTCAGAAGATTCTTACAAACCCTTTCAGTATGAAGCCAAAATAAACTTTTGCAACAATAGCAGGCTACTTATTCAAGTTTGCCAATCGTTTGCACATTTGTCTAGAAAGTTAAAGACCAAATGGAAGTAGCCTTACTTAATAAACCCCAAAGGGGTAAATGAACGTATCAGGAACTGTAGCGGCATGAAAATTGCAACACAGAATATATTTTCCAATAGACTGCAAAGGTACAAACAGACAATTTCGCAAATTAAGTAGAATATAGATGCAGCAGAGACACGCGAAAGGAGACCAAAGACAAATTTATTTACTTCTGCTGTATTCGTATCCTAGAATAGGACAAGATAAATGTATGTAAAACCTAACGACAAGACTCGAAGAATGGGAGTCTTAGTGCAAGAAATCTTTTTGTACTTTCATGTTATTGACCTGGTACTGAGGTACCCCAATAAATATGACTTTAATCTTTCTTTGCAGGTAAACACTTAAAATTAATGCACAAGAAGCAGATACTCTTCAAAACAATTTTGAGTACAACTCCAAGAGCAAGAATTTATTTTGCGATCTTAAGATGTTTCACAAAAGCTGCGATTCGCAAAGATATCTCAGCATTTTTCTGTATATATCTTTCTTTGAAAAAGCAAATGAAATGAATGAATGAGAGGCTCGCAGAAAAACCTCTTATGCGGAAAACCGTTGCAACCAAAACTTTACTTGATAATTCTACAGAGAACAATCCCACACTAATTCATTACAACTTTTGACACTGCTACAAGCACCTATCTCCTTAGAATTGTTGCGATTGAAAAAATTGTACTTAAATCAAATTGTTTGCTCTAAAGGATGTTAGAGAATGTTTTAGAGTATCTACAAAGCAATGTCAAGTAACAAGACGAAGAGCTCACTGTTTTTTGTTCGCTTGAAGACTCATCAGCTTCATTCCAATAAAACGTTTCAATATCGGGGTCATTGTCAACCATACAAGGCCACCTATGAAAAGATTTTCAAAATAAGTTAGCAAAATGGCCATGAAAAGAAAAAAATTAAAAGTATGAGCATTCAGAATGATATCAAAGATAGTGATGGGCTATGAACAGTGCTTACATGGTACATAAATAGCTCTATAAAAATCTTTTTTCCTCATTCTTGAAAGTCATAGGGAAAAACAAAGAGCCAGGTATATAAATATGCAGTTATAACGAAATCAGATTGTAACCATGTGTTTATTCACAATGCGATATTATTTCTGTCTCTCCAAAACTTGACACATTTTAGTGGCTCCTTTTTTTGTTAAAGCGATTCCGTTGGACAACATTGAAGGTTATGGAGACCTTTATGATTTACCATGGATATCCTGGCACCTTTCCCCAAAGCACCATGCCTGGTTCGTGATCAGTGGTGCAAGGATCATCTTCATCTTCTGTTCCTATGGTTTCTTGAGACGCTTCACAGGCAGATTTCTTTTCATCTAAGAAATTAATGTGCAAAGCCTAAAATGTTCCATGAAACAAAACATTATTAAAATTTCGACATTAGACAAGATGCTAAATTATTTCATTACAGACAGAGTTAATAGGAATTATGTATTTTATTCCTGACTTCTGTTTGAAAAACGTTATCTCAGGGGATTAGCATTGGAAAGCACAACAAGATAGGCAAGATTCAGGCAAGAAAGGAAGGACAAGGAAGGTTTAAAAATTAAGCAGGACAGCTAACTCTAACTGAGGGCAGGCCTTGTAAAACTCCTTCTTTTAATTTTTTTCACTTTTTATTTTCTGTAATTATCATTAACTAATCTATCTTTCAACAATCATAAAGAAAGGGTTGGGCTTGTTCAAGGATTTGAGGATTTAGGTTCTGGAAGGAGGAAGGGTAGGTTAGAACAAAGCTATAAGAACTAAGGATATGATAATATAGGATAGGACAAGATATAATTGAAGAGGGTAAGGTAGGATAGGATATGATAGGATAGGATAGGATAGGGCACACAAGGTTAGGATAATTAGGGGTAGGATAACATCAGATGGTACAAGGCAGGATAGAAAATGTAAATACCAACAAGGATAGAACAACATAGGGTAGCACAATCTAGGATAGAACAAGGCAGGAAAAGAAAATATGGGATAGGATGGTCTAAGGTTTAACAAGATAGGCTATTATGAGAGTAGGATCGGGTGATAATAACTAAGACAGGACAGGGCAAGATGAGTGAGCTTTATTCTATAAAAAGGATCAGCAATATCTTTATGAGTTCACAAACAGGATAAAATATGACATATGTTTGATAAATTGTGAGAATTGAAGATTGAAGGCATACCTTTATTCATTTCACAAACCCACTTTTCATTTTCTACCTCATCTATATCAATTACATAATCAATTCTTCTCCATTTTTGGCACTCAGGATTGTCACACTGCACCCACTGTGATCGTCCAATTGATCTCTTTTCACCAATAATGCAGTGTTCAGAGTCCTCCTTGTTATCATCATCACTATCCGACAATAATGATTGCTTCTGCCTTACTTCAAATGACTTCCTGCTGTATCGCTTTTTCTGCAAATTTGGTAACATTGAGAAAATACTTCAGATAAAAGATAATGAGGATCAAAATGCCATGGCAGAAAAATTGAAGCTCCCGTATAAATTGAGAAGCTCTTGAGACTAAACAGACAAACAGGAATATTTTAAAAACTGCTAAGAATTCTGTTTTGAAGGATGAATAGGGCCATAAGGCCAGGGCTGATGAAAAGGGGGGCAAAGGGGGCAAATTCCCCAGAGCCTTGAGGTCAAAAGTAACAAAATTATGCTTGAAAAAAGATTTTTTTTAAAAATGAACATAAGAAATTAAGCTTATCTAAAGGGTGCAGTCAAAACAATTTTCTGGTTGCTTTACTAGCAAGGAGCCTCCTCTTCCAGTTTTACCCCAGGGCCTCTGAAACCGCTTGGCAGCCTTGCACAAACCCTGGGATTAACAAGCCTTTATATTAAGAAAAAATGTTAATGACTGACAACCAAACTTTTATAATCTATAGCTCCTTCATTTTGAAGTTCAAACCACAGACATTGTGAGATAGAATAGAATATAAATGACAGAACAAAAATCTACCATGCATTCATCTTCATTATCAGGTGAAGAATCATTCTCCATTGCCATTTTACAAAACCTATGAAAAATTAAAGAGTTAATTACTGTCTTTTTGCACGTTAAATGTAATTCATCTGGAAGCAAATTTTTAGAAGGCTAAGAACAAGACTAATACCACTCAAAATATCGTAATTTTAGAACAATCAATAATAATATGGAAAAATACTTAGGGTTAAATATTTTACTTAGGAAAATTATTTACTTAGGCAATTCTTTGCAATAGCAACTTAACGTACTCTTTCATACTGAAAAGTAAAACTGATTATTGCGGAAAAAATTTCAACAGCCTACCTAACTCGAAGTCATTAACGGATAAAAATGTATAGGCCTAAACAGGAAATAAACCATTTCAATGAAATTTTGAAACCATAGATATAGTATCCTGGTATACTTAAACTTTGCAGCAACTGGAAATCTCAGAATAAGTAGAGCATCTATTACCTGAAATTTTGATATAACTCTGGCACTTTGTTCTTTTTCGTCTCCTTTTATTTGGTTTCTTCTTGAGGAGAGACCGCTCGTTTAGACTTGCTGACGCCATTTCAACTTTCCAATTTCCCGCGCAAAATGGACCTGGGGCGAGCGAAACTGTTCATGGACCTTATATTTGTGACAGGTGCAAAGAAAAGAGGCTCGTTTCATTTTTAAAGGTTGATGACCCTCCTGTAGTTGGGGCCTAGACTAATTTTCTATACAAATATTGTTTGTAAAAATATTCGAGCACGGAATCATCCAATTTCAAGAATATTTCAAGATTACTGCCTAGCTCCAGCCAGTGGTGTAGTGCTATCAAAATAACAAAGGGGTTCTTGCACAAAAAATTGCGAAAAATAATGGCAAAAGTAGAAATTTACCAATTTTGGCATCAACAAGAGAGCTCAACCCCCTTAGCCATCAGCTCTACACCCCTGGCTCCAGCTTGCATATTTGTATCTCATTTTTTGGCAGTTGCCTATTTTGCGGATTTCATAAAAGGAATTTGCAAAACAGACATATCACGTTTCTCGAAGAGCGGGGTTTTTATTCAAGAAATCAGATTTTCAAGAAATAAGAATATTTTATTTAAGAATATACTCAGGCTCAAAGCTAAAAAATTTTAAGAAAATCGAGGCTGGAAAGTTTATGACATTTTTATAAAAAAGAAAGTGTACGCCGTTAGCAGGAGTCGACGGCGATTATCCTATCACTACAGATCTCTATATGCTTCTTGTCATGACTGGATTAAATCATTGTTAGACACAAAAGTTTCTTACATTGCAGGAGTTCAAATCGCAACTGTATTCTGCACGTCACATAGAACATTTGGAGAACCTAAAATAGAAAAGTTTATACCCAACATGTAGTGGGAAAAGTAAAAATTCTAGTACGAGTAACTTCTTCATTAAAATGTATAAACAAAGCTATTTTCTATGAGTGACCTGATGCAACCACGTGATGCACAAAGTGCAACATAACTTCAATGCATAAAGCTAACGTCATTGCATATTGTATGTACAATGTTAAGAAAAATTGTCCATAAAAAATAAAAAATTTTCACTACCAACATTTTCAGTTGAAACACTGTCAGTACCAAATGCTGTTTTTTTGATAATTTACAACAGGGCCTTTTTCACATACTAACAAAGAGAAAGTTGCCCCTCCAGCTCAAGTGACTTACTGATGTTCAAAAAAATATTCCTTGTTCTCCATTTTATGCAAATAAAGGCTTGCATCCCCCCTCCCTTTCCCAGCTGATTTTCCTACTTTATATAAATTGTCTTCAATTTTTGGCTAGTGCAGTGTTTCTTCATGTCACTTTGAAAGTGACATGTTTCTTAAACTGAAGGATGCTTGCAGACTTTATCTAGCTCTGTCTCTGCTAATAAACATTCATAATTTCAAATGATACTAATTAGCTATCAAAGATAGGGAGTAAAATGATTAGGACAAATAACATATTGATGCTTTAAGATTAGAATATGCCTTAAGACATTTTTTTTTCAAACATATGAGTAGGGGCATTGCTCCTACCCAAATAATTGATTTTACCAGTAAGAAAAGCTTTCGAGTGTTAGCTTAGCTTTAGCCATAGCTGATGTGTGTGTTTATTGTTGTTTATTCTCGTCGCATTGCGGTGTTCCTTATATACTACTATATTTCGAGTATTACCCTGATTTTTACCTTAGGGGAGATTTCAAGTTGTTTCTGATAAGTGCCTCAACTCATGACCCAAACCCAAACCCCATGTCTCTTCCCAAATTACATTTGTTCTCTGCTATGCTTTGAAGAAACAACTTGAAAAAATGTCGCATAAAATCGTGTTCACTATAAATCACAACTCTCTAAAATATTTATTCCATGCTACTATCAATTGTTAAACCTTTATACAACATATTTTAAGCTTGAAAGCAGGGGCTTCATGAAGTTTTTGCCACAAAGAGGAGCTTTTCAACTTTTATGTGCTCAAAAATATTGTGAAGAAATTAATGAAAAATTTACATTAAAATCCGTTCTTGTAAATAAATTTTCAAGAACAACAGACTATAATGTATCTCTTCTGTAAAAAGCAAAAGTTTACGCCCCCTCCAATAACACCCCTGCTAACAAGCATACATTGTGTACAGCCTTGTGCATATCAAAGTCAATTGCAAATATAATTTTATCGAACCGAATTAATCAAACGGGTATGGAAACGACGTTTTCACTACAAAATTAAGTACAATTATTGATAAAATTAGGAATAGAAGTCTGATTGCAAGGGAGTTACGAATTACGTTGTATTACGTAGAAAGCACTTAAAATTACTACTCAAACTAATAGCTGATAATGCCCAGTTAGAATCACATAATAAACAAAACAGTATCTGTACATAGTGTTAAGTCTACTATTGAAGATCCAATTTGCTTGAGAAGTGCTAACAGCTTATATGTGGATGAGATTCTTGGACAATTTAAGATGGGCCTAAATCCTTGATTTTGGTAAGATTTGGAGGCCCCATGCATTTCTCAGTATGATATCATGAATTTGATTGTCGCTCGTTAGTTATATGACATACGATCGTCAACAGCTTGGTAGCAGAAATCTTGTTACTTACAACCTAAGCAATTTGAAATAAAATCTTCAGCCCTTTAAATTCATTAAAACTAAAAAATTGAGCCGTCAATAGTGACAACCTGATAAAATTTAAAACTTTTGGACGTAGAACTGGTTAGAGCTCAGTGGTGTCGTGGAGGGGAGCTCAGGGGGCTCAGGGGAGCTCAGCCCCCTTGTTAAAATTCAGAGAGATTTGGGGGGGGCTCAGCCCTCCAAACAAGCCAGTGTATGTTATTTTGGCGAATTTATTACTTGGCACTGAGAACTGACCTTGTGTTTTGCTACTGTTTTTCCAGGAAAGAGCAACTTCCTATCAGTCTTCTTGATTCGGTCAAAATAGTTTCAATGATTTCATAACACAACAGAGAATCTACGCATATTGTGGTCTTGGGTGTGGTTTCTAGAAGTTGCCTACAGCTCAGCTCCCTTCCTAACGTTTTAGGACGGCACCCCTGCTTAGAGCTTCATAGTGAATGTTAAACATTGGATGAGTATCTATAGACGTGAAGTTGGGGTTTCTTATGGGGTCTTAAGTTAATTAATCTAAAATAACTATTAATTATTTCTTAATCAATAAACATCAAACAAAAAACTACAAATGAACTCTAAAATAACTGTACTAAGGATCTAGGCTAAAGACCGGATTGGCTTAAAAACAACAATTCAGATAAAAATAAAAATTCTCTCATTATCCAAACCTTATTTTTGCAGATAAATCAAGCCACAATTTCCGTGCATAAGTTTTGGTGACGAATTATTATTTTCGAAAAAAAGTTTCCTAACGTAAAATGCTTGTATTAAACTTTAAACAAACATTTTTGTTTCCTGAAAAAGGAAAAATTTGACGCTCAGCAGAAACTTTGAGAGAAAAAAAGCATGACTTTTTTCAGGGATAGTGTGGCGATGCACATGTTTTAGGACGCTGTGATGAATGTTATGATGCCAATCCAACTTATTGTGTTTTTCTTGGAATGAGGTCTGAGTTGAAATGGGAGCTTTTGTTTTTCCATTTGAGGGATAATATAGAGAACAAAAGCTGATCTTATGAACGTATTTAGCCTTCACCTGATTAAATTTTAACTAATTATTTAGCAATATATTCTAAAATTTATTTGTGAAAATTAACTATTTACAAATACCATACATAGGTTATATACAGTTAACGAACGAAAAGAACAAAAATATTTTGTTTTTACGTGTGCTTTAGATATCAAGGTGTTAAAAATATCATTTTTGGTGAGTTCGTTCTTCGTGTCTACAAGCTCGATGAATTATTTACCCAATGAGAATTTCGAGAAATACTTTTTTAGAGTTACGAGCTAAGGATATTGTAGCCTAAAGGATTTCAGTTGACTTAAGTCTGAGAATATATTTCATGGGCTCGTTAAAAACTATGATACATTCTTTTGGTGCTATGTATAGGGTTGAAATATGTGTAGAGTAGCTTAAAAAGTTAACAATGCATTAATCATTATTATAGGCTATTGATGATGTTTAAATAAAAACATGAATGGTTTTCTATACAAACAAAACGATACTTTTAGTAACCGCTTTGGGACAGCAAGTTCACAAGAGCCATCACTGGCCCATTATGCCACAAGGGAGAGTTGATGCTTTATAATCACGATGTATGAATGGGCACATACAGTGCCCGTCTTTCAAAATTACACAAAACAGAAGATAAGACATAAAAAGCTACCTATATCAAAACTGAGTTTCTGGCAACTGAATATCTTCTTTAGAAAATATATCTTTTAAAATTTGTGTAAAATGTTTCATAAAATCGACCAGCGTTTTATGATTTCGTTTTATTATTATATAATATTGTCAACTTCAGTTTCTACATCGAGTCTCCGACTTTGAACATAATAACGAATTCTGGATAGATATGATCAGAGTCAAAGATGTAATACATCGATAGATCTCTGGAAGGCGGATAACGCTCAAGAATAGCCTCGCGTTCATCAAGCCTCGCGGTGACGCAGGAATTTGTCAGCACTTTGCACAGAAACATAACAAATAGGCCAGCTTGATTTGAAATGTTATTGCGATTCGCCAGCCTTGCATCCCTCGCAAAATATTCCTTGTTGCTGAATTCCTGACTGAGACTCACGCCAACCTCAAAACCATACTTACAAATTATTTCGGCGTTTTCGAATGTTGAAGCTCGATACAGCAATTTCTCTTCGGCTTTACCGGAGTTCATTTCTTCTAGGTTGTCTCTCTTCCTGTTAGATGAATAGCATTGTAATGCAAAAATATTAACATTACCACGGAATATATAACATGACATGATAAAAATAAGATATATAGACCAAATATATTAAAAATACCGATATGAAAAAATTCGTCATTTTACAATGCTTGTTGCTTTATTCTGATAAAAATGTCTAACTAAATTGACTAAAATAGTTTAGAAGAAAAAAATTATCATTAGAGCTGCAGTCCCCAGTAATAGTATTTTTAAGTATGGTATTATTAAATTTAATTTTAGAAATTTTCACAAACGACCAAAAAGCTTTAAAAGACAGTCAAGAAATACCTCTAGTACATGTGCAAAATTACTTGAAAAATCATTGATAAATAAAGCATTTAAAGATTTCGTACAAATTGCAGTTATTTTTTACTTGGTTCAAAGAGTTTAAAACCAAGAACAAATGACAGTAATTTAAACCAATAACAGGAATGACAGAAATGGTAAAATTATGACCTCATCTGTTAAGAATTCAGTTACCAAATAATGCTGTATGTCCTGGTAAAGGTACAACAAAGTACAACTTACATGGCATATGTCATCCAAAGACGCGTGTTTTGGACGGCCATAATGTTAGAAATGTGAACATTTCCAAAACTGTCCTTGAAGTCCATAAACACTGTCATGTATTCTTTTGTCTTTTGGTTTAGCTCGAGCAGTTCACATTGGTTTACTGGGAGTCCTGGCAACGAAGCTGTTTTCCAGTAACTTGGAAAAAACGACTTTTCTGCAAATGGCTCTTCTTCAATCCTACATAAAAGGCAGTTACTGAAAATCTGTAATGTACTTTGACAAAAACTTGGGCAAAATGATATTCAACTGTCTCTGATTATCTTGAAATGCCAAAAAAGTAACTTCAGTCAAGATACGTACATATTTTTGTAATGTACATGGCAAAATCTTGCAACAGTATGTCTATCATACTAATAGGTTTTCCTGCATAAAAAGTTCGTGTATTGCAAGCCATTAATATTTGGGCCTATTTGCATATAGCCTGGATCTTCTACTCAAAAATTTAGATGGGATCAATGCAGTGACAGTCCAGTAAAAGTAAACTAACCTTTTAAACGAATAACCAAAGGGCTGTGGCCTCCTACGAACACGGGTAATTTCTCTTGTTTCTATATTTTCTTGTGTAAACTTTTCAAAATCGATGACAAAATTGGTCGCTCCACGTTGGTATTGAAAACTCTTTCGTCCTACAGAAAGAAAAAATTGTATCAATGCTCTAAAAATCTTAGCTTTAACTATGTTCTTTGAATGCAATCATGTCAACATTTTTTGAAAATCACTTTATTCCACTTTTATTCTCCTCGTGTAATTTGTCCAAACTTTAGATTCTCTTAACAGCTATATATAAAATACTCAATAGAATTATCACTTCAGAATTTACTCTTTTAATGTTGAAAAAAACATGGGTGCTAGAGCCCCAAACTCTCTAAGACTGGTAAAAAATTTTTTAACATGTTTGAAAATAGCATGTGTCGATAAAATTGAGGTAGAATTGTTCTTGTTTATGTCTGCTTTAGAAATGTTAATGTCGACTCTCACGGACGACCGAATACAGGTATGCTAAACGACCGCTGTATCATTATGCTCGGTATATTAGCAAGTTTAATAGTCAAACTTTTTCATAATTTTATCAGTTTTAACTAGTTCTCTTATTCAGTGCGAAGATCAGAGTAGCAAATTTGATCGATCGTACTGTATAGACTAAAGCGTGTAATCTTCAACAGACCGGGTACCAGTCTAATTACCTTGAAAAAATAATTGCGGTCTGTAAGGTACACCAAGCCTGGAAAGCTGGTGGTTAGGGTACAGGGGCCCAAGGAAACATATGCGTAGTCAAGTCCTATTCACTCCCGGAAATGACATGACGCCAATTCTAAGATGCGTGAATCAAACATCTTTTGATTTAAGTTTTAATCAAACAAGTTTTCAATGGTCTCAAAATAAAAAGGAACTGTCTACCCTAACCCCATCGATTTCTTTGCATTTTGGAAAAATTACGAGAGCCAGGTTTTTAGGCAATCTTTTGTCATAGGCCAATTGTGCCTGGCATTTTCATGCATGGCCAAATATGCAGTGACTATGACTTACTAGGATCTGAGAATGCCATCTCTATAGCCATGCTATTATCTTTATGGGTAGATATGGCTGAAAATGACATGAAATCTTCATTGTAACACCTCCAATTATTGCATTCGTCCAAATAATACCAGTTCCATATTGTATGGGTGATATCTTTGCAGTCAATGTTTCTTAGAAGCGAAGGTGTTGATAATCTTCTTATCTGAACAACAACTGGTGGTGCATTACCAGACTCTGAAATTTAACCAGATATTGTATAAGATACATCAGATCCTGAACTAATAAAGACTATACCCAAATAATACTACTGGTAGTGTACCTGCGAAAATCTTCGTGCTGGTGCTTAAAAAAGCAGCGTGTTTGTAGCATTGTTATCAAGATGATCAGATTTCTCAGAAGAAAGGAGAAAAAACGAGGGGTAACTGGGATAGAAATTAAAAAAAGAGAAAATAAGCTTACTAGAGAGGTAAACGTAGGGAAATGTATAAATTGAAAGAACAGAAGAGCAAAGAGAATGGAATTTTTGAAAGGAAAGGGGAGAAAGAGCATGATCAAAGTAAAATTCTCAAAAGTTTTTTTGCTCATCAGGCAGAATGTTTGTATCAAGAACCAGAGCCTATTGATTTTAGTAGCTTTACTCTAGTGTATACACAAGCAATTCATCCTTTCTTCATTACATAATTCAAAGCACTTAATTGTTGTATATCTTTGCATCGCACCTCATTTAAGGCTGCAGGTAAATTCTACCAAATAAAGCGTCTTCTGCGGTTAGTGGTCACTATTTGGATCGAGTCTCAAAATTGGCACCAGTAAACTAAATATAAATTTCTACAAACAGCTATGTACACGCCAGGGCATACAAGAAGTAAGTTCATTTTCATCTCACACATTAGAAAACATATCAAATGTGGTATGGTCAGCAACTGTTTTAGAGACTGCGGGGTGCAGGGCCAAAAACATCTGCGAGGCCCTTGTTCTTTACAATTTCCGTTTTTATATTAGGTTTGGGGCCCCTTTGGGGCTACCACATGCGCGGAGCCTGGCGCCATGGCCCCCCTGAACTACCTTAAAGCCGCCACTGGGTATGGTTATTTTTAGTTATGTGTAACTGTTTGTTGCAGGTGCCAACATGACATTTTCAAGATATCTGCCTTATTTTGACATGGTAATTTGTGGGTGTATAGTCTAGTTCATTACTAATTGCTCAAAAACATGTCAAGGTGCTCTGAACTTCTTCTGCCCCTCAACATTCTTAGTGCTTTTTTACATCTTTGTACTCAAAAGCTTCTATAGCCTTTTTTTCTTGAACTGACGTGTATCAGCAAAAGTTGAATTACAGATGTAAAATGGAATTGCTGTTGCATTGGATCAGTTTGAGGTCATGTTGACCTGTCGATAAAAAATTGGCTGAGCCATTGCATAATTTTGTTGTTATTTTAAAGATTTTGCTCCAACGAGCCTGGGCCTCCAACAGCGAACAAGGTCATGTCCCTCAAATTCATCATTTAAAAAGTAAGGTACATAACCATATTTAGAGTGACAAATCTATCCGTGTAGTCTGACGTTTTTATATAAAGAAGGAAAGATCATTGCTTGCATGTTTCAATTTCTATCCTAAAGATATGATCCTATCTTGGTGATTTTCATTTTATTTGTGAAGGAGGTTAGGGCTAAAAAAGCAAAGTGATGTGCATGTTCTTAACAGGCACGTAAATAATAGGGGGCGTGGGGCGTGACGCCCCGCCCCCAAGGTTAGAAAATCCAATTGTAGTTGGAAAACTTTAAAGTTCACTTGGAATTTTTTCTAACTATTTTGAGCAAATATGTGAATTTTATAGCTTAGGATTTTGGGACTTTCAATGTAAAAATTTTAGATCTTATCAAAATTCAAACTCTGGAGTAGGCACATCTTCTAATCGTTTTTAATTGCAAAGACCTGTCTCCACTGGATCTCAAATTGCAACATTGCATCGTTTGTTTCCTTTTTGACAGGGGTTTAAATTGCATTAAATTATTTTGAACAGGCAAGTTGCATTTCTGGATAAGAAGTTTAAATTTTACCATCGGCATTGATTGAGCCTGAAGTTTTAAAAAATCATTCTCTGTATTGATCAGAACAATTGAAAGTGGGAATTTTTTAAGAAACAACGAGTAGCCAATTCAATTGAAAATAGAAAAAATCTTTCATTGCTATAAATTCTCAACGCTTCTTAACGAATGTATGCTAAGCTCCCCCCGCACTCTGTAGACCTCCTTGAATCTTATCATAAATTGCTATGATAATGCTAATGAGAAGCCACAAAACATTTATCAAAGAAGCTGCAGCAGATGTATGATCAAAGATGCCCTCAGATCACCCTTTTTAGTTCCAAAAAACAAAGGACATTTAGCCCTTTGAAAATTGTAAAAATTTCCTTCGAGCAAGAACAAAAGATGAAATGGTCAATTCCTTGATGCTCCTACATTGTTAAATAGATATTTTATATAAAACTGATCTGCAGCAAAAAGATGGGCAAAGCAGAAATGAACAGAATTGCTGTTAATTGACTTGAAAGAATATTACTTTTTATCGTTAAACATATCTAAGATCTAGAATGGTATGGCTTTGATGTTGCTTTATATCTTACGTAAAGATTAAATGTTCATGTAACGTTAATCAAAATTAAGAGATTTCCTTTATTTTCTTTAGTGTTTTTATGCTTAAGACTAATTATTATAAGTAAAATGTTAATAATTATACAGAACCTAAAAATCTGGAATAAGGCTATTTCCAAATCAATTTAGTAAGTACAGAAGATTAACGGGTCGAAGAAAAAATTCATCAGGTAAAGTTGGAATTTTCAACCTTCCACGACCCCCCAAAATTAGCCACTTATTTACTTCCCTGCCTAGGAAAGGTTTACGGCCTCGCCTTGATTGTCTGAAATAAACTCATTTCAGGAAATTTCAGGAAAATGAACCTTTAGGCAAAGAATTGAAACTGCCAAGCAAGAGGAAGTTGGAGGAGCTTCAAAAATGAGAAATCATAGCATACACCAATTTTCATCACAATGTTTTTATTCAGAAACACCAAATTTCTGTGAATTTCTAGCTGTATTATATTTTCTTTTCTTTTACTGCCGAATATTGCCAAAATGATCAGCATTCAAAGAAAAGGACATCAGTTCATAGCTACAAATGGATCCATTTGAGATTTAATAAGTTGCCTGATGATCTCATTACATAGGAAACTCCAAGAAATAACTCAAAACCGTCCTGTTTTATACACTAAAAGCAAGGGTGCCTGTACAAGATTAGGGCAGGAGGGGAAGCGCTGGTACTTGGGGCAAGCAGTAGAGTTTTTCCACTACATAATCAATTATGTGTGAGGGGTAGGGGTGGGGTTGTGATGCAAAATGAAATATTGGCATGGATCTGTCCCAACTATATAGCTGGGATTTTGGCAATGAAAGGCTCTAAACATAGGTATAATGTTGACAAGTCTCTCCATGCAAGTGGATATTCAATTGCCTTTTTATTATCCAGAGTCTTTGGTTTTACGAAAATCATTGCAAATATAAATGGGCTGGCTGTAAGACTTTGATTGTCCGCTTAACCCCAATATTCCATGGTTGCAGAATTGAATCATTGAGAGTGTAAAAAAGAATATGATAACCAGAAAAATCAAATATGAATCAAATAATTGTTTGGATCAGAGTTTTTCTTTATATTAAGAAGTAAAATCAGCATAGAAGTTCCCGTTCTGGCAATGGACAAAAAAGTCAGTATCTTATAAGATGCAGTTGGTTTTTTAGATCATTATCGTCTTGTGAAGAAGAATTTTCCATTATCAAAGACCGACAGTAAAAACATAACGAAAGTGGCTAAACTAGTCATCAATTATCTACGAGATTCTATAATTTTTTCTTAGGAGTTAATATTTTAAGGCACGGCTTGCCCCCTCTGCCCCTCTTGGAAGAGGGCAGGATGGGCAGCTGTCCCTGTAGCCCCTCCAGGGTAGGCGCCCCTGACTAAAAGCATATTTAGCTCCGTCTATACGGCATCGAAATCTTTATGACAGACCGATATACAATAATGTATCATTAAAACTTTATAGCTATAAATTGAGGCTTCTTCAGGTATCAAAGTTATGAAGGGGAGGATGTCATTTGCCGCACAAAACCCTGCTATCTTTAAGCGAGCAAAAGATGTCCACTTCGTTAAATCAAGACATTTTTCTTCTATTTTTCTCAGGTATTCTGTCTAATTTGCAGATAGCTGTATTACTAATGGAAGTGGCGGGTGCAAACTTTATGAAAGGTAAGTTGCATGGCTTCGTTGCAATGAACAGAGAATGACACGATTCTAAAAAGCTTGTTCAATCCATGGGGGCCTACCGTGTACCTGCAACGTAGATATGCCTGCAAATGACCCTGCCCTGGAATCAATGCAGTCGGAACCAAATTCACATAGTGGGGGTTGTCCATTGTTTTCCTTTTCATAGAGGAAACATACTACAGTTGACAGCACCCAGCCCCCCCAGCCCCCCAACCCCCCTAGCCAAAACAATATTTGCAATAACGTTTTGAAAGTGATAATGCTGGAGATTCGTAAATTGTACCACAGGCAAATTGGCACCTTTTCTCATCGAAGCTGAAGCTACAGCTCATAAGGATTATAAATGATGAAATTGCTAATCTAAATCTAAACTAGAAGTAACGATACGTTATGAAATGCATGCGCTTGAGGAAAGGAAAAAAGTTGTATGATGGCGGTACAGAAAAGTGGACAAAGACAAACACAATAAGTACTTGTATATCACCAGGATATCAACAATAACAGAACAAAACAGCTTAGTAACACAACTAATAGTGAAAAAGCTGGCTGGGGGGGCTTTAGCCAACTTTTTGTAAAAAAAATTTTGCAGTCCCTAAACATTTTTAAACAAAATGAGTATATTGACCTGATGGCGAATATTTGGTTTGTTCTTTTTTATGACTTGTTTTTTAATGTTTTTTATTTTAAGGAAAAATTTATTAATTTTACAGAAAAGCGACCATAATAAAGAACCTAAAATGGTATGGATAGGCCTAATTGTAAACAAACCGGTGAAGTAAAATTGATCCATCACTACTTATATCCGTAGAAATACTGGAGGCATCGGATTTACTTCCAACCCTATTAAAAGACTGCCTTTTCTTATCAGTCTGTTAATCCTTACACCAAAAAATCGCACGAAATAACCAGCCTAATAGCGAGATGCAATAGAACGCCATACATTGAGTCACTTCTTGCCGTGCAATGCGGAAATCGATAGGCTTCACTGCCTCCCTTATCAGTGATGTACGATTCATTGCTTTAAAATGTCATCCTGTTCCCAAAAGACAATGGAAATTTTGCTGACGTTGCACTAAAATCTCAAACTTTGTCAAGATTAGGAGCATGCTGTCGCATGCAATTATAGGAATCTAAAAGACATGCTAATTTGAATTGGGGGACAATGATCTTCTGATTGGGGAGGGCAATGCTCTATGTATTCTGGCTCTTCAAGGGGTAGCCAATTTTTTGTGTATTGTAGGTGAAGAAATGATGGAATATACTGCTCAAGAAAACATCCTTCAAACTAATGGAAACATAGGCAGTGCTTATTTTGATGTAACCTATGTACAGCTAAGTTGGCAGACTTCATGACTTTTTTTTTTACAAACTCTTCATAAATTTTTGCAAGTACATTCTGTTCACCCTTAACGAATTTTACAATCTTGCATATAGTTGTAGCTTTGTATAATATTGTGATTAACAATGCTGGGGTAAGTCTGCGATGGGTTGGTCTGCGATGGGTTGGTCTGCGATGGGTTGGTCTGCGATGGGGTCCAATGATCCTCTTGCCAGCATATCAATGAACAAAATTGTCTAAACCAGCTCAATTTTATAGAAAGTGCTAAATAAATAGCTCGTCAACAAAGAGGAGACAAGTTACACTTTTTTTAAGAACAATTTTATAAGAACACGAGCCTCAAATTGGTCAAAAGTTATAAACAAATTAAGAACAAGGTGAGGCTGAGCTACTGTAAAATGCAATTTTGAACAACGCATTATCTCAAAAACGAGGAGTTTTATTCATGCAAGGGTGCTTTTTTGGTGAATATTCAAACTTGTTGCAAATGAAGGTTGTCATACTCATTTAATTGGCAAATGAGGCCTGAACCCTCCCTAGAGCGAAAAAGCTAGCAAGTAGCAATCGCACTGCATACACCCCATTAATCAAGAACAATATAAGAATAATCCAGCCTCAGATTTTCGAAAAAATTAAGAACAGTCAGCCTGAACTTAAGTTCACTGGTTCTTATATAAGGAAAGAGTGTATATGCTTCTGTTGGAGGACACAAAAGCTTTTGAAAACAAGTTGGACATGACCAAAGTCTTATAATATAGATATTATAACATTTTTGGGACCCCTTTTGATGAAAGATCTTTAGTGAACTAAGGTGCCCTAAACGACACTGGAGGGAATTGTTGTTTACAGTGCACGAAAAAATTGTTTGGCTATCGTTAAAAACCAAATAGCTTGAAAGGCAGATTCCTAGTTTCACGCTACTGTTGCCTGGTTTTGCAAAATTTCCACCTGTCGATTAAGAAACTCAATAACTAAACAACATAAGTAAACTATTCAAATGTAAATTATAAGTTTGCTGGTTGTTATTCACTTACAAATATGACCTCGCTGTAAACAAATGCCAAGCCAAAAACTGATTTTCTTTTTATGACAAAACGAACTATTTGGGGTACAAATGTTACACAAAATTGCAGAAACTGTTAGCAGGCATGAAAAATCTGGTTAACTGAAAATTGTACCTCTACCTGACCAAGTAGAGACGAAAAATGATTAATATTACGAAGCAATTGTCAATGTTAGTATGAAGCCGAGAAACTCGCCCAAAATGTTTGATTTCGAGCGCGTTTATATGAGAAAAGGCTGAGCCCAATACTCTTGTACCTCTTGGCGGAAGCACGCAAAATTGAAAACAGTGATGGGTAGATCGCAAATATGGGTGTACTAAAATTCCAACCAAAACTTTGTGTCAGATATTCTAAATAAGGAAAACCTTTGATATTTCAAATGGCAATAACTTGAGATTACTGAAGACATTTTTAATATATACAAAAACCCTAGAGAAGTTCCCACTGTAGCACGTCAAAACATGCAAGAACGCCTGGATTATTATCAATTTGTTTTACCATATTCTATTTGATATTCTAACTCGTGCACCAGTAGCTTTATACAAAGCAATAGGGGAATTTATCTAAACATCAAATCTAAATTCACCATAATTCAAGAAGAGTATTTTCCTTTCTTTTCAAGTATCTGACAAATTGGCCAGATGGATATTGTAGAAGAAATTATTAGGGCTAAGAGAAGCAGAGATTATAGGTCGTTTTTTAGGACTTCAGGATTTATTGGGTCACTTATTGAAAAGTTTCAGAGATATTTATGGGGTCACTTAAGCTATTTTTGAAAAAGTTTCAGAGAAAGGCTCTTGAATTTTTTTTCCCGAATTAATAGGTTCACTAGATCTAGAATTGTCCTTGTGTTCAGGATGGGTCAAAAAAGTTTGAACATTTTTGTTGCTAGCTTGCAGCTAACTGACTTTTCGATATTTTGAAGCCTGTTTTCTTAGAACAAAATCCATGTCTGATGTCGCAGGCGCAAATGTTGAAATAACATATACAACAGGAACACTGCCCAAAAATGCATAACCAAGCTACAATCAGCTATTTTGGCAGCTTTCCCTGGCAGTTTGGGATGAATCCTCCTTCGGACCGAATCCCAGTTTGATTTAAACCACACACAACACCCATAATTGTTATAAGACTAGGAATCAAATTTTTTAAACACATTCTTTATCTTACACCAATATGGAGGTTTAGAAAAATGTTTTGGCCTATTGAGTTCTGGCCTTGGATCAGGCGCGAAGCGAAAAACAAATTTCAAAAGGGTACAGAAACAATTTTTGCAAAAAGGTTACAGGGTGACAAAAAATTTTCCCCTTACCTCCCTTCTCCCTTTGGCGACGCCCCTGGCTTTGAATTCGTCTACAACATATAGATGTTCATTGAAATTGTTCTACTGAGCCTTATTTCAACGTTAGTTCCATTGAGCAGTGGTTATTCTCCACAATTTCTTTATTACAAGAGACATATTTGTTTTCATTCCCGATATTTCAAATCCTCACATAATGCTTACAGATCGTTTTTGGTCCAAAAATGCATAAAAGCATGACCTGAATTAACCATTCCCTATGACAATTTATATTTCAAATAGATATATATCTCTCTAATGGTCACGTGATATGACCTTGGGGGCTTAAACCACAGAATTCTGCTTGAACATCACATTGATCCCTCGTGATCGTCTCAAAAATGATCGGTTCAGTGACTGAGACTGGGAAAAAATAATCACCACGGAGCACATGAAATGAGCCTCATTCGCTAGAAAAGGCATGTGACGAAAATCTCATGCATACCTAAATCATTTGGGGGCCCAAGTGGCGACGACCCAGGAACTTACAGGGTAACTGTTCCATAAAGGCTGTACAAGCTATGGTTGAAATAAGAGGTACAGCATGAATTTTCAGCCGTTCCCAATGTTATATTCATATGCGTTCTAACCAGGCTTTTGAAAAATCACGCTTTCAAACTCCAATTTTCAAACTTTCAAAGCTCCCAAAGCGGGTAGATGGGAAAACATTCTGAGATGATTATTTTGCAAATTTTCAGGCAAAATTTTGAAGGAAGCTCTGGGCATGAGTTATAGACCTCTTTAATGGCAACTCATCCGTTCTCCTTGGGTGTTCAGATGACCATGCTGAGGCCAGGGATCCTTATTTAATATAGACCTACGTAGATAGAACAGACAGTTGTATTGTCAAAGTTACTCTTTGTTATAGGGAGGTGTCCATCAGACGGTTTACAAGGTTTCGACTGCAGCCAAGAGATTTGGACAGATTTATTTGCCCAAAAGGGAGGTTCAAATCACAGAATGTGGATTTTTTTAGTATGTTCATCCATCCATGCAACACAAAGACGAGGGTTATGGAGTGTGGGCGTTTTTACCATGATCATAAATACTTTAGATATATCTTGTGTTTCGATAACAAGATGATTATCCATGGTAGCAACAAACAAATCTTACCTTTTTCTGGAAAAGGTAGCTCATTTTGCTGAATTCCGACTTGCTGAGAGAATTTGAAAACAAACTTATGCTTATTTTCCAGAAACACCACAACATCGTCTGCACCGACATCAACATACTTGGCCTCAATTTTGATGTTTTCACATTCGCCGACATCTTTCCAACTAACCCCATCAGTTGAGTACTCCCACCAAAAGGGTGATCTGTGATGCACTTTGGGGCAGTGGATGACACGGCAAATACCACGAACGCCATTTTCGCATATAAATAACTCGCCGCTTGACTGTATTCCATTAGCGGGCTCAGACATCTTCCTATAAACATCCTTTTCTTTGGCACAAGTCCTTGTAACATCCATAATATCGAGTGAATGTGCTCGAGGTTTCCTAAATTCTTGTTTTAAATTTGTTATGTTAAGAAAAGCCCGTGGGTTTAAGTTCTTAGAAGACATATTTTGGTGATTGTCTGATAGTATTTCATCATCGATGATATGTTTATTTTGGCCTACCTTCTTTCGTAAGTATGACAATGCGTTGGTTTCGTCAATGTTGTATCGCGATAGAAGTTTACGTGAGTGATCATTACAAAAATTGTGTTTTCGTATACATTTTGGCCCAAACTTACAGGTGCCTTCTTCGGCAAAAAACCTGCAGATGTGCAAAAATGGGCATTGCTCATCCCTGCTGCACCCAATGGCTACATTGTAGTACTTGCAAATTTCCATTTGTTTTGGTAGACTGGACTCGTCCACTGAATCGTCGAGAGCAAACTGAACATTCCTGCATAGAAAATCCTTTAACTGCAAGTGTGTTAGCCCATCTAGGCAGTGTTTTTGAAGAATCTCCTGGGTGTGTGGATCGTGGAATTGGTGCGGCTTTTTGCACTTTGAACCAAACGTGCACTTCCCTTTAACGAAATGCCTACACACATGTAGCTTCTCGCAGTCTTTATCACTACATCCTTGCTTGCTATCGAAGACTTTACAAAACTCAATGTCAACCACTGGTTTGATGACATCTGGCCCGTTAGGTAATTCCTTGGAAATCATAAAAAGATCCTGATGCTTATTAATGAGAGATTTGACCCCTTTAGTATTTTCTTCATTTATAACTGCTCTTCTTTCTTTGAGAGATATCAATTTTAAAGCTTCGTTCATGGTCACCTGATCCTCATTTGCTGCCATATACGAATATATACGTTTCACAACATTCGCCTCGATGATATGTCTTTTGCTGTAACCTCCAGAAAACCCAGTGTGACTCCCTTCTCCATTCAGTGATCTGAAAGCCATTCAGTTTTCCGCTTTCCTGTTAGCAGACAAAGCATACCTAACCGCTATAATGGATATCTTTCTGGCATAACTGAAGCAGTTCAATAAATAACGGCCTATTTATTCAGTCCAAATAGAAGGAACTGCCTGTCAATCAAACACAATGGCTTCCTTCATGGAAGACATTGCTGAAATTCGACACGAGGCTTTAGCAAACTACACGTGACTTCGCATGCAGGGACGCAAAATCTAAGGATGCAGGGGTATCTAAACCCCACAATTATTTGAAACAGTCGGCCAAAATTTGAATCACGATGAAGAAGGGTCCGTCTGGATTCCTGCCAAGGGTTGAATCTGCAATTTCTGCTGGCATGATTTAGAAAAGTCAGTCTATTTTCGTTGTGATTTAATTCTCACGTGGCGTCACACAAACAATGTTTTATGATGTCGAAGTGAATTTTGTTTGGACCATTATCAGCATCAATTAAACGGATTCCAACTATAATAAATTATTAAAAACGAGAATGTTATTCATGGTTACATAACCTAAATTATAACCAATCTTTCCTTACAGGTTGCAAACAAATATTCCTGATATAATGCTAGCCGTGGGTTGATGGGAAGCGAATTGCCTTGACCTAATAAATACGTGCGGCGTCTCTTGTGGGAGAAAATCAATCAAACAAACAAAAACCATTCACAAGACTTCTCTTTGATATCGCACAAAGGATACTTCGTGTTATGATCAGTAGTTTGATACGCAACTTCCATAAGTGAAGATTTATGTAAAAAAGAACTCTTTTCAGAAAGACATGCAAATCTCATCGATATTTACAAAATCCAGCGTCAAGTGAAATTTCTTGAAAAGGGAAGTTTGAGCCTGCTTACCCTTCCTATCAGGAGCAAGATGGCTGGTTGCTGTGAGTGCTACACCCCCCTCCCCCCTCCCCCTTGTGTCATCCACGAGTTGTATACTGTAGAAGTTATGATTCTTACGGACACAAATGTAAACTATCAATGGAGTAGCCTTCATAGAAATGTTTGTAAAAACGAAGCATTTGTTACCAGGAAACAAAATACAGCCGAGGGATGACGAGACCGTACAAGGAAAAAGTAAGGATTGGTTTCGTAACATGAGGCTTTCTGTTAGCAAAGTAGAGTTCATAAATGATGACATCACAAACATCCATTGTTGGAATTTGTGAATTTGGATCCCATAACCTGAAAAGAATCATGAAATACTTTTGTATGTGCAAAACAAGATAAATGTGTCAAGAATTGGCTGAGATCAGTAGCGGCCCCACGGGGATATTGGGGGACACCCCCCCCAGTCAATCAATTTACAATCAATTTTGTATTTCGTCTAAATTCGATGAAAATGTTGTGGGAAGGGTACGTATGTTTTTCTTTCTCTCTTTAAAGTTGGTACAGTTTCTAGCTACGCATACTAAGCTTATTAAAAATCCTATGGTTTTCAAACTGCCTGTACGTAAACAAATATTAGTCATGGGCGTTCACTTTAGGTAAAATTGGCGTGCCTTGTTAGTAAAAAGGCGTTTTCAGGTAGCAAAAGGGGCGTGGCCTAAAAATTTTTGCTTTGTCCCTATTAGAGCCTAGTGGCTGGCTTCGCCGTGGCCTGAGATACGGCCTCGTGAGTACAGGATCTTTTCCCATCAAACCTCTGTCATTTGGCCGGAACAGAGCAAAATTCACAATAATCCGTTTGTAAGCTTGAAAGTTTTCATTGGTCATATCTCATCCTATTTTCGACATATTTAGAAGTATTTTGTGTTATGTGGTAATAATTCGAGATTTCAAAGAAAAAGCTTTTTGTGACATCACACTTAAGAGTCTATTGCCTCTGCAGCGAGTGGTTATGTTGAGTCATCGCATTACGCATTGCACTTTAAACTGGACTGGAACGGAAGGTGTGTCCTTTGAATCAAACATGCTACTTATTTAGTGGTCTTAGAAACAATTGGTAACATGAATAATTAGAAAAACCCATTGTTTCGTGACTTTTCGTTTTTGCCTCTTGAATTTTTGCTACCTTAAAAGTTCATCCTTGATTCATGCTTTGTACTAAGCAAAAATAATTATTGTTTTGCATTAGCCAATGATGTCCACGACACATGATCTTTAAAATCTTTTCCCTCAATCTATAATATTTAGATAAAAAATAGACAACCATGTTATAGTTAGTGAGTCTGGTACCCAGGATAGTTATAGTTCAGACATGATTAGAAATTTTTTCGGTAAAGTAGCAGTTTAGCTTTACAGGGGGGCTATTCGCCCCCTCTGTCCCCCCTCTGTCTACGCCACTGAATATTTAGAATACCTGATGCTCAATTTACCCAAAAACTTAAGAACAATAAGCCTCGGTAAAAATTATATTGTTCTTTTTAAAAAGAGTTTACGAGAGAATTGAACATTCTGCCAACTTACAGACTCTTGATAATTTGCGACTGAATGTTTCTTTTTCCTATATCTTGAGCAAAGAAACACTTGTGGTTTTTATTTCTTTATAACGATGATTTTTTAAAAATACATAGAACAACTAAAATACAAAATTAATACAAAACTATGCTCTTTCACTGATTTTACATAACAGTGTAAACCAGCTCTTGATGTCGCCAAAAGTGCAGCATCATCTGCGTACCGCATATCACCCATGGGACATCCTCCGACGTTAGGAAAATCGAAGATTTGCGACTCGTTTTCATTAATAACTTCTCGCATGATGTTCTCAGTATAAATATTGAATATTGATACATCCTTGTCGGAGCCCCTTCTTGATTAGAAACTCCGACGCAATGTCATACTTACGAAAGAGGGTAGGCCAAAGTAAACATATTATCGAGATGAACAGAACTGCAAAAAGAACACTGAGTCCTGTCGGCAATCTGGATGCCATTTTGTTGTTACATAAAGTGCTCAGTTTACGGTTAGAGGCCAAGACAAGAGCTGAGCTTGGAAAGTAAATTGAATGCCGAAAACTAATCCGTCTCTACTAATGTTTTATCTTTTTGAGAAATTTTGTCTTTGAGAAACTTGTGAGAGGTGGTTTTAATTCCATCGTTGAGATGGTAGAGCAAAAAACAACACTTAACATTTTCTTATCTTGATAAACATTCAAGACTTATAACTTAACCGAACGATATTACAAAGATATGTCGATTATATGTTGTCTGTCACATGATTATAATATGTCATGTGAGTCGGAGAGCGTCCTACAATACACTCGTGCGTTTCATAGCACTACTTTGCTGTTCAAAGAAGATGAGTCGTCCAATGCCCAATCTTTCCACGGCATACCATTACTGTTTGTAGTGATTTAAACTGCTTATTGGAAAACCAAGCAGCCTCTTAAAAGCGGACTCCTGTTGCATCGATGCACTGTCTTTTGGTGTCCGGACTAAGAGGCTTACCCTGGGTACCAGACTCACTATATAAAATAGGAGGCTGTGCCTAGAAATCTTTGACATCTAGAACAGATATTGTCTGGAACACCTAGAACAGACCCTTCCATTGTTTAGAGGTAGTTGAAATTGGAGGTGTCTTTTTCTTGGAGCTGTCCGCCAGTGGCATTGTAGCCAAGGAGGGGGAGGCACGTGTCCCAAAGCGGGGGGGAAGGGGGCTGAAGACGATTCAGCTCTTTAAGGGGCGTCACAGGGCCATTGATCTTTTGGATTGAGCTTTCTAATTCCTCTGTATTTTTTATCCTCAAAACCTTGCTTTTTCTATGCTCTATGAGAAGCTTTTTATCTTGAGTTTTGATCAAATTCAGACTTTTTTCATAAGTGTCCATCAATAAAAAATTTTCCTGTAGGTTGAAAATTATTTCATAAAACTTGTTTTGGCTTGCTTAGCAACATTTGTTAAACCAATTAACGTACGGTCAAACTATCAAACCTTGTATATGACAATTTTCCTTCAGAGGTGAAAATTCACTCTTGCAAAGAGGGTACAAGATATACATGAAAACAAAGAAATTCTAGGGATTTTCAGAAAAAACAATAGGATTTTCTTGAAAGATGTACCAGATTTTCAGGAGTGACTTTGGTTTGGCTACCATGATGTTAACAAAATTGATCAAGTATTTTCACACATATGTTTGATGATTTATAGCCATTTTGTACATGGGAACATCAACAACAACAAATTTGCAAAACAGACAGATAGGTCTGACCATGACAAGCTCATATCACAGAAACTAAAGAAAAAATTATATCAAAATTTTTTATATTTTGGTTTTGCCTTAAGAGTTCTTTTTATGAAAGTATTAACACCTTTGTTTCTCTTATGCAACAAAGTCCTATGCCAATGTTTCATAGCTTTGCATTAGAGAAAGAAATAGTATTTGAACGAACAGAGGAATAGAAACCATACTTGAACGCATAAATATCGGACCTTCTTGACTGGCCAAAAGTGATATAGCCACCTAGGGAGTTTCTTTAGAATTATCTAACTAAAAGGAACAAGGGGCAAAGCACTCTTAAATTTTTTATATCCTACGTCCCTGAACCAACAATGAGAAGAATTTTCAGCTTTAATTTACCAAGTAGAAAAGATTATACTTCTTGTTTTTGTTATCCACGAAAGATTTCACAAGCTGATTCAATATTTGTAAGACATATTTACAATGTTTTGTCTTGAGTGTCTGGAAAAAGGGCATTATCAATTTTCCAGAAAGTCCAGATTATAAAAGCAACTGTCCCACGTTTTAATCCAATGTTGACTGAATTAAGAAGTTTAAAAAGGAATTAAACATATATGATTGCTTTTTAAGCAGCAAATTTCAAATAATTTCATGAACAAAGCAAGTGAGCTATCTGAGGATGACGTAATTATTATTTCTAAAAACCTTTTCGAGCGTTGATTAGTATGCTCCGAAATGTTGTAATGTTTATCTGTTTCAAGTCTATCGAAGCATGTAACTTCTGCAAAAACAAAAGATCCAAAATATCAGGCTGTAGAAAGGACAACTCTCGAACAAACTGAAACATTTATCATTTCCAAGAAAAGGCTCCTGAGGTCCTTTTATCATCATCATCATCATTACATTTACATTTAACAACCCTTTGGGACATAAAAATGTCTGCCCAGTCAACTACAACATTAAAATTTTAAAATTTATTGAGGTGATTTCGATATAGGTTGTAAAAGGTATCCGAATTTGCCTGCATCACAATACTGTCTGGCAGGCTATTCTATACAGAAACGATTGAATAAAAAAATGAAAACCTAACAGCATCAACCCTTCCGAATTTAGGCATGATCTTCAATGAGTTAGAGTTCCTTGTCATTGAACAAGTTGCTAAAAGGCCTTTTCGGAACTTCTGATGCCAAGATATTTAGGGGTAGGGAGGTTTTAGACTATCATATTCAGCGTTTTCAGGGCTACTAGCAGCCAACTGTTAATCATCAAGTTGTCTCATTGGAGAAGAAACTGGATCGAAAAAAGGCTTCACGCTAGGATGCAAATAAAAGAATTATAAGGTTTCTGCAGCCCTTCAAGTTTTGATGTTTAGAAAACCTCCTCAATAGGAAACTAGTCTTTAAAGATCGATGTTTTGAATCACATAACAGTATAATATCGCTAAAGTCTCCTAAAAATTCTTCCAAAATCTTGCAATGATGGTTGATTTGCAAATTTTCACAAATGTTCGATAAAACGCCATTGGTTGGCATGTCATCCTAAAATCAGAAACATCAACTTCATTTTCAGGGACGATATCATCAAATTTTGCTTTATATGGTTTGTTAAAACTTCATGCATACATAGTAAAGGGGTGATTTGACTAGCAGGCACCGCGCAGCCATTGGGCCCCAGCACTTTTCTGTATAGAAAATGTATAGCTTTACTTTACTCGAAAGAAACATGGACCATAACCAGGCACCGCGCAGCCATTGGGCTACCCTGGGTACCAGACTCACTATATAAAATAAAAGAGAGTAGAGACTCTCTATTATTATTTAATATATAGTGAGTCTGGTACCCAGGGTACCATTGGGCTAGCAGGGGCTATAGCCCCTCCACTTTTTTGCAATAATAGATAAGAAATTTTTTGGAAAGTTTTCTCTAACTATGCTTCAGCGCAATATTGATAGTATACTCCTTAGGAGTAGCAGTTTTTCTTGACTGGGAACCCTTTTTGTTCATTTTCTAGGTGTTTTTCTTGAAGTTTTATTATCCCCAAGCTAATTTCATCTACTTCTATAGATATTGACATATACTCTGAACCAGAATGTTTTTAAAACTTCCGTAGAATTAAGCAAGTGTTTTCTAAAAGGGGCGTTTTTCGGCGTTCTAGAGGGCGTGGCGTCAAAACATTTCCGGTCATGCCTTTTCAGCCCTCACCACATTTAAACTGGTGCGCGGTCCTTGCTGACTAGTAGCTAAGAAAGGAAAGACATTTATCACAAAATTGTTTACCCGGAAGAAAAAATTGCTTCTTAGAAACGATAATTTATCCTCACTACAGACATTACATCATAGTTTGCTTGGGAAATCCCCTACTTTTCTCTATCATGATGAGATTTGTGTTTCTTTTTCGGCCGTGTATGATCATCGGATGAGCTTGAATCTTCGATCAAAGATTCTCTTTCCTTTGAAGTCGATTTTTCTTTGTGAGCCTTTTTCTTTGCTGTATGTTTTCCTTTGGAGTGTCCTTTATTTTTCGTTTCGTATTCGAAATACATGTCGATTTTGCCTTTTTCAGAACGGAGCTCCTTTCTAGGCATCAAAAGAATAATTCAAATGCAAGTATACTATTATAATGACCACCAAAACGTGAATATACAGTTTAATTAGGTTGGGCTGGGTTCTCTGTGATCTAGTTACAGAGCGGCACAGAAAATCATAAAAATATTGTCTGCATAGTAAAATCTCTAAAGTCATCATTGAGTATGAAACATTGGTTAGCAAAGTAAATCAATGTGGTAATAATTTGAGGATTTTTCACACATCCTGGTTAACCACCTCTAAAATTCTATCTACAAGAATATTTTTCAAATGAAAATGCAATCATGTCATTACGTTTTCACCTTGATAAACAAACAATCAGAACTGCAACGATTTAAAAATGTAAAGATTCCGTATATAAGCACGAGTTTTGATTCATTTTCAAAAGAGAAACTTTCGGGGACAATGATGCAGGAAATGAGAAATGACATAACAAGATTGAAGGACTCCAAGTAACGAGACAACGATCATGTTTGCCAATAAACATCCAACAAACTGCTGAAAAAGCTCCACTGCGTCAGAAAAGGAAACATGAGCCATGATTCTAAAGTTGACAAAGACCAGAAATCTGGGAATGAATCTGATTGGTCTAAGCAGAAACACGGTATTTAATTGGTTGTTTCCTAACACGTGTTTCAATATGCGTCAAATATCCCTCTGCAAATATTGCGGATACTCTCCCTTTGCCATGAGCAATCAAAGTTTTGTTTTTGCCAAGCGTACGTCTTTTGTCACAGAGGAGTTTGATTTGATTCAGTGGTGCCGTGGAAGGGGGCTCGGAAGGGCTCAGCATTTTGTTAAAATTCGGAGAGATTGTTGGAGAGGGGGGGTTATCAGTCTTTTTGAGTCGTTGAATAGGTCGTTGAATGATTCCTAAACACAGCAGAGAGTTTTAACACAAATGCAAGTACCTTGGGTGTAGTAAGGATGTGGTCATTTTTCTTTCTTTCTTTATCTAAAGTTGGTACAATTTCTAGCTATGCATACTCAAGCTAATTAAAGCCAACTAATTTAAATTACCAACGTTAAATATAGTGTAAATCAAATATAAACGATGTTGCTAACGTATTCTTTGCAAAGATTACAAGTACAATTAAACGATGTAAATTCTGTGATTTTTTTCTTGAATATTTGTAAAGTAAGGGAGTACTACCATTCTTGGGTGTGCCATCTTAAATTTGTCTACAAAACAGCCCCGCTTCCAAACCTGTTAGGGTGGCACGCCTTACTTGATTCATACCTTTTTAAGGGCGCAGGTAATCAAACGAAATGATCCGGGAATGAACAGATGACATGGCCTAATTCATAAGACTAGTTTCTTCCAAGCAGGCAGTGACATACAAATATACCGGGAAAGTATTCCTTTCCAAGATGCAATTCGCTTTTTGCTTTCCGCCCGGGTATGGCTAGAATTATTCTCTTTGCAATATCATGCGTTCTTCTTCGATCTCTTCATATTTTTATCATGATTAGAATTTTTCCTTGAAAGTATCATTTCTGGATCTTGTTTTCAACTTTACATCTTTAAGATTAAACGTTCAATAACTTTAAGTTTAAAGTTATATTTTTGTTATGGAAATTGAAGGCATCGTGTATGTGTGTTTTGAATTAAGGTTTATAAACACATTAAAGGTACCGAGCTACCTAGATATAATTGGTCCTACAACACACGGGATGTCATAAAATCCTTGGCCCAAAAAGCAAGTGAACAAAAATATGAAGGCAATTTCATTTGTATTTTGTCTCCCGATAAAGAAATTGTTGGTTACAAGAAGATTATTTCTTAAGGACACTTTCTGGGCAATTCTACTGAAAATTCGAAAAAAATCAAGTTTTTTTATTTTAAATGATTCAGGGTCCAAATTCTTTGAATTTCTTTGTGGTTGTCTCAGTTCTTCAAAATTACGACTCCCCTTTGATATTCAGCCCCTTTTTCTCACCCCACTCTATGGTCAAATTGTAGAAAATCAGCTGATTCCTAAAACCTGAGATTTAGACGTCGCTCGCTGCTTCCCGAGGCATCATTTTGATCCTTGGAGATTGCCTGAAATGCCTATTATGAATTTGCCTACATTATCATGCCTACAGTACGAGGAAGAGGCTCAAATGTCGTTGGGTGTGTTTGAGCAACATCAACCAATCACGGGATGGTTGATTTCTGCTGGTCCAATCAGATGAAGAGTTTCCATAACAACAAGCTACTTTCAGCCTGTGTATCGATATTCTAACTGTGTGTATGAACATAAGTGTGAGCAACTTCGATTAGAAAACCGTTATTTCACACGTCAAAAGTTACCAGAATCTCGTGAAAAGAAGTTAGTTTTATTCGCCAATATGTCGTCCGAGGATCAATCCAATCTAAAAAGGAAATTTTCGAGTAAAAGACGAAGTAAGAAGAAGTTTAGAGGAGTTAGGCCAAGCGAGATCGTTTGCCAGGAAAGTGAAGAGCAAGTGGAGCAGCAACTAGCTGCTGAAAATGTCCAGTCTACTAAGGTGAGTGTTGAAAATTCATTTTGCTATGAAAAGCATAGGATAGGATTGTTGTGCCACTTTATGTGAATAACTTTTATATTTATATTATTCTGATATGATGTCAACTTACAATTTGATAACCCAATGTATTCTGCTGTTTTCTTTTCGTTGTATTATCATTTACTACCTGGACAGTGCTATTTCAAATTCATTCATATTCAAGAACATAAACTTACAAAAATATAACGTAATTATGAAAGGAACATATTATTAGTAAGTTCTTCTTTTTTATAGGACATCCAAGACGATGTGCAAGGTGCTAGTGCACGGAAGCTTTCTGCCCAAATTGAGCCCAACTTTAAATCTGAAGGCTTTCGTATCATAAGTATGGAATTTCTGCAGTCACTTCTGGATATCACTGCAGTTTGCCAGAAATGTAAATATGGCAAGCTTCAAGTGAAGGAAGAAACAGAGAAAAAAATGGGACTGGCATCATTGATTGTTGCAGAGTGTCAGCAATGTTTGAAGAGGGTAGAAATGTACACCTCTCCCAACTGCAAAAATTCAAAAGGGTTTGAAATAAACCGTAGAGCTGTACTTGGTGCAATGGAAATTGGGGGTGGAGAGACATCTCTTTTGAAGCTTTGTGCTTATTTGAACATTCCCTCCCCAATGTCGCATGACACATACAGCTCAACTATGAAAAGCATACAAGGTTGTCTAAAAAATAAGGTAGCAGAGAACATGAGAGATGCTGCCAAAGAGGAGAAAGACCAGGAGACCAACCACACCGAGTGTAATGTGATGCTTGATGGTACCTGGCGAAAAAGAGGTTTTTCCTCTCTGCAAGGTGCGGTTACTGCCATCTCAGCAAAGACAGGAAAGTGTCTTGATTTTGAGACACTAAACAAAGTGTGCCATGGTTGTTCAACCTGGAAGTCCAAGCCAGATTGTCCAGAGAAAGAGAAATGGTTGGCTGAGCACAACTGTACAACAAATTATCATGGCTCAGCTCCAGCTATGGAGCCAGAGGGAGTGAAGAGAATCTTCCTCCGATCAGAAGAACTTCACCAGTTGCAGTATACTGGATACATTGGAGATGGTGACTCCAAAGCATACAACAATGTATCCAGCCTAAAGCCATATGGTGAGAAAACAATAAAAAAGCATGAATGTGTTGGACATGTGCAAAAACGCCTTGGAACTGCACTTCGTAAAGTGAAAACAAAGTATGCTGGACAGAAATTGAGTGATGGTAAATCAATAGGGGGCTATGGTAGGCTAACAGCTGATAGAATTGACAGACTGCAAACCTACTATGGCCTTGCTATCCGCCGTCACAAGAATGATTTGGAGGGAATGAAAAAAGAAGTTTGGGCAGGACTTTATCATTCTGCTTCAACAAATGATGAGCCCCAGCACCAATATTGCCCTGAAGGGCCAGAGACATGGTGTAAATTTAACAAGGCAGCTCTCAAGTCTGAATCTTATAATCATTCAAAGCCTCTACCCAAAGCAGTGATGGAAGTTTTGAAGCCAATTTATGAACGGCTTTCTAAAGATTCAGTACTTGAAGGTTGCCTTGGAGGCTACACCCAAAACAGCTGCGAGTCATTGAATCATTTGATTTGGGCTAGATGTCCAAAGACTATGGCCTCTGGAAAAGTCCATCTTGACTGTGCTGCTGCTGCTGCTGTAATTGTGTTTAATAGTGGGAATATGGCCATGTGTGGTGTCCTTGAAGAGCTTGGAGTTGAACCTGGGCGCCATACTGCCCATATATTACAAAAGCTAGACAGAAAAAGAGTAAAAGAGAGCAATGCCAGTGCAACAGAAAAGAACAAAAAAATCAGAAAAACTAGAAGGACCCATGGAAAAGCTGCAGATGACAGAATGCAGCAAACTGAAGGACTAACTTATGCATCTGGAAGTTTTTAATTCATCTTGTCATTATATTTCTCAAAAATTGACATGACCGACTTTTTAATTGCGTTTTTCTCGAACGTTATTTTTACGCTTATGTTCAATTTTGTGACACATGTTTTATGCTGATCATAAGGAGAATATATATGAAAATTGGCTGACATGTACTATTTTTCATGCTCTACACAATGATAGAGAGATAAATCACATTAATTTAGTCTGGAAAAATCCTAGATACCCTGATCATGCTTCATTTTATCAATTTTGCGATGCACAGATTTCCAATACTGATTTCACCAATTTTTTACAACATTTGAAAAAAATATATCTATAGTTGTGAAAAGTAATGTTTTAAGATACTTAATCTAAATTATCAGACATGTGCTAGGAGCTGGATGGTTACAATTTGTGTCAGTACTTTAACACAAATTTCGTGATGTCACACATCAGGTATTCTATTGTTTTTGGAATTTTTGTTATAAATTTGATTTTTTGTACCAATATTACTTTTTGACCAAAACATGTGAAGTTCAGGCTACCCCAACTGTGAATTCCAGCCCAACCCAGAAAGTGTCCTTAATTCATTTATCTTTTACTAATGGCAGTATCTCAAGCAATGCTAAAATTCACAAAACTGAGAAAAAATTGCTGGTAAAAATTCCACTAAACCAAAGAGATTACAAAATAGTAAAAAAATCAATATATAAATAAATTGCTAAAAGTACTTGTTACAATGAAAAACATCGTGAAACACCAAACAGAACAAAGCTCGCTCTAGTCATGAAGGAAGGACATTTTGAGTGGAAATCTAAAATTTAGCCTAGCAAAATCCAATTAATTGTCAATAAATCAATCTCAAAAATTGAAACAGAACTCTCGCCGGCGTGGAAGCGAGGTTGGAAACTCTCAGAAATTGATGCCTTGATGACGGATAGAAAATGTTTTCTTGCAATTTCATTATCATTTTTTTTAATAAACGACTTTGTTAAATTCTTGAATGTACATAATATAGTTAGCAAATAAATTTAGTACCAGAATGAAAATATAATAGTTTGATTGTTAAAAACACGACGTTTCGAGCATGTACTCGTTATCATTTTTTGAATGTACACTTGCTAGTAAACTTTAGAGTATCAAGGGTGAATAAATGACTGCAGCACTTATAATTTCAAAAGGTAGCTAACAAGAATTGCTTGTATATAACAGGGGTATTAGCAATTTAATGACATCAACCTCAATGCCATCATAAGACAACTCTTCAATAATTTTGCTTTGCCCAACGAGATCATTCCAGAATTAAGCGAAATTTCTTGATATATTTTGAAGCTGGAAGCAAAATTTGGATCCTTATAATAAAAGTAACACCATGACTTACTTTAACTTTCGTATTTTGGAACAGAGGGCACCACATATCATCAGTGGAATGATGACAAATAAGAATCCAATGCCAACCAGAAATAAACAAATGCCTGCTTTAGTCTTGAGGTAGGGAACTTTGTTTAGAATTGTGTCAATATAGAACTGCAGGTTGAAAGATTCTGCAAAGAAAAGAAATGTTTCTTATAAATCATCCTTAAGTAAATGCTTACCTGTTGTTAGGTGCATAGGAATATATTTAACTTAAGTTAGTAACAATGTGCCAATGAATGTAAATAGTCCCGAATGCAATTTCCAATCATACCATTTCTATTTTCTTTCCAGGTAATCCCAGGTAGTTTTACTTTTGTACAACGATAATTTGAGATTATAGCTAAGGCTTATTAATCTCATTGTATTTTCATTTCAAAACACTCATATAGGTTAAAAGCTTCAGAATATAACATGTTCAAAAAAATAGTACGAAAAGAAAATTATTTTAAGAAAATATTTTTTGAAATTATTAAAATGTTTCTATTCTAAGCCTAAAAATGCTGCTAACCTAAATCATTATCTGCAGCTGAAATTTATCTGACAAAAGATTATCACCTTATCTCTTTGTTCAGGTATTTTGCAGCTGTTGACAAACATTCTTGCTCGAGTACACAACTGTTGCTAGTCTCAAATGTCTTATTGTCATTTAACAAATGTTACTGACGTGTAAAAGTTGTTGCTAACACGTTTAAGTTGTTGCTGCCCTACAAAATTGTTGCTAGAAGCCATTATTCTTGCTGACGATCAAAACTTTTGTTACCTGACAAAAATATTTTCTTAAAGGCAATCTGTCACGACGTTGATTGGTCATAAGAACAGAGGGATTTCTATTGTTTCCAGTCCCCCTTTAATTTATCGCATTGTAAAAAATATGGTGGAGCGCTGGAATCGTGTTTAGGCTATTGTTCCAGCTATTGTTCTCGTTGACCAATCCACAACGAAACAGATTGCCTTTAAAGTGTTGGTACCTTACAAAGTTTTCGCTAACGCACAAAATTTGTTGTTGCTTTACAGAAACTGCTCCTAAAGCACAAAATTTTCTTAACGCAAAAAAAATTCAGCCTTAGAAAATTTTTCTTAACGCTCAAATTGTTTCTGCCTGGAAAATGTCTCGATTTGTCTTAATTTCTTGATGTCTTTAAGGCATAGATCTTAATGAAAGACTAGCATGATTGTTAGGGAGACAAACGAGGGAACGTCTGATGTTTCTTGACTCTAGGCCGGAGAGTTGCCACACTCGCAGTAAGACTTCCTCTTGTTCGTTTCCCAAACAAATGAGGCAAAATCATATTCATCATCTAACCAAACCACAGTACTTACTGTCAAGTGCAACCGTTATCGTTTTGCTGTTAACACAACCATCTTTGTTTATTGTAACCTTGTAATCGCCAGCTAATTCTTTCTTGAAATTCTTTATTTTCAAAATAGGGCCTATTTGATTCAATCCTGGGCCCCCTTTAACGAATTCATAATGGGGCGATTGTGACGATGTGGGTATTTCTTTTCCATTGACGTACCATCTTATTGCGGGGTGCCCTTTGTAACGTACTTCCAATTTGGTTGTACCACTAGCAGGGACTTGGACTTTCTGACTGCCAACTGGCTGAACAACTTCTAATGTTGTATCTGCAAGAAACAGATACAAAATTCAGTTAGAGATCAGTAAAAAGTTTCAAAAAATTAATTGAAAATAACTTAGAGTAGAAAACTAAGAGTTTGCACCCTCACAATACGAAAGTTGGTAATTCATGGTTTGCACCCTTACATTACAAAAGTTGATAACTTGGGGTTTGAACCCTCATACCACAAAAGTTGATAACTTGGGGTATAAAAATTATTACTTATAAATGAATTGGCAACAAGAACGTTTCTTCAATACTTATGCAGTTTATCAAATTCATTGTTAAGTTTTTAAAGCATGAAACCCGGAGTAGCGATTTAGAACAGTCCTATTCTATACACCAAACGCGTGTACAGAGGCAGAGCTGTATCGAGGACTTTATCATAGGCCGGTAAACAGCAATTTTCATTAATTTTATTATTAAATGTTATGGTAAACCAGCTTTTTGGGTCCTATTAGTAAAGTTTGGAATGATTAACACTATTTGCAATATAGAAGCAAGGGTTCTATTCCTAGAAATTACTTAAATATGGAATAAGAACGTGTTTCCAATATGGCAAACAATTTCTGACGGCAGTCCCTGGTAGAAGGTAATCAATGGAAAATACTAAATGTATGTCTTTATCGAATTCTGAAGAACGTAGCTACCAGACAACCCACTAACTTAAAATCAAACGCTATTGTAATCATTTCTAAATTAGGTTTGATTGTTCCGAAATTTTCGACAATTTCTTTTTTCATTCTTTACTTTTTTCTAATTACCCTTTCTTTAAGAATTTGGAAATCCCAGCAACACATTTAAAGCAAAATCTTAGCTTTTACAAATATTATTTTTCATACTAGAAAGACTGCTACTATTTTCGTACCTGTGCCTGGCACACAATATCCGTGTACTTGAAAGACTGTTATGGCAGTTACTACAAGCAGGCTTATCTGCCAGCTTTCCATCGCTATTTTTAGAGTATGACTGCTTTTCTTGTCCAGTCTTTCTACTTCAAATCTGGCGGCTCTTGTTATACAGCACCACGTGACGATTCATAGCGCGTTAGATGAGGCTCTTTCTCTCCTTATTGCACATTAGCAGTAATTTCATGAATAATACGTCATGAATTTTAAATTTTGGCAATATTACGTCAAATAATACATTGTAATCAAATAGTGAAGAGGAGTATAGGCGTCATAAAAATTGTTTGAAATGCTCTTTATTTAGGCTACTGTATACAGTTTTAAAGAAAACCGTAGAATTCCTATAAAATCAGAAATAACAGTAACATCAGTAAGATTTTGTAAAAAATGGATGAATTAAGCCAAGTGAAGGACCTGAAGTCCCCTTAAGGGTTAGTGTTGTTAACGCGTGATTCATAAATTTGAAAACCAAGAGCAACGTACAGTGATGGGATTGGGGAGGAGCTTGCACCCGTATGGCTATATCTCGGCTTATCAGGAATAGAGGCGGGCTGTTTACAATTTTCATAGCAATTTATTAAACCATGTGGTTAAAACCCACAAATACATGTTAATGACTTTATAAATATCAAACTCTGTTTTCAAGAACACAACAGCAGGCAAACGATTTTCAGGGCTGGTGGGATAAGGATACAAAACATCAAGACAAAAGAATCGACAAAACAAGAAATTATTAAAATATTCCTTTCTCAAGAGCTGGGTACAGTACAGCCATTGCCTTTTGCACGTGCTTTGGTATCCTGGGCAGAAACACAAATTTCCTAAGTCCATTAAGACACTTTAGCTTTGTGAAATAAAAACATCTGTTGTGGTTTATCGCCATATTGGTGGAGGCAGGTTTCGAAACTCACAGTGGTTTCCAGATTAAGGGTGTGTTATCGTTTGGTTACTTGCGAAAACTGATATCCAAAGAATGATTATTGACAGTAAATCACTTAAATACAGGAATAGTCAAGTTGAAATGATAATGGCAGGTTTCAATCTCTTCAAGTTATCATTGATGTCGATAATTCTCTCTCTCTCTCGCTCTCTTTTTCTGATACCGATTGCCTAGAAATAGGCGTATACATTAACGAAGAAAGTAATATTTCCAACCGCAATCATAGAACATTTAAGAATTAGAAACATTGCTGATAGCCAAAGGGAGGAATTTGTCAAACAACTGAAATTTGATGCAGGCTTTCCAGTTATTTTGGCAAGGGTGTAGAGCACATCTCCAGATTTGCCTTAACATCTTTGATCTCGCAATGCAAAGAACAACTTTTAGAGCCACTTCAAAGGCATATTATAAGGGACTGTTTCCCAGGTGTAGGAACCATCGAGAGAAAAAATCAGGACATTGCTAGATATGCTAAAAACCACATTTAAATGGTAAGTAGAAACTTTCTTTATCAGTTCTTTCCTTATTAAATGCCTAGTGAAATATTTCCTCCCAGATCTTTAAGTCCTTAGTGCTCTTTAATTATGATGATGTTGTGATATATTCAGAGATGTGTAAAGGTAGAAAAATCAATAACTGCAAGGTTCTGTATGAGAAGGAGATATATCTACATTATAACTTGATGATAACTATACAAGCTAATTATATGCTACATGAATTATTAAAAGCATCAATATCTATGACATATTACTGTGAGAATAAATACCTAAAAACAAGCTAAAGTGCACCCAACCTAGAATAATAAAATACTTTACTTAATGATAAAATAAAATAAATACTTCCTATGAGAAATGATCTTCAAAATGCAGAATGCAAAATAAATTAAAATCTCCAAACTGTGGCCCCTTGTTACGTCCCATTGTGCGGAGATACTGTCTATGGTTTTCGTACAAGGTTTGAAAGCAGAGTTAAAGTCTGGGTAAAAACACATGTCCGTTGTCTGTAGGTGTCCGGTATTTGAAGGTGAGAGATTATAGCTGAAGTTTCACCCTGGATAAATGGATCTCAACCCATGAGTTAACCTAAATCAATCTTAGAAAAAAGGCAGTGCAACCATTTTCATTTTGGGTATTTACTCATAAGACAACTGAAGTTTGATAACCTAAAAACTCTTAATCTCGCTGTCTGTACTCATTCCGTACATAGAGACATAAATCTTGTTAGATTTAATTTTTAGTTAGACAAAAGAACTTACTATATACAATATTGAGCAGTACAGAGAGTTATACGACTCTCGGCTTGCTTGTAAAAGGGCAAATTAAAGGAAATCTAAGAAAATCTAAATCATTGTTCAGCTCCTTACAACGATTTACATCTAAGATAAAGAAACCCACATAAAAATCCAGAACAACGCCTTCTTTCAAAAATGAATTGATAAAGAGAGCAGCTCGCCCATCAATACGGCTCCTCGAGAACTCTCCAGTGGATCAACTCAATACACTACCCTCTGCTTTGCCACATTGCGAATTAGTTGGAAAAAGGGATGTAGGCGGTAGCAATACGGGAACATAATGTGTCCCAGAAGCATGCAAAGCGTAGGCAGGAACAAGCACCGGACAATTATAGCCACTATCAGCAGGAATTGACATGTTCTTAAACAATGACTCAGCTCTGGGAATGCAAGGAACCGACTTTGGATCAGCATCTGGTACCGGGTTTTTAATCTCCGGCGACGTTTGCTCGCATATTTTTTCTCCTGGACTAACAGGCGGGGACAGGTCTGGGCTGGAGCTCTCGGCTTTGATTGATACTTGATATTTGGTGACCTCTTCAACTGTATCAGTGGCCTAAAATATAACAACAATCCAATTCAAACGGAAAGGGTTACAAAGACAGGGTAATGATAAAGTAAAAACTTTGCATTTTAAATTACTTTTGACAGCTTTCCAGAGCCGTAAATGATCGATTAAGCTTTAGCTAACTTGGGCACTTGTTCGAGTTCTTGCCGCTCATGAAAATTTTTATGAAGATCAGTCTTTTCGACTTTCAAAGCTGTGACCATTAAGTCTCTCTTTGAAATATTTCTTCGCCATTTCTAATGCAATTCGTCTTGGTTGCTCACTTCAGCATGGTATACCATGTTGATTTGAATGTACAATACGGGGACATAATGTCAACATAAAGTTGCTGAACTCATTCTGTAGGGAACGAGCTCGTGCTTAATTGTAAAAAATACGATATAAAAGAACCACTGAACTGCAAAGAAGAAGTACTAACTGGACAGCCCTGGTCGATGTCGACTATCTTTTGAGAGAATCAAATGAGAGCTACGTTGCTGCAGCAGTCATAGGAAATATGAAAAGTGAAATTGGCTACAATGTTCCAGCACGTTTCACAACTTTCACTGTCGATTAGCGAACTGCTGTCATATGGCATGGATAGTTTCAAAACAAACAAAACGCTTCTTTAAATTTGAGATCAACACTGGAACTAACACTGTTGCTAAGCTGCCTTGTATCAGCAAAATACATGTGAACCAAACAGAGGTTGCTTTGTCTAGGAGTGTGCACTCATCGGATTGGGGGCTTATTCGAGTCAAAAACTGTATCCAAGGGGTGCTATACCACAATTTGGTAAACGGTTTTGCCCAGTAGTGAAGCTCATGACGAATTCACATTGCCTCTTTGATAAAAAAGGCCTTTAAACAACACTCAAACTCAAATAGTGTTTACAAAAGCTGAAAAATTTGGTATGAAAAAAAGGGGCACGGATGGTTCTACTTTATCACATGAAATCATTCGAGTCAAGACTACCAATACTGATGATTCACTTTAAAAAATAAAATTATAATTTTGAGTCTTCTAAAATTTCAATTCAAATTTTCGAACGTTTAAACCAAGGATAAGTTAACAAAATTCCGGGCGGCAAAATACCATCAAATGTCAGAAATTTGTTAAGAACATCAGAAGAAGCTATCTATAATATTGAAAATACTTTAATATATTGATAGAAAATTGTTAACGATTTACTGTAATTGATCAATTGAAGAGCCGGGCATTTAAAAAATTTTTTGGCATTAAGGAGAGGCGTTTATTGGAAAAGGGCGTTTATTGGAAAAGGGCGTTCATTAGAAGAAGGGTGCTTAATTGATCATATACAGTTTAGCAATAGCTTCCAATTTGCGGTTAACAGCAAACTGAATACATACTGGAATATTCATGTCTGTAACGCATCTGTTTATATCTTCTTCAAATTCAGTTGCTTCCCTTGCAATGTTGTTGGTGTCGTCTTCATTCTCCGAGAAGCTAAACTCTTTCTGAAAAGCCTTTGCCTCGTTTTGCTTTGACTGCTCTTTTAACAATCTCTCTGTTTGAGTCGGTGTTAATAGATTCATTTTCTTCAGCTCATTCAGAATATGAACAATACCGTCTTTAAAGCCGTTACAGTAAACTTCGTTTAAAGCTGAACTGTTTTTAGATGATAAACTCTCGCCTACAAAGAAAAATGACAAGTTTTAGAACTAGTTAATCTAGCTAGCTAGTTAAACACTTACAAGTAATCTGGGTCTACAAGCAATCTAGAATTAATCTACAAGTTATCTACAAGTAATCTAGAAGTAATCTAGAAGTAGTCAACGAGCAAGATAATATTTAATCACCTTTCTTTTCGTCATAAAAAATTATTGTTTACTACAAAATAAAGTTATGTAACGAAAAATGTTTCCTTTATGACTTTTTGAACGGAAAAGGGAGCTTCGGGAAACGAAATGAAGACATTAAACAAAATCGACAAGATGTTGCAAGGAATCTGGGAACGCACTGTACGCTGGTAACTAGGCTTGTGGGTAAGGCCACGCTATTGAAAGATAAAATGACGTATAGTTGGAACAGCAAATAAGAAAGTGAGCATAACCATAAAAATATAAAAGATAGGATAAAAAACAAAGCACATGAAAGACTTAAGAGGAGTTCGAAAACCATAACGAGAGCTTCACGCTTCCATTGTGACCCAATCACCGAGTACCACGAAAATGGTATCGCAGAAGAACAAAATGAAAAATTCAAACATATATATAAACAATACACATATATAAACGTAGGAAGTGGAAGAAAGAATTTAGGTAGCCAGGAAAATCGGGTGGCCAAAGAGTTGGTGTGTCCACAGAGATGGATGGTCAGAGATATTTGAGCTGCAGTCTCCCTCCCTCCCAAAGTGCTTAATTGATTTGCAAAATTGATGTCATGGCACTCAAGGATACTAGATAAAAGCAGTCCTATTGTTTCTATCGTTCTTCCATGATTATAGTAGCACCAAAATCACCTTAATATATTTCATAAAATTTATCCAAAACATGATCTTTAGAGAGGAATGAGTTAAACCACATACCCTGCTTTTCAGCAACTTTTGCCAAGCTTCGATGGACGTTCTTCAGGTGGTGGACCGTCATCTCTAACAAATCTGCTTTTTCAAGGCGCCCTGAGCCACTCGCATACTAAATGGTTGCAAAAACTCCTTATAAAATTCCATATCGTCTGAAGATATTATATAAAATACAAACATGAAAAAATATTATGCTCTAAAGTTAACATCTTTGCTTGTATCTCAATTTCCATGTCCTTAAATGACACGGGATTGAGTAAATCTCAACGTTTCCTTAAGGAAGACACGTTGTCTTTGTGATGTTGCTCTGATCTCATAAGAAAAAACCTCAAAAACCAAACATCCTTGCAATATTTGAGCAAGGCCAAAGCATTTTTGCTAAATTTCCCAGTTCCTTCGTTACAATGTTGCCCTATTACGACATTTTTGTGTTAAAGGTAAAGATTTTGTCACTAAAGTAGCATTAAGAAATTGACAAACGAAAAGGGTGGGTGATGGTGGAAGACTTCAGAAGCAAAAGTGGTATATGGAGAATGTAGTTTCAGTGCTGCGTTGTCTATTTGTAAGCCACCTGACTGACACGTTGCAGATACTTTTGGCTGACTAGTCTAAAAAACCACTAAGCAGGGCCTGCACCGCTGATCTCAAACTAAAGGGGCCTAAAACAATGTAAAAAAGTCTCCTTTTTATCCACTCTAGCCCCCATTGTAGAAAACATTTTGCTTATGCTGTTTTACTAGTGGACTTTGATTCAATGTTTATGTTGCAGTTACAGACATATCTATTTAAATGATTTGAGATTTTTTGAATCATTTATTTATTGAAAAAACATATTGCAAAACTCAATATGTAAAAAGCAATTTTCATATTAAGATGCTAAGCTAGATATCATATTTTGCACAAGTTCGCACACATTTTGCACACTCAGGAATGTGAGTACATTGCATACTCTTCAACGCTCCTAATCTCTCTTTGACAATGGATGCAGGCAATAAAGATGTCATAGCTGAGATGGATTTCGCCATCGTACGCACAAGCTTTCATTGCCTTTGGGGGTTTTCAGTAACAAGCCACCTAACTTCTTCCTTGTGAGGTAGGAGCGTTAGGGGCTACAACCAAATTGGTGTGTAAGAGCAAATTTACAGGCACAATTCGATCTTTCAGATTTATCAAACGTGTTTGGTTCATATTTAAGCACTTTGAGAAATCTGGAAAATCAACATTCTTATGTACAAATGATGTGAACATCTTGATCCACCCCTGCTTTTGCTCATATAAACAAAGTTATGTGGTATGTAACAGAAGCACCAACAAAAAGTTAATAGAGGCTCTAAGAGTAGCTTCTCAGGATAAGATTTTAGAACCAACGTTGTATTTGTATCCCATGAACACTCTTTTTTGCAGTACATGTTCCAGTAAAATACCCTTGTAAAAGTCCAACTCTCAACATATCATAGATAATAATGAAATATTACCAACCCCTACGATAAAAATTTCTATCTATTTTTCAATAGTTAGCAGGACAAGAGGCAGAAGTTGATGTCTTCAGTAGTAGGGAAAGAACAAAACCTTTTTGATCAGAATTTGCCCTTGCAAAATATCCAACTTTGAGGTACATTTTCAAAATCATATCAAATTGTGATGTGTGGGTAGTTGTTCTAAACCCCCCCCCCTGTGGGTAGTTGTTCTAATCCCCCTCCCCCCCCACCATAACATCTCCAAATGAGCATGAACTTTTTTATACAAAGAAGGTTATACAAGAAAGTTTTTACATTTGTTTTCAATAACAATACATTATGTTTTCACCTTTAGATGAAAAAAGCAAGTTAGTCATACCTTAAGTTTTGCAGCAGGAACAATATCTTTTAGCATCCAAAGTGTATTATTTATTCTGTCTCTTCTGCGTTTCTCAATGTGTCGATGTGATATTGTTTGCTTCCCATTCTTTTTGCTAATGTTGTTACCCTGGAAATGTTAACAAGAATACAAATGACAACAAAAGTACAATAACTCTTCACATGTCAAGAGGGAAGCATCAAAGCTATCACACTTGAGCTCTTAGTGTTAAATATGGTCTTGTTAATGAAAATTGAGATGAAAGAAAATCCATTAGTCTTGGTACAAATTGTACAATAATTCACTTGATGTTGGAATTAAAGTTCTACAACCTAATTGGAGACAATTAGAGGTAGACAGATCATTAAGGTACTTTTTTGACAAAACTGAAAGACGTTCTGATGCAATCAAAGTAAAAAAATGTTTGATGAAGATGTATTTAAAGGATCTGAGTGTATTGGGCATAACTGTGCATAAATCTACATCCAATCCCACATCAAATAACTAAATTCATAGGAAAATTCAATAATTTGTAAGGATTACTATGGAACACTCAAGAAAGAAAAGCTACAAACAACACTATCAATGATTGTCTTAGCAATGAACAAATTATTATTATGAAAGTACAGACCATCTTGGATATTGAGACACCATCACACAAGTGGGGCGAAAACGGCAATAATTATAGTGGCGGCCTATGTCATCAGTACAGTAGCTTCCACATACACGCATATCAAGTGCAATTTTTGGGTACCTTTTTCAGGTAGAAAATAAATTCTGGGGGTATTGATATTGGTAAAACCATAACATGGTCCTAAATTTTGGGATGGATTTCTAGCATATGTCCTTACATTTTGGGGTATCATTTTTAAAAGAAAGGTTTTGAAATTTTAGCTTCTAGAAAGGCTAAAAAAGCATCCCCCAGACTAAATTTAATAAAATAATAGAATCGCTCAGGATAAAAAGTTCGGCGTTTCTCAGAAGAACACAGATTATTGTTTATTGGGTGAAATTGTGGAGAGGAAGAGTCATGCTTAAACCTTAGTTACAGACTTTGGGGAAATATAGGATGCTGTTGTATTGATTGGTAGAAATTTACTTTCTGAACAGAAATGTGCGTCTTCTTATTTTGAGTGCTTTCAGTAGGCCATCTTTACACATAAAAAATGAATACATTTTAATGATACAAAAAGTGATTCACTAAATAAAAGCAAATAATAGACAAATAATAGAAATGTACATAAATAAGTTAGTAAATAGGTCAAATAAAATGACAGATTGCTCTCTTTTTATTTCATACTTTGTTTTCAAAAATAAAACGGTAGAAAACGGAAAAAACGGTAGAAAACGGTAAGTTTCTATCTTGTAAAAATTCTAAAAACCACTCTGCTTACAAAAATAACCTTAGTGGCTGAGGTTTGTTGCAATAACACAGAAAAACGTAGTTTGGTTCTAACCCGGCTACCAGGGATTTCTTTCTTTCAAGGAAAATGATGGTAATTTCTCCAAAAAATCGTTTTGCTCCAGACTTTTGGGGGGGGTCCAGTCCCCCCCGTCCCCCCCCCCCGGGATTTACGGCCCTGATGTTTTCATTTACTTGGTTGAGTTGTTGTATTTTAACAGATTTGAATAAAATTCAAGGGTATGCGTTGCATATTGTACCTAAATTTTGGGATACATTTTTTGGCAAGTTTATAAATTTTACGGTATGTTTTCATCTTTCAAAATGGCACATCTCCATTTCATACCTATTGAAGTTACCAAAGCAAATTACCATCACTCAAATTGAGTATTTCAGCAATTCTTGAGGGGTTGCCTATAGCCAGACGTGTTTTTTATTAGAACAGAAAATAAAAAACCTACCTTTTAGTTTTAATAAATTTTTATAATTGTAACACTACTGATTTTATCAATGATACATTGGCTTGATTGTCGTACTTTCAAGCTCGTAGCATTTCGTAAAATAATATCTAAGGTTTTGCTATGATTTGTGGGCTAAAATTTTTTCGAAGCCATGCTCAAGGTTTTAAATATAGTATACAAATCTTTCAGTGAGAGAAATTGTTCAAGCATGGAGTTGTCGCAGGCCACTTCAGTTGACTTCGTTACTGGCCGGCTGGAAATGCTTCTAACAGTACCACACTAGCAAAAAGTTGCAGTTATAGAAAAAAAATTTCTTAGAAATTCTTTACCTTAATCCCTCGCCATTGAGGTTTTTTCTCTTTCGACAACTCACTCCTTTCGATGACCGCCAAAGATAGGATATTCAGGCCGGTATTTGTGTCGTCCTGTTCTTCAAGGGACATGTTTTGTTGATCCATGGCCAGCATGGGATGCCTTCAAAAGCATGCAGCTTTTGATAACTATTGAAATTTCATAAATGAACCGGTCAAATGAACTCCAGTCGTCTGCTTTTTATCTCCTTCAGCATCGTTCTTCTGAAAATTTCGGCGAACACCTGAATCGTGTGATAGGCAAATGTGACCGACCACGAGATGATATAAATTAAATGGACCATTACATTTTCAGACGGGTCACACGCCCCATGAAATAATTTTTATATCAAGCAGCAACTTGAGCAGAAAATTCATCAAATCATTCTTCATGAAAAAAATGACGTGAATTAAAACATTAATGCAGTTTTAAATGAAAAAAATTACAAAATTATATCGAATAATCGAGTTCTAGTTCGCTAGTTGACGGAAAGGAGCACCCGGGAACATGTACAGAAGCTCTTTGCTTGCACATTCACGTGTCCGCGTGACCTTGGGGAAACCTGTCGCTAGTGCGGAAAACCAGTGGCAAAATTATTCGCATTTCTTGGAAGCCATTGACTTTTTCAGTGCTTTTTTCTAAAATGTTACAGCCAGTCGGAATTTCTTGCTAGGGAGGGGTTTGACCCCCTAGTCTGAATGGCCTTCACAGGGCCGCGGTGAGAATTTATGGGCCCCGGGTCAGGAAAAAAGATAAATAGTAAAACATGCCTAAGGCAGACGCTTCTAAGGGGTACGGGGAATGCTCCCCCTGGAATTTTTGAAATTGATGATTGCTTAAATTGCAATGGTGGCTAAACTGCTTTGGTGGCAGTGGCGTAGATAGAGGGGGGTCAGAGGGGGCAAAGCACCCCTGTATAGCTAAACTGCTATATATTATCGGAAATTTAACATGGTTGTCTATGTTTATCTAACTGCTATGTTTTTATAGGAAAGAATTCAAAGCTAAATAAACATAAGAATATCTGAATACATCAAAAGATTTATTTATTCCTGTTCCGAAGTCGTTATGTTATGTTAAAATTTATGAAAAATATTAATGCTTGTTAGATTTTTGTCGGAAAATCTAAGTTTCTCGCCCTCCTACGAATTTTCTTATCTAAGCCATTATCTGGTGGCTATTTATTACTTCTGTTTGCTGTTTAATATAAATGTTTTTAATATATGCATAAAAATGAAAATTTCTTAGAAATTTTGAAAGTCTTAGAAAATGGAAAATGTTTAATTCGTTAACTACATATATTCGATCACAACCGACAAATTGCTGCAAATAGATGCGCATGCCATAGTGTAAATCTGTATGACATACAATTTGCTGTATGTTGCCCTGTTGTAATCACATTTTCTATTTACATTCAGAGGCTAACACTCAGGCAGTCAAAGAATCAAACTGCTTCTACCTCACTTCATTCATAGACTTTTGTCACTATTGTCTCTACTAATGACAATGTGTTGTAATAGAGAGGTTGGACTATCACTTAGAAATATTATTAATTGAATTGTTTTTATGGGCCCCTATAGCCAAAAGCCCCTGGGTCAGTGACCACCTGACCACCTTCTCTCCACAGCACTGGACCTTCAACGAAAAAGGATAAAAATTCCGAGATCAACCCTGGCAAAGTAAGAAAATGATTTCGTTGACAGTAATCACGACCGATTCTCTCGGATTCCCTCTGTTCGTTTCCGACAGACAGTTATTTATTTAGAAGAATATTTGTAAGCCTCGACATTCTTAAGAATTTTCACTTTGAGCCTGTATATATTCTAAAATCATATTGCTATTTTTCGAATCTCCATAACTTCAGGGGAACATCGTTTGTCTCCAAATAGCAACCACGCTTTTTGAAAAGAAAGTAAGAAATCCAGACCCTCCCCCTTCCGTAGTGACGGCCCTGGTTCTCACATATTTTCCCTAATCTTGCATGAAAATGGACAGCACTGCATCTTTAACCCACTAAAAATTGCGCTAAAACTGCAAATTTTTACAGACATCCTCTGAAAAATTCCAACCTTCTTCTGTTCAATAACTATTGGTTTTATTTTAAATTAGCTGTTTTGACATTAGAAAATCGTTGATTAGCCATTGCAAAGTGAAGACGAGGTCAGTTCGATAGGGCTTCTCGATGCTCACGAGAAATCGCCGCGGACTGGCCTACTTCCATTTGAAATTGTGTAAGTTAATGATTTTGATTATCTCTGTCTTCACTTTCTGTTTTTTCGCAAATATGATTTTGGTAACTTTCAAATATATATATTTATTTGTATTTTTGCTGATAGATTATTAAAACATGCCTGGCTATTAAATTTTTTCATATGATTTTTTGTGCTTCTGATTTCATCAGCAAGTCACTTTACCTTAATTGTTTCAAGTTGTTTCATCGCTGTTTTTTCTATTTTATCTGTGTCTTACATTTTTTCTTTAATTAATCAACCATATTTACAACAAGTGCCAACTCATTTTCTTTTCAATTAGATGGATTGGTCAATTAGTTTTCAATTCGACCATATTTTGAAGTTTTTCTCAATAAAAATTTGGAAAAGAGCAATAAACATTAGCACCATGTTTTTGTCGATTCTGAATTTTTGCAGCTACACTGTTTGAAAAGCCTTTCTCTGCCATGTACTGCAAAATTTCAGTTTTTAACTTTTTCTAAAGGCAATTTTTTCAAATTCTATTGGCCTATTTTTGTGAAGTTTACTAGAATATCTTGGCCTACTTTCAAATTACCATCCAGAAAGAAAATATTGCAAATTGCATAGAGATGAAATATTTTTAGCAATAATTTCAAATAATTCCTTGAATCTTATTAACGATCTAAGGTAGTGTGAAACCAAAGCTTGTAAAAATACCACAAGACATTAAAAGTATCTGTAACAAACATTTTAAATGAATAATCAACTTTATCACAGACAAAAAGAATGTTGGTGGATTAGATCAAAGAAACGAAAGTTAATACCAAAGTCCAAGCTGTCTCTTGCCTCCAGCCAGAGCCAAGAACTAAAAAATCCTCTCAACAACCAATGAAAAAAGGTTGGTTATTATAATCTTTCAACTTATTTTGTTACACTGAATTTCCTTGCAGCTGTCAGCTGTACAACCAGACCAGATTTCTGAACTCTTTTTAACAACATAGCCAACATAAATAGATCAAAGATGATAAGTGGGGCATTACATGATAGAAATGGAAAAGTATTTGTAAAGTGACTACTTCTCAAACTGAATTTAGGTTACTGTGCATATTCTTGTCTAGAGAAGCATCCATGATCTAAAATTGCTGGGGACAAAGGATTGTATTTTAGTAAGAAGAAATCACCTAGGAACAAGAACATTTTAAAGAAGATGTGAATTCCCGATTAATTCCTGTTGTTGTTTGCTATACTTGTTCACAATGCCAGCTTTCAATTTCATGTGGCTCAAGCCCCTAAATATAGTGGGCCAAGTAGAAAAAATTATAATAGTGGACCAAAAAATTTTATTTTATTAAATTTCATTTTCATTGACTTTGAGAAAGTGTTAGAATATTTCATTTTTATTAGATTAAAGATGTTATGGAAGTATAGAAGAGCTTTCTCACAACTTGCATGGCTGCACAAGGCGCTTGCTCCAATTATAAGAAGCTCAGAAGCAGCATTCTGTTACAGCAAACTTGTTGCAGCAGGCCAAACCCCTTTGGGACTCAATCACATTCGTTCAATCACAAAACTAACAACATTCAATGTTGTGGACAACAGCAAGCTTGGCCAGAAGACAAGAAGTTCCAAAAAACCTTATTTGATTGGATTTTATCGTAAAAGAAAGACTGCTGATATAGGTGATGTTATTAAAGTAGCCGTTCAAGGGAAGCCTTGCAAAGCATTGGTTGTAGCAACAAGGAAACCTAAAACACAACCAATCCCAAGATTTGATAACAACAATATCATTCTTTTGGATGAAAATAACGCTCCCTTAGGGACAAGAATTAGGGGACCAATTCCAGCCATATTACGGAGACAAAGGGACAAGTTTTCCAAAGTTATCGCTCTTGCATCAAAATTTGTTTGAAATGATAGACAGCGTTTAACTTGATCAAAGAGTGGATATTATCAAAGATTTATTGTGTTTCAGACATTTATTTTTGAGTTTCAGACCTTGTCAAATATTGATGACTTGCTCATTTTGTTTTCTACCTGCTTATTTCCTCATCTAAGATTTTCTTGCAAAATTCTCCTAAATTCAGAATACAAACTGACAAACAATTTCTTTGCAGAAACACTCTGGTAGACTTAAAAATTGGAGACTGGCTAGAGAGCCAGAAATACTCTTTCAGAAATACTCTGCCTTTGGCATTGCCTAAAATATTCTAACACAATAGCAACTAAAACCAGTTCTGGACGACTCATAATATCATGTATAAATTTCATCTGAGACAAACGTTTCAATGAAGTTGTTTGTTCCAATGCTGTTTGAATGGATATAAGTATCATATAGCTAAAGTATGCCCAATCCTATTGAATAGTATAAGAAAATGTCAGTATGCAGTGTAAAGCATTAATGAGAAAATATGCCAGAAAAAGGTTTCACACTTCAAGAGATTATCTCTGAGACAGGGCAACATAAAAAAGTGAAGGGTACACCCCATGTCACATTTTGCAAGTCTCTTTTCCTAACACGCATTACCAATCTGTTACCAAGATTTTCGGTATTTTTACTAGATTTAACGGTTTTTGACCTTGTTCTTACTTACAGAAAAAGCTGATAACATTGATTGTTTTATATAGCATCAGATTCATATGACAGGAAAGAACTGACAGTTACAGAGAATCTGACTTTAAAGGCTAAACAAAAACATGTCTTCAGAAGAGGCGAGCCTTTTATAAGTTTTACATTGGGGGCTCAGACCAAAAGGTATCCCTAACCCTCAATCCATTGGAACCTTTTAGCTTTTTTAGGGCAAAGGGAATCTTGGAATGACTTGCTCTACTTCACTTTGTCATCCTTGTATTTAGATGTCTGTACTAGTTAAAAAATGTCGCTGGCACCTTCAGACATGCTGCAGAATTATACTTGCTAATACCGTAATACTTCGAATAAGCAACAGGGTTGGCCAAGTTAAAAACTTAAGCTACATAGGGGAGCTTATTTGAGAGGGATGACAAAAGGCTTTTTCAAAACTTTATTCATTTTAGGTGAGGGTTTCTTTCACACGCTGAATAAAAACAAGATTTATGAACATAATAAACTGGATAAAAAAGCTCTTGAATTAAAAAATATGAAAGTACATATGGAATCTTTAATGCAATGAAACATTGCAAAAAAATTGTACTGACAGCATAATAGAGTAGCTTATTTCAAAAGGAGACTTTGAAAACTGGATGCTAAAGAGGGAGGGCTTAATCGAAATATTACGGTACATGACAACACTAGGAAAATACAAGAGCTGGGTATTTGTAAAATATATTTATGATGTCATTTTAATAAGCACTTTTGCGTGAAGCAATTTTCAAGATTTTGATATTTGGTTTTGTGTTACCCTATAGAGTATTCAGTTAAGATATCACTCGTATGAAGGCGTTCTTTAAAAAATTTGTGACCTGTCAAGGCAGCAGTCTCCGCACATGGGTTCTATACAGCAATACTGCTGTTGTGGTACAGCATGCCAAAAACAAAACAGCCTCTACACCAAAAACAGCACAAATGATTTAAGAGACAAGAAAACTGGCCTATTTATATGATAAAAGTATTTTTCACAAGGTGGCTCGTTTTTGTCTTAGATTTTACTAACATAAAGCATTTTACTAACATAACAGAAACTGAAACATTACACTGAATCTACCTGCCCATACCCGTCCTGTTATTTGGCCAATTATTAACATCACTAACTGGATGTTTACTGTCTAAAGACCCACCCATTTTGCTACTTGGTCTTATACCCAGGCCATGCAGTTCATTTGGGTGTCCAGAGTCATTCATGTCTTTGTTTGGAGGCCCATTCGGGGACTGACGCTGTGCAGGGCCTGGACGAAAATGAGGTGCCATACGCGGCTGAGGAGCACCTTGGCGAATAGGAGGTCCACGACTATCGAATGGCGGCCTACCAGTGTTTGGCGTAGGAAACCGCCTTGGTCCTTGGGTATGGTGGCCTCTTAGCAACAATGGATGGGGCCCTCTTCGATGTGGGATAAAATTTGGGTCATTCCAGTCACTATCCTTATCTTCTGACTCGATATTTTTTCCCTCAAATCCATTATTTGGCAGGCCTTGCCCCCTACCTCTGCCTCTCCATGGCTCTTCCATGCGCTCTTCAACAGCCTTTCTGTTCCCATACTCATCAACGAAGAACTGCTTGTTGTTGTCACCATGTCCACCACTGGGACCCTGCCGATGCATAGGTGGAAAACCACGCCCCCTTCCACGTGATCCAGGTCCGTCACGACGGTTCATAATTTCAGGACCCTTACCCCACTGACCCCCTTCTTCAAGCTGTGGATCATTCGACATAGATTCATTAGAGGGATTACCCCCTTTTCCATGAAATGAGGTGCTACCCATTCTTTGCTCCTTTGGAGGAAAGCCTTCAGAAGAAGTGGGTGGCCTTCCACGAAACTGTTGGGCTGAAGGTCGAATTCCACCAGAATCTTCAGCTACGTTGGGTGGAGGACCTTTCATCCAGGCACCTTGTGGGTGGTTTGACATTCGCCTATCGTCAGGGCCATCTCTCCAGCCAAAGTTTTGAGATCTATTTTCATTGTCAGTCTCTACGTTTTCATTGCCATATTCCTCTTGACTTTGGTCGAAACTTTGCCTGAGCTCTTTTCCACCATATTCACGGCTTTCACTTGGAAAACGACTCCTTCCTGGCATTTCAGGCCTCCTTGTACGTTTTTTAGCCCTATTTTCTCCATGTGATGCATCTTCAGTAAGTGCCTTGTCGTTAGTCCACACCTCTAAAGCATCTATTACAAAGCCTGGTTGAATTGTTAGAGGATCAAATATTCCCTTTGTATCTGGAGGTGGAACGATCATTGACAACTTGTCTGGAGTAGGAAGAAGCCCGGGAGCAGACGAGACAGTTCGTGCTGAAATAAGAAAAGGGAATTAAGAAAGTTACGAGGACTCAAATCATTCTACAGGGCCTGAGGTAGTAACTGAATCAATCACTGGGCAAAGATGGAGGTGGTTTCGAAAACCACCGCGCTTAGGGAAAAGGTTTAAAATGGGGAATTCAAAGATAATTATGAAGCTAGTAGCAATACAGTTAAATTTCTACCCTTTTGCTTCGTACGTCAAAAAGTACGATGCACGCTAAAAAGAAACACGAAGTAAAAACCTGGACAAATCACGTAGAGTGGTTACACGGAGAGAAAGGACCAGGACACTACTCGATAAGCACAGCTATTCAGTATCCTAAAACGACCGTCGGAAGTAAGGTAGTGACAAATATAGGTATTCTGCCATTGAAGTGGGCATACATAAGCTACATAAATTTTAATATGGAAGAGTTTCTGACCCTTTTCACTATCTGTCAAAACTCGTCTGCTTGCAGTTGACTTACCCCCTCTCCATACCCATGTACTCAATATATTTTGCCTACTAATGGAAAGGGATACTTGAGAATATTCTCTACATGTCTCCATGATTTACAGGTGAATGAATTTTCGCTCTTGATTTTGTAATTTTTGTCAGCTTGCTGTTTAAGAACAGTTCAAGAATGTACATGAAATGATTTTCTTACATTAACACAATATATATTTTTTCTGAGACCCCTAAATAACAATTTTGCATGACATTTTTAGTAAACAGTTAATAACCTGATAAAATCTCCTTTGATTTGATTTCCACTTAAGGTTAAGGATGATTTCATATTCTTTTTTGGCAAATCGGGCCTCGGGTGTTCTTACAAAGTGCCCGTAAAAAAACGGTGCATGGTCAAATCCTTGACAGGTAAAGCATATCATTTAAAGAAAAAGCTCTTAATAAAAACTAACAAGTGGCATCAACAAGAGCACAATACTCAACCGCACCTGCTTGGCTGCTAAGCTGTCGACTGGGCGGAATAGACAAATTCGGCTCAAATGGTAGGGCGCTCGCATTTAATTGGTTCCCCTGTCAAGATCAGAGACAATGTCAGTGTAAATTAGATAGCAACGCACAACAAGAAACCTCTAAATTTAAAAAAACTGCTACAAATGGCTGAGACATGGAAAGAAAAAGACCTATGTTTTGCAAATGGATTACTATTGTTAGAATTTGAGACGAGCTTACAGTTATTTTTAGGCAAGGGCCTGCTGTCATGTAGCCATTGTCAGCCAATTTGTAACAGATTTAAGTTATTTTGCTCCGTTATAGGTATCTCATGACGCTAGTACAGGTCATGTAGTTCCAAATTATATAGCTATTAAGACGTCATCACTCTGACATTCCCTTACTGTTATAATAGCAGTGGGACGAGGCTAATGCAATGTGGAAAGGAACTTAAGGATGGCCCGGAACAGCGTAAGCATTATAAACGCTTTTCTCCGATATTCTTCTGAATATCAAATGCCAGAATTGTCTTTAAAACGAAATATCTAAATGAATACGGATGGGTGGATCGAAAATTCAACTAGCTTTTGTTTGAGCTTGACAATCATTGTTAAGTGGGCAGGCGTTCAACCAATGGTTGTGTGAAAGCTCCAAACGAACACTTTCGATCATTATTCTTATAATTATCACTCTGAGAAGGTAAAATAAAGTTTTAATTTGAGAACTGAGTCCCGGGCAACTCTGAGATAAACACTGATAACCAAAACCAGCTGAAAAAGAGAACAAGAAGGCTCAAAGTTTCAAACCTATCATGAAAAAATAGACAAAGGTTTCGGGGGTAAAAGAAGAAGTAATCAAAAATCAAAAAAGCATATCATACGGCGCTGCCAGCTTGGAGGTTTGGAAGCTTGAACCCTGATTGCCGAGCTGACTGAAGCATTTTCTGTTTCGCCTCTTGTTGTTCTTTTACTTTGTCAGCAGAAGGAAACTGCATGTCTATCCCTGGGATACCTTCAAAAAAGAGGTTTCTTTCAGAATATTAAACAAGATTATGTCGGTCACGAAAATTTTATATGGAGAGGTATGGAAGGCCAGGCCATAAACATTTAAATCCTTCAAGGGTTTAAAGGCAACAGACAGATATCAAAGTGACTTAAGCAATCTGTCAATCAATATTATCCAATCAATACGCGTGTGCGTGGTATCACGCCCACTGAAAATGTATCTCTTTTATTAGTAATATATTTCGCTTAAAAACAGTGTTTTGAAAAAATCAGCTATGAAAGTCGTTTCAAGTTTATCGCTTGGTCATCTAAAATGCATGGTAGAAAAATAAATAAAATGTAGTCAAAATGTTCCCTGAGCTGTGGGAAAAAAGACATTCTATATTTAAAGACGAACTTTTGAAAATTTCCCTTTTGCCAACATTGATTTCCCCATTGAGGACCAAGGGATTACATTACATAATATCATACAAACGATTATGCATAGACATGAAAGGATTATTGGAAAGCAAAGATAGACAATTACAAAATAGTATAAGTGGGTGGGATAAATGTGAAATTTTATGGTGGGGGGAGATTTTAAGGGTAGGATTTAAACAAAACAAAACAACACTTGACTGGTTGTAAAGAAGACAAATGTAATTATATTTAATTTACCAACAATTAAAGGGCAAGAGAGGGAAGGGATAATGCCAAGCAAATATAAAATGAAAATACGGCTATGGAAGAATGACACACAGCCACATGGAAGTTGATTAATCGAAAATCATTTATGTCAATAAAAAGGGAAGGTTCCACTTTCATTCTTTTTTATCACAATATCTATTAGCAGACGGTCATTTTAAGGCGAATTTCAGCTAAGTCTCCCATTAAAAGCAAAATTTCGCCGCATAAGTTAAACTATAGCTTTTTCATAAAACAAAACAAAATCGCCTGATTCCGTTAAAGATTTTCATATTCTTAAACAACAAGGGCGTAATAAAAAGTTCTGAAAAACACATACTGCAATAATATAGATTATCTATTGTATTTGTCTACAAAATCATGTATTTATCAATTGTATTTGTCTACACCGATATGGACACCAAAATTCAACGATAATAACAGGCCCATGCTACAGCAAGGCCTATGAAGTCAAGTGACTGATATTACCTTCTGCCTTTGCTACCGGTATAGCTAAACTGGATCCCGCAGCTCCCATTGCGAGGCCAGGAACTGACTCTTCTACAGCACTTGAGTTCAAATCAGATACGTTTAGATCAGAAGTTTCATTGGCAGTTGGTATGTCGTATTCTAAAGGAAACAATATAAATAATGGATCAACACAAAATAAAATGAGTATAAAAACGTATGAAAGGATAGAAATAACAAAAAACAAAAAGATTACTTTACTTGAGTTATCTGAAAAGCTTTATTTAGCCCCCTTTACTTTAAGCCCCTTCTATTTTAAGCCCCCTCTATTTCCAGCCCCCTCAATTTTAAGCCCCCTCTTTCTCGAGCCCCCTTAATTTTAATCCACCTCCCTTTTTCTCCCTCTCTGTTAAATGGCCTCTGCCATTACTTGTACAGAAAAACTTGCGATGTACTTTGCGACAGATTGGAGTTACATTCTAAACATTTTTGCAACGCAGTTCCATGCTAACAAAATCCTAGTTTTAAAGGTAAAACAACTTCGAATTAAATCTCACTACTTACCATAATCATCATCCCCAAGTGGATTCGTATTCAAATTGTATTTATCTTTCATTTTGTCTCCAGGCCGATTTCTTGTCCAAAATTTACTGAAGAAGATAAAAGGCACACATTAAGGGTATTTAAAGTATAGCCCACGGGGTATATTATTTCATTTAAAACCTTATACACGTTAACCGCTGTGGTACTGGTAACATTTGTGCAAGCAATTCTTTCTTTAAATGCATACCTTGACATAGACTGTGTTACAACGACAGTGTGGCACTTTTCTCTTGCCTGTGATGTCTCCAAGCGACTAATAATCACCATTCTTAAAAATACGTTTTCTAACTCTTTTCTTTGCTCGTCATATAGCAGTAGCCTTTACAGAGAGGCAGGCACAAAAAACTCAAAAATGTGTACCGTAAATCCTCGAAGAAGCGCCCCTCTCAAATGAGCGCCCCTAAACAGTTTAAAATTTAATGAGGTCCCCGGGCGGTAATAAGTGGATTAGTAGTAGTTTTGTGACAAATTCAATGCAAAAAATGTGCCCGGCTTAGCAATAAAACGCGTATGGGGTGGGGGGGGGGCTTGGGTAGCTTGTGACTACAAACGCGATGATACTGAAAAACCAGCAAAGTTATTGAGAAATTAGTTAGTGCAGCAGCCAACCTTGACTCTGTGATGGTCATGGTGACAATCGTGGAAAGCATGATATTACACGGCTTATTTATCGTCATAGACCTACGCGTCAACAAGTCAATTGATGAAGCTCAATAAATCATAATTCCGGCTTAAGGATAAACATCTACCCTGCACAGTATTAATAAGTAAAATTGCATCGAAAAAAGGAAATACCAAGTGTGGTCATTCGAGCCAGAAGCCAAGATGTGACCAAGAGGGTGCCATCTGACTGACCAGATCATAGCATCGTGTGCGTGGTCCATAGATCCGACCTCTTTAATAGAACTGCAAAGAGTAAGCGTATGTTAAACAAGTGACAAAAATAGTAAGAGTAATTTTACCGTGATAGCAACATGAAAAAGCTATCTATCATCGTCTCTGATTTAAGTCACTCTGCCTTAAGCCAAACTGCTGGTTACAGCAACTTTAAACCTGTACCTGAACTCAACATACAGTCACACTCCTTCTTTAGTGACTCTCCTCTTGTTGTGAAACTATCCTCTCAGTGACATCCCTATTCTCACCTTAAAGTGACACTGCCCTTAAAGGTGTCATTCCCCTTAAAGTGACATTCCCCTTAAAGTGACATTCCCCTTAAAGTGATAGTACCGTTTAAGTGATGCTCGCCTTGCCCCCACTTTCCTCTTACAGTGATACTCTCCTTACAATGACATTCCCTCAGCAGTGACACTTCCCTCATAGTCACACTAAACCGCTACAGTTGCAGCTCCTATAAGCGACGTACGGAGTGGCAATAACCGAAGCCCACAGTACAACTTTCTTCACAAATGTATGCTGAGAACAGGAAAGAAAAAAGTACCTGTGTTCAATAATAGGAAATAGGGCAACCGGAGAATAGAACAAGGCTTGAACAATTGACTTTGTAGAAGATCAACGCGAAGTTTCAATGCCGAGAGACTATTGACCATTATCTAAATGCCATAGTTGTTTAGATTTTTTCAGTCATCTTTGCATCCAGCAAAACAGACAATACTATTATATGTTTGTAACACTTATAGACCTTAAATAAGCAACCAGAAGAAGTATACTTAAAAGACTGTACGATGGCTTAGTAACAAAATAGTTGATGGGTAAAAATAGAGAAGGCCTGCTTGCTGGATGTATATTTTGCCACATGCAGAATAAGGCAACGTACAGTCTGAGAAAGCATCACCAAATTTTTAATTCTATTGCCTTAAATAAAGTTGATAGGTGATGACGTCATAAGAATTTATTTTAAGGTTTTTGAACTTGAGCCATATAATATGAAAGAAGACGAAATAGCAATACATGTGAACAGTTGACTTTATTTAAAGGTGGCTGAGATAAGGCCAAATGACAGCAGGCACTTTGCGCAAGAAGTCTGCAATTTGGTTTCGGTTCTTCAATTTATGAACAAAGCTTAGACGATATTTGTCCTTTAATTAATATCAGGTTTTTAGTAAGGCATATCCCAGTCATTTGTTAAAGAGAAGTTTCAATGGCCTTCTTTTAAATTATATGGTTTAAACCCCAAACTCTAAAAAATTTATCATGAAGTCATCAATTTTCGGCTTTTAGCAACAAGGAACAATAATTTTACCAAATGGCATAATGAACTTACGAGACAAAAAAGTGTGGATTGTAGACATTGCGAGATAAGCTCGGGGGAGCAAACACAATCATAAGTATTTTATGTGTAATCTTTAGACTTTCGTTTACTATTTAAGAAAACGGAAAACGTTGCAAGAAGCCTAGGTTATTCGCAGATGTGAATGCAGATTAGCGTGGGAATGCCCTGTTTTTGAACTCATTATATTTGAAACGCAGTGGGAAAACGACTTATCTTTTTCCATCTTTAATTTTTGGGCCTTTAGCCGAGAATGAGAGGAGAAAAAAACAAACTAGGTTGGAGAATATCTCCAAAATCTTCTCTGCCCAAGCGATTTGATCTGTTTAATCTCGGGAGCTCTATCGTCGCAATTCGTGTCATCATTAAGCATGGAGTCGATGACATAGTTCAAAAATTACAAATTCGTAAGGAAAATCTTTACAGTCGAAAATATTTTAGAGATTCTTTCTTTAATTTGCTAGCTTTTCATGTAAGCTTTGGGTTTACAGTAAACTTCTACAAGAAAATATTACATTACCTAAAACCATTAAAAATGTAGGATAGTTGTTATATCTGCCAAACATGTTAATACAAGAACTGAAGGTCATAAAGGCTTCTAAACCAAAAACTGCATGTGGGATTATATTTTAGTACCAGTTCTCATTTGAAGTTCTCAGAACGTTTTATGTAATAAATTTACTTGAATCATTATGTTAACGTTCCGATGATGTTTGGCTCCAAGCTACGCTTTTTTCATGTTATTTTAATCTTCAGTTTTGTTTAGCCTTTCTTTCAAACAGCTGCATTTTACACGGCTTTCTTTTAAACTAATCAAATTAACAGTGTTCAAATATCTAGATATCACAATTTGCTTATTATGCTTTTCGATCCAAGAGATCTTGATATTCGCAAGGTTTTCTTCGAAACATCCTGAGTATATGGCAAAAAAGCTACTCTATTTTGATCGGTCGAGCTTAACTGATAAACCTGTAGCTTTATTTGGACCAATTAGATTTACTGCCAAATTCCTGGTTAATTGTTAACATTAAAGATTTTCATAATTGCCACAGGCGTGTATTTACACCCTAAAGAGCAGTTTAAGTGGACTGTCTTTTAAGTACTGCATATGTTCCAATAAAATAATAAGATTGCAGACGGACGGATAATATTTCGTCGCATTGTATCAAAAATGCTATAAAATAATGCAAAGAGGAGGAACAACTTTCTCACCCCATGTTCCAGAACATAATTGCGCCATCAGAGCCACCACTAGCAAACAGCGATTCATGCACTGGGTGCCAGTCAACAGCTGAAAGAATTTAAAGGGAGCATTTCGGGATAAGAGAGGATAAATAAGTCGCATTCGGGATAAGAAACGATAAACAAGTCATATTCGGGATAAGAGACGATTAAAAAGTCATTTGGGATATGAGACGATTAACAAGTACATGTATAGCAATTGTTAAACACAATTGAATGGTTCTTTATAGCAATAGTTCTTTATAGCAATAGTCATCGCGAAGACAAATTACGGCTCAGTTGTGACAATGAGCGACAGCTGTCAATTAGAACAGCATCATCAAACATTTAGAAAAAATCGGCAAAGATGATTAATTTGCAAATGAACATGGAAGATCATGCCAAGCATTGATAAGGTCCTTCGCCAGCATTGAACTAGTGTCTAATGTTGTACCAAGTACGTGTAAGGAAATTAATACTTTTGCTTTAGTCTTTCAATATGCTCATCAGCCTGTACACCATGCTGTATCACCTGAATATAGTACATGCGTGATTCTGACCCAACATCACTGTAGTTCAATTTTCTAATATCTAGATATCTTGACTTTAAATCTTATAATATCTAGGTGCACCCATAAGATAGAAGAGAGAGGGGAAGTTTAAGAGAAAACGTACGTTCATCGTTCACTCTTTAAATACTTTAGCGATGTAGGGGAAAGTCCGGTCAGAAACTCAGGGTTTTTAGGCATACAAATATCTTGAATGCCCAGTCCATAAGAGTCACTTACCAGTGGCTTCTTTCTTGTGGCCTCTGAATGTCTGAATTTCTTTCATGGCTCTTATGTCAAAGACTTTTATCAAATGATCACGTGATGCAGTGAGCAGCCAGTCACCATTTCTGTTCCACTGTAGGTCCATCACTGTACTTTTATGCATATGTCTAAAGGAAAAGGCGAAGGTTAATCTACTGAGGGCCGAGTGTTTTGACATGAGCGTCAAAATTTTACAGATTCTAGTGCTTAGACCACATAGATCTTTTTACAAAATATGGATGTGAAAATGCATTGAAATGTTTGACGTAAAAAGCTATATGCAGAGGTCGAGGCAGTAAAAGTGAAGAAACCAAAGCCCTTTTACAGAGAAAATAAAGAAGCAAAGTCAATTATTTAGAGAGGCTATGATATTGAGAAGCTTGACATGAGGAACAAATATCTTGTTTCCAATTATGTATGAAATTATGAAGCAGGGGAAAGTACTTTTACAGTGCACGTGAAGTGATTGGCATTGAGAAAACAACAAGGCAATAGAAACCGTCACAGTGTGTTTACACTAGGCCCTTGAAGTAATGATCTAATGAAATCTGGCCTTCGTTACATAACTCTAAGGTAAACAAAAAACTTACATTGTACAAAGACTGCTTCCTGACTTGGGATCCCATAGCTTCAGTGGCTGCTGGCTGTCTTTGCTGCCAGAGACAAGTAGTCCTTTTGACGGGTGCCAATCAAGGCATTTAACATCAGCTCCATGGCCTTGAAGGTATAAAAACAACATTCCATAATATAATATTATAAATTAATATAATATAATATTTGGTTGCGTTTGAATATATGTAAAAATATTAGCTACGTTTGCTAAATCTTTCAGAGCCCTAGAAACAAAATAGAGTCTCGTGCTTATGTATCTGAATTTGACAGCTTTTTGCTGTGAATGAGGAATGAGCGTGTTCCATTAAGACAAACTACCTCAGCTTAACGTTCAGGATACACCTTACAGATTCAATTGACGAGAAACAGAGTGTCTAAATTTTCAAATGACATTACCAACCACCTTCACGAAAATCAGTGATTCGAACTCAGGAGATCTAAATGTGTAGTTTTTTATTCTGACCATAACAGAGAAAACTACATTTTCAAAATACATTTTCAATAATTAGAAACAATCTCTTCGCAGTCATAGCAAAAGACGTGTTTCGTTTGAGTTTTAAAAAAAGGAGTCGCGACGCTGCTACACGCTATAGGTTTAGTGACAAAGAAAATTGCATGTGTTCTGGCGCTAGCCATCGAAAAATGGGGAGTCTAGAAGAACAAAAAATAGTATTTTTGCAATTTTTTGCCTATTTTGAAATAAAATCACGCATTTCAACGTAAGAGGATGTAGGGAACTGCAAGTTGCCTGTTACAACAACGCTTCTTCACACAGTAAATATTTTATTATCTGTCCCCTTAACACCCCTTCCCCCCTTCATATTTTTCGTCGGATTCATGCAAATTAGAAAATCGGCCTTCGCCAATATAGACACGTCCTCCCCAGTCCTCCCCATGGCGCTGCCTGTAAGTAAGACTGAATCGTATAGAAATAGTTTCTTCGCAAGAACAATCAGAAATTCCTTCCAGTTACATTTAAAAAATTACTAATTAGATTAAGCATTTTAGAGACTGTTGTAATTAGATGACTTTTAAATTATTTATTACTTTTGGGTCAGTGACCCCTTTGCAGTGATACCAAATGGTTTTGCAAAGTTTTTATATAAATGTAGAAATGAAAAGTAGTGTGTTCATATATATTGCTGCTGCATGCCAGAACACCAAAACTGTTCAAATCATATTCTAACATAAACTCAGCAGTTATGTGATTTGATTGGTTAATTGGTTGAGTCGTACACTTCTTTGTAGTATACCACTTGTATGGGGAAACTGACTATAAGAATTGTGGTCTTACTATACCAGCATAAGAATTTAGCTAAAGCGCTTGGCTGTTACTCAGATGAAAGGATCCTACCCCTCAAGACGCGCTCTTCTTGGCATCTGTAGAAATCCCAGATCTTGACAGTACCATCATCACTACACGTTGCAAATTTGTTGTCAGTTGGTGAGAATCTAGTAAAAAGAAAGTAAAACACTATGAAGAATCCGATATCAAGTCTCAACAGGTTGCGAATTTCATCTAAAGAATTTGAAAGCTCCTTCGAGTTAAAGTACGTTTTACTGCAAAGGTTGGTCAATAAGGGATGCTGCTGATATTCTATAACATTAAACCAGAAATTGCTTCACAGTGCACAAGCTAATCTTCCAACAGAATCACGGGAAAGATCTCAATAATCATCCTTGATGGGAAGGGGGTGCCCAGAACCCAGTGCTTTTCCTAATTTCAATCGGTTGACATCGCCTCTTCTACTGGACGGCAAAAACGGGAGCAGAGTAGTTACCAAGTAAATCAAATCACAAAATAATAACAGGTGTTCGCCATGTTCCAGTAAATGACTTAGACTAACATAACTAGTAAACAAAATTACATTGCTTAAAAGGCACTGTGTCCCGTCAGTCAACCGTTCGTGTTAACAATCAGCTCTGCGGCGCATTTGTAATTGAGAAATTGCTGAGTATCATTCCTCGTTGCTGATTGGAAAACATAACAATAGCCTATTGTATAATTCAACAAATGGGAGTATAGGTGACCGCCGACATTCGTCAAGATAATGTGCCTTCAAGCTAAATATGAGATCCCAATTGGTGTATACATACCCAACTCCTCTGACAGGTTCTGTGTGTGCTGGTAGAGTCTTAACATTATTCATATTACTTTGCCAATATTTAACATATCCAGAATGATCAGCAGAAAGCAACCACGTGTCGTTATGACTCCATTCCATTGTCCTAACAGCAGAATCATGAGCCTGAAAACGAATCACAAATTACATACAAAACTATCCCTTCTCATCTCACATCACTTTGCTATCACTTAAAGCTGTATAAACTATTCCAGCACTTTCTTAAAAGAATCACAAGAGTGAAATATTGTTAAAAATAGCATTATTATTTAGGGCTTCTAGTTTACAAAGTTGATTAGCTATAAATGAATCATGTACTTAGTGGATGTGCTCTACTCCTCCAGCTGATTTATTTCTAAACAATTTTTGGACCCCCTGGTACATATCATGGATCCGCAGTTTATCGATTCTTCATATTTTTGCATGCCAAAAGGCATGGCGTGATGAACTGATATCAATCAATGTTTGGAACGGTTTAAAAGTAAAAAATCCTTCTAAATGATCAATTGGAAATATTTTGTGTCAAAATTTTTAGTTACGAAACAAACCCATTTTATCATGAACCCTATTAATTATGGATCCAAGAGAAATTTTCTAGGGATTTTTCATAATCAAAGAAAAAGATTTACGAAAATGGATCAAACCTTATAAAAGCTTTTTCCAGACACTGACTACAAATTTTTGCAAAAAGTTGCATTATGAATTAAATGTAAACCAAGTGCTAAAACTAAGAACAGTCCTGTTCTATATGCGATGGCGTTTTTTATGTGAAGAGGACGTAAACATGCCAACACAGCGTTGCAGCGAGACTCGCGTTGAAGCGTTGAGCGCTGGCATCCCCGAAATTTTTAAGAATTCTAATTAAGAAGAATAATGAAGAATCTTCTTTGCAAAGAGCCACCCCCATCTTTTAAGTTAAAGAGCATATGTATCGATTCCAATCATTATCACGCATGCTGTTTGGCTGTAAGAGATGGACGGGGGTTGTTGCTTACTTATCAGAAGAAGTTTGCTGGTTTTGCAAGTCAAAAAGAAAAGTAACACGAGCATGATTGTAACCTGTAGAACGGTTTCGAAATTGAAAGTCAGTCCTCCCCAAAGAGTGAATTCTCCGCTACTTGATCCTGTTATCAATCGTCTTCCCTCTGGCGTCCACTACGAAACAGATAGTGTTTTATTAGGTAAATAATTATCGAAAAGGTAAATAATTATATTATAAACAACGAAAATATTTATGGTTGTATCGCAACGCTTTTCTTTATGCATGGACTCTAAAACAAATCCTTGCTACAATCCTTGCTAATATTGCTAGGACAATTAACAAAGCATTGAGAACGTTTACAATATTGCCAAATTTCCACATTGTGACTGAAGGTAAAATTTTTTTCAATTAAAGCTTTATATACCTATACAGAGTTATTAACGAAAATTTCAATATTGACATTGAAAGAAAATAGCTTAAGACTTGCTTTGTCTGGTTTTACCCCGTTAAGTCAAGGTGTTCCAGCTATTATTTGACAAGGGTTATTTTCTATAGACGCTACATTGAAATCAAAATGTGTTTGGAGATCATTTATGAATTTCATAACAGCGTCCCTTTGCTTGTAATTCCCACAAAAGCTTGAAAAAACTTACTGAAAGACTGAAAACTGGACATCTGATTTTGTTGGTTGCCGTCCTCACAAATCTTGTTGTAACAGCATTCACTGGATTTTCAATAATACTTTTCGGACTTGCCAGCTAAAAAAAATACGCATATATCTTAGTAAGTCCCTGCTTTTAAGAAACAGGCATATACGCTCTTGGTTTAATAAGAACACTATAAAAATTTTCCAGCCTCGATATTATTAAGAATTTTTCGTTTTGAGCCTTGATATATTCTTACAGTTTTTTCAAACCTGGTAAGAGACTAGGGGAACATCGTCCGCTCTTGAACAAAAACCGCGTTTATTGAAAAAAGTCAATTCTACGATTTCCTGCCATGAATATCCCAAAACAGGCAACTGCTGAAAAATGAGGTCCTGATATGCAAGCTAAGGCTGAGCAATATTCTTAGTATTCTTAAAAATTTGATGATTCTGAGCCTGAATAATCTTACAGACAATTTCCTTATAAAAAAACGAGTGTATGTAATGTCGGCATGCCAACATACAGAATATTTTCTCCATTACTTGAAAGAAACCTGATTTTTTCAAATTTCGTATAAATGATGCGAATTTGAAACCAATAGGAAAAACTGAAACGGTTAAAACTGAACACAGTTTAAAGTCTTAAAAGGAACTAGTTACAAATATCCTTTAATTCAAAGATGCTATTTAGACAAGAAAGAATTATGTGAAAAGAAAATGTCTGAATTGACATTTAAAACAGCGTTGGCAAATACTTTCTTGCAGACAAGAATCTAGACGTCTGGTTTCGACAATTCGGGTTTTTTGTGTGAGTACAAAAATATTGAGTTCTTAAAAATACTAATGGAGCTTCATAATTTTGTTATCAAACAATATCAAATCAGTAATAATACCAAATCATATTTTTTGTGTTAAAGGCGCAGCTGAATTTAGCCTCAAAATAAATAAATATATCTCAAAGAGGAAGCATTCATTTTTTATTTCGATAGACAATATTGATGCTGAAAGTCGGATAAAGTTCTAAGTTCTGTCTTCCCATTTGAGGTGAGGCGTTTGATTGAGGTGAATGTAAGAAATCCGCTGCCACTGCAAGAACTAACTTTGACATTCGGCAGAAGACCGGATTCGCCAAAACACTTCAAATATTCACGCTATAGAACAGAACTAATGACTTTGTTAGTTGCTATGATAGGCCCGATATCAGCAATTATTTACTACAGAACCTAATCTGCCAAATGGCACTGATAATGGATTCTCAATTTCACAATCTTTTTGCTGGCTACAAAAATGAAAAATGAGATGTTGATGAAGTAAAGAAGGACAAATACTAATAAAATTGATTGTGGTAGCATTTCAAATCACAAACTTTTGAGAGAGGTGGTAGGTTTATCTAAGAAATTGTCTAGCAAAGCTCATTAAACAATTTGTATAGGAGTTAATCATGTAGTTTAACTGCTGACAGTAGTTATGATTGGGCAGGTGTCACAGGGCTTATAAACACTATCACAAATTAAATGTTGTCATATCTTCCAATGTCTTACTTGTCAACTTACTAACCGATGTTGAGAACAATGCTGATCAAAAAATGAAATCAAACCTGGGCTTTATTATACAACAAAATGTTTTGTAAAACAAAGTGATCAAATTAATAGGGAGATAATTCTTAAAACGTTGCCCAGGTTTTCTAGGTCATATGAAGAAAATGAAGTGGTTTATTTGACATACACCTGGATGTGTACAGGATAATAATCGCTTGTGTGTAGTTACTGCAAGCAATTTAAAAGCTAAATTGACATCCATGAATGAAGTTTCTGTACAACCTAAAACCCAGGCTATGAAGCCCAGGCCAGGCTAAATAGGGGTTTACAAAAACAAAATTTTTTTACTGTTTTGATGCAGTCTAATCTAGGACTTGCAGTGTTTTTGCAGTGACAATGTGCTTCCTTGTTTTTAATGACCATGGGATACAAAAGCAACAAAAAACAATGAGATGAGAATGATTGATATTATTCAATTTCAAGTTTTTCCACTTAAACAGAACAAACTTTGTTGCAGTCTGAAAAATAAACTCTCAGTGTTGTTTTGTGAGCCATTTTTGCAAAAGGTGAGTGACAATGTAAGGCAGTGAGACAACGTTTATATTTGTTTTGTTTAACCACAGATTTGTAGGAGTGTTTACTCCTTTACATGCAATGTAGCCGTTATGACACGCAATGCTTTTCCCAGCAGACCATAGCTTATGCAATAAAAATATGGCTGATGTTTGAAAGGCACTGACAATGGTTTATGCCTGCAGTTGCCACATCAAAGTAACTTTAACTTTACAGAGGCATATAATCTACTTCACATCCAATGGCGGACACTTGGGGGGGCGAGGGGGGCAACCACCCCCCAATACTTTAGAGGACAATGGTCTTTTGTTCTAAAACAATGGTAAATGTGACATCATCTTATTAAAACAATAGGCTTGCCCCCCCCCCAATATTTGATCAAGTGTCTGCCCCTGTTCACATCTTGTTGTTATTCAACAACCCACTAATGTGGGTTATTGCATGCTTTCACTAAAGGTTTGACTGTGCATTGTAGACAAAATTTTATACAATTTTTCTTTTTAATGGAGATTAATGTTATATATAAAAAAAGCTTGAAATAGCTTGAAAAATATGTTATATATAAATAGCTTGATGCATTGAGTTAAATCATTTCAGGACTAAAGATGTGTGAGGGCTATGTGATACACACTATAAACTTATGGTTAAAGTGGATCATATAACAATAGATGGTTATGATAAAGGACATGGAAACGAAATAAAGGAAATCAAATATTTTATCTGAAATGAATCATTTGTGGTATCTAAAATACGGTTTTCTGCATTAGGTGAATACTTACATCAACATAATATTGGACATCTGGCTGAATAGAGGGTACAGATGAAGATGTCTTCCTCCAGACACGATTCTACAAAAAAAACAAGGCTTTTGAAAAATTTACAGTCTTTATTTATAGTAATTAACAAAAAAATAAATAACGCAATTTAAAAAAGGAGCTGAATCCTAACACATTATATTACACATGGCAAAAATTTAGCAAATATTCTATCTTAAAGCTTATCCACTTGTCAACTACTTTTAAACATTGCAAACAAATAGAAAATTGTCCTGCCATGCACATGTTTGATCTGACCTGACCCCTAGCATAAGGGTGATATTTGGTTGTTTGATAGAACCAGAGAAAATATCAAATCTTTATGTCTTATATTTAATAAGACCACCTCAGAGACAGAACAAAACATAAAGTAATTCAAAATACATAATTAAAATAAAAAAATATCAGAGACTCAGGGACACAATTTTACTTTACTTTGCATCATTGATGTTCAAAAAGGAAGTTTCCTGATGAACACAAACAAGGGTAACATGTTCAAATGTTGCTCTTTTACCCTTTCAAATTAAGTATGTTCAATGCAATTGACATATATAAAAGTGGCTTAAGCCATATGTTCAATCAATATTAACCAATTCATGAACATGTGAGTGGAAACACCTTCACTGATTTGTCAGTTTTTTTATTGCAAGAGAGCTTATGTCCCTTTAGTATCTGCTAATGGCCTTTGACTGCATTTTTTCAATTCCATAATGAAAGACCTTTCCAGAAATATTTGAGAAGTGTCTCTGAGTCCAATGTTTAAGTTTCATGTCTATTTTGTCTTATGCTGTAGAACATGACAAATATTGGAACAATTGTTGAGTTGAGAGCAGAGGAAGTTATAGAGAGTATTAAACAATATGACCAAAGTAGAGTGAGGATGACCTCAAAATTACAGAGCACAGTAAATAGAACTTGTTATTCATTTTGTTCATTGGCAGAAATTACTGGAAAGAAAATTTCCTATTTCTGTTTTTAAACTTTCTTAAGTGCTCTTGTCCTTGTTATTTTTCCAAAATTGTTTGGTCTTTTATAAATGTGTCCAGAGCATTGTCCAGAGTGACAAATTTTAAATTTTGTAAAAATTGTCAGCCTTCTTATGGCTAGGTCTGTCCATTGGTTTTAGATTGCCTGAAAAGGCCTTGCCTTTTTGCTAATGAAAATTTGCAATGCAATCTAAGACTTAATTTTTGATTCAAATGAAAACCTCTGTCTAAATCTGATGGGGACTTCAAAATGCTCAGTTGAACTCAGTTTTTACAATGAAATGTACCAACACAGATATGGTATTGCTATGAGTGGGCCTTTAAAACCAGCTTTGGTATAACCATGAGTGGTTATCATGTTTGTTTGATTGTTTGACTGAGACCAAATGCCAGGTATCCATTTATCCATTTTCAGCCTGTGGATGACATAACATTAACCTATTCTCAACATAAGGCTAGCCATGATATTTTTATAATATTTTCATACACTTCACCAAGCCCTAGAGTTTTTATTTGAAAAGATGTCATTTTTTCCTACACTAGGAAAAGATCACAAGTTTTTTAGCTAGTCAAAAGTTTGGTCCACAAAAGTTTCCAGTTGATCTTAATCACACTTCCATGATTTTCCAACATTTCCTTGCAATTTGATACAATATAATCCGGTTATAACGTACTTTAAGGAACCAGTGTATTAAGTATGTTATATCCAAAGTACTTTGTAACGACGGTAAGTAAAAATTGACTAAAACCAAGCACACCTTTTGCCGGGACCAAGCACACCAGTACGTTATATCCGAAAGTACGTAATAACCGAGTACGTTATAACGAGATTCTACTGTAGTCAGATTTAACAGGTCATTGCTAACCTCTCAGCATTAAAATTGTTCTTTGCTGTCACTCCTGTTATTGCTTACAGTACTAGGAAAGCCCTTCCATCCATTCAAAAGGATTGCATTCCTACCACCCAAAAGGGTTCCATTATTAGTAAATTTAAGTGCCAATGATTATGGCCATGCTTCTAAACAGACTGCTATGAAAAAACCAAGATGTAAAAATTAGATTTAAAAGTTTTGAAAGAGATTAGAAATTTGCTGGTATTGAGAAAAAAGAATACCTTGACTTGTTGCACAATAGACGCATTATAGTCCACTGTTCTGCGCTGACTCTTTCTCTGTTGCTTTCTTGCATCAAAGTCTAAAGACTGCTGTCCTAGAAAGGGTGCTTGGTGTACAGCTGGCATCTGCTGGGCATTAAGGGGATCCACTATCGTTGGTGGGGGTATAGACATATTCGGTGGAGGCACGTTTACATGCTTAAATTGATTAAATGATGCATACATGTTTGGAACTGGCAGCCTTTGCTGTGCAACCATCATGTTTGCTCCTGGAGGTGCATTTCCGATTGCTTGTGGTCCAAAGAACTTGTATGGCCGGGGTGGTGGCACAGTCTGTGTCATCATTTTGAATTGGGGTATATTTCTGACTCGTTTGTGAGGCTGTATTGGTCTAAAATTTCCCAAATGACATTTTATTACAACAAACAAACTCGAACAAACTCCATGACTGATTGACCAACTATTCCACAAAACTGATATCTTCTCATATGTACAAATATAATACAAACTCTAACGAACTCCTTTCCGGTCTTCGAATATTAGATGTTATAAAGAAGTTTCAAATATTTCGATGTGCTTCTTTTCAGGAATTATTGTTCTTCTTCTTAGGCCGGAGACGAGAAATGCACTTCTTGGTCCTAGCGGTCCATTTACGAAGGGCTATCACACTTCAAGGTTTAAAAAGCTAGAACAATTGTTCATTCAGAGAATAACAGTACCAATCCACTTTGTGTTAGGCAGAAATGCTTTTTCATGTCTGATTATACCTTCCCGCTAAACTTGCAAAGAATATCTTGAAACAGTGTAAGAGACCCAGTTGCATGGCTAGGATACGCATATGTAAGGAGTCACCAAAACATAATGGCAAGGCAAAGTAGATCGAGACCACATCGAGACGAGGCAATGGGCAACTTTTAGTGTGTGGAAATACTTTATAACACGAAAGTAACTAGAAAATAACGAGGTACACCAAATAATACGGAACAAATCAAAGCGATCACAAATTAACGCGAATAGCGAATTTATTTCAAAATGTATGGTTGCTAACGTGAATCAACAAAATTTAAAATATTCAATTAACGGGAAGTCTTAATGTCAGCAAAACATTTACTTCTATTTGAAAAGGGGGAAAACAAAAAAGTGACTGAGCCTAAGAAATTGTCAATTATAGTGGCTAAAGTGAAAGAGCTCGAGCATCCCCTCACCAAAGTTCATTTATGACTCGAAACAATACTAGGGATTGAGCAAGATGAAGATGACGATGGAGATGTGGAATTTCAGGAAGAAACAGTTGACAATGGGGACATTCATAATTATAAAAAGGATTATTTTACTCTGCTTCCTAAAACAAGGAAAAGTTGTTTTATCGTTAATAGAAATTGTGAAAAGAACACTTTCCAGTCCTTCTGCTCTCTATGATCCTCATTTTTCAAATAAATTCACTTATTTCAGGCATAATCGTAAAATCCAGCAATTTTTAGTAGTTTTGATAAATCACTTAAAAAAGTAGAGTGGGATGATATAAACAGACGTTTATTTAACGCTAGAAATTTAATAACAGATGAGAAATTTACGTTGACATAAAGTTAACGGGTTTTAATTAACGCGGAATTTGTCAATTAGCGCTAATTAATGTACCACGTTATTTTCGTGTTATAAGGCATCCTTCAATAAGGTTCCGGTGGGTCATTTGCACCAGAGCAATTTTTCATGATTTTGAGAGCTTCTTCGAGGGTTGGGGGGTTCCAGGGACGACGGAAAGTGCTTCAATATGATGGGCTTTTTACTTACTACGTTTTATATTAACATGTTATTTTTTTACACGATACTCCATCAATTGTTTCAAGCAACAAAACTGATAAATGATACAAAATAAAATTTCTTTGAAAAACGTACTGGTCTTCCATGAAGGTCATTCATTCTCCTAGTTTCATATTTTTAAACTGGAGGTCTCTGAATTTTATGAGCTATCGCTGCTCGGCCAAATTTGATAAATATTTTGCTATGTTTCAAACAATATTTTGTCCTTAATGGGTGAAGAATCGATTAGTGTAATTATTCTGTCCGGTAATTGTTGCCCTGAATTTGGTTCTTAAAGGAGAACTGACACGCAAAAATAAGTTTGGCTAAAACGGTAGTTTGTGACAAGCAAATTCCAGGATCGAAAAAATTTTTTAAATCACAGTTACCGTTTTTGAAATACAGGCGTTTTAAGTTGAGAAATGATAATTGTTCCGACAACTTGAGACTCGAGGCGAAAATCGTCACGAGTGGACGATCATCTTTGACGTCACAAGTGACATGTTCTCAGCACGTATTGTGTTTCTCTATAGAAACCTTTAACAAAATGCTGCGGACAAATGTTTATTTTGTGCATGTGAAAGGAGCTAATTTTGCATTTTTGACACATAATTGACTTTTTCAATAGTTTGGGACTCTGAATCGGAGTTTTATTACACTGATTTCGAAACAAATGGAGAGTTTCAGCCGTCTGAGTTTTTGCTACCAACCAGCGCTGCCGCTTGGGCAGACAGTCGTCCCATGGCTCAACAGTGACGATATTGTAAACAAAGAACAGACTGGAAGTACAAACTGATATGGAATTTCTATTAAAAATAATGCTATTGCTACAATCTAAATGAGATCAGGTATCGTAAAACTAGAATTTTATTTCAGATTGAGGCGTCTTTGGCCAGACTGCTTTGTCTGTATGGCCTAAATTGGCTAAAATGCCCATGATGCCCTAAACGGAACTGCAAGTTATTAATTGTTAATGTAACATTCTATGATTGTTTTTCAATGTTTTAAACGCGTTAACTGTATAGTGATATTGAATAGTAAAGGCGGGTTAAAAGTCGACTTGTGCGGATTTTATGCCATTTTCACCCGGCGTGAAGGGTTTCGGGAACTGATAAGTTACCTGGCAGTCGAAAGATCTGGATTTACGAAATAGGCTCTTAGCTCTTAGTCAAAAACTTGATTTCTTAGTCGAAGAAAATGCTGTTTAGCTGTCATAGGAATATCAACTGGCGCATTATATTCTTTTGCAAGCAATTTTGACTTGGGTGGGGGATGGGCTTTTTGCAAGACTAGGTTATTCCCTAGTATCTCAACCTCTGTTAAAATACAATAATCAAGTTCAGTGAAATTATTATTTAGTCACACTCGCAGCTCCCATCAACCAAGGTTTTTTCTTGAATTCATATTTCTGCACCCAAAGCAGGTTGCAGGATCGCTTTTACCGCTGTCTCCACTAGATTTCGTTTGTCTTTTGGCTACTGCTTCAACCCCCTCCCCACACCCCCCCCCATGTTGCGATTTTTTTGTAATTGTAAAAATAAAAACTTTGAAGAAACGGTATCAGTTTTCAAACAAAGTCGACTCCTTTTTTCACAAGCTTAGAGGTTCTTTCAATGTTTCAAAGCATGCTGGTTCGAAGATATCATGGCATGAAAATAAATTTTATGTGGATATAAGCGTCTTAGCAGACATGTAGCTAGGATTTTCTAGCCTCTATATACTTATAAATGAAATGCCTGACAATTTTTTGTCTTTTCACCGCGGACTTTTTTCAATAAAACACGAAACTTCACTTGTATTTTCACCGTTGCGGTGAAAGCCTTTACAACGGCATTGTTAACATGTCACTTGTGACGTCAACCGAGAATTTTAACAACTCCTGGCGATAATCTTGTTTCCGCTTCGGGAAATTCCCGAGTCCTGGCTGTGACGTATTTGACGGATAAAAGTGCAAATATCAGAAAAACGGCGAATCTAAGAAGAAAACTTTTTCCAGATTTGAAATCAGCGACAAATTTTGCATCGAATAAGCCAAAGTTATTTTTGCGTGTCAGTTCTCCTTTAAACAAAGCGTAACAAAACTTTACTACGGTGAATGTAACGATATGGGTTCTTCTTAAGATGGTGACTTTGCATTATATTTGAACCAATAGGCTCGGCAAATGGGCCTAAACCCCCAAATAGATAGCACACAAGAGATAGAAATAGATAGAAACCCCAAATATTGCGGGGTTTTCAGAAACATGTGATTTTTCATGTCACCGCCCAAGCCATTACGGTCATTCTGTTTATCTATCCTGCTGAGAGGTTAGCTTTTCATTTGAGCAGTTTTGCATCGCAAGAATACTAACCAATCGCAAACCGTTATTTTGATGGGTGGCTTGACAAGTTGGGTATACGCAGTCCTTTTATATGGACACAATACCTTTAACATAATAATAATAGTAACTGAAGATTACAAATCCTTAAACGTTACATGAGGGCTATTGTTGTTACAAATAGAGATACCTAATCTACACGGAAGGAAAACCCTGTTGCAACAGGGTCGTTGTGGCCGGAAGAAGATCATCATAAGAGGGCCCACTCTTTTGTATGACATCTCCAATCATAACCCACAGGTCACCAAAAATGATACGTACCTAGAAACCATTCACCTACAAAAATTACAAAGATGCCAGTTTTTATCATTTTTATAGATTCTTTTGTTATATTTGTTGAGGTATAAACCTATTTCTCTCTATTTGCTATAGAGAGACTCTATTTGCTATAGACCCTTTTCTCTAACCATAAGCTTTTTAAGACTGCAAAAATTTGGAACAAATACAATGCTATTGCACACACTTGATATAGACAGGGAAATAGCTGCAAAAAAACGAACAAATTGCCTAATCTCAATTTTTCTTCGGATTTCTGCATTTCAATGGTGTTAGCATCTGAACCGCGGATGATTTATGGCCCTAGCTACAATTTGTTTCTACTATTGTATCTTTGAAAGTTATATACAAAACCTAACAAAACTAGAAATTATAAAGAATTACAAAACATTAATCATTACAAAACAAGGCTAAGTAACAGCGCTTATATATACTAATTAACTTTTTCGCTTAAAAGCATTAATTTTTAACAATGAATCAAATCAGTTTGGCGGTGGTAGTGTCTGTGGAAGTGGTGGTAGGAGTGGCAGTGAAATTGTCAGTGGAAGTGACGGTGGAAGTGACAATGGAACCATCGGTGTAAGTTGCAGTGAAAATTTTCAGTGGAAATGACGGTGGAAGTGACGGTTGAAGTGACGGTTAAAGTGACGGCGGAAGTGGCGGTAGAAGTGACGGATGACGTGACGGGGGAAGTGACGGTGGAAGTAGTGGCAGCTATAATGGTGGTGTTAGTTGCTTAGATGGTAATAGCTGTGGCGATCTATGACGTGATACAAAGCTGGAAAGGCGTCTTTTGTCATTGGGTTGAATCTCCGTAAAGACATTGATCGTTAAAAATATTTAAGTTGCCCTTGTGTTCATTTTCTACTTTTTGCCACGTTTTCGGGTTTCAAGGAAGACTGCAATTGCGACGTACAAGGAGGAATGCAATTGCGACGTACGCAGATTTAAAAGTACAACTAAAACCTGCGATTCTGCTATCGGCCAGCATTCACTGGAAACCCAGCTTGTGCAAAAAACTATAATGGCGACATGTTTCGGATTATTGGTAAAGCCCGATCGTCGTTCCATCTAGCAGTTTTGGAATCTATCTACATAAGCACAAAAAACCGCCATTGTGTAGACAAAAGGAGTTCGCTTTCATCTTAGGACTCGATTGGCAACATTCTCAATAGGCAAGCAATACTGATTGGTCAACCTCAACAGTCATGTGTGCTCGCGTTTCCGATTGGCCTATTTCGATCCACAACTGGGTATATATAATTCCTAGCGTAGAGTTTTCTATCTATGTTCTGACGTATTAAACTCTGAAGAGTGTCAGACGAAAAGCTTTAGTTTACTCAAATGTTTGCTTTTTTCAAAGCCATCTATGCTTCACCGTTCATAAAGGACATATTCCTTAACTATTTCCCGTTTATTGTATACTTAGCGATCTATTTGTGCGAGAGCTCATCATTACATTATCAAAGCTGTTCAGTGATTGTTAATAACGGCTTTTAAGTTCATGAAAAAACATGCTTTTAGGTACTATTTTTATAAATTCATGATTCACTGTTCATAAAAGGCATGTTTCCTAACAATTTTTCGCTTCTGGTGTACTCAGCATCTGTTGGTGCGAGATCAAATTGCATATTTTTACTAAGCTTCAAGTCCTACTCATAAGATCAAGATAATTAAGATAACTTTTTTCTCTTATTTTCTCTTGATAAGATCCCATCATTATAATATCAAAGCTATTCAGAATTCGGAAATAGTCACAACACATTCTCCATCGCCGAAAGCAAAACACCCCCAATCAATCATCAATCAAAAACTTTATTAATGTGTCAAAAAATATTTAGCTTACAAGCTAATTGGGGACACAACGAAAAAAGTATATAAAGTTAAATTAGAGCATAAAATATGAAATTACAGTATAATTATTAAAACATAAAAATTTCTAAAAATCTATGTACAACTAAACTAAAGTCTGCAGTCTAAAAGAGTTTCTAAGTCCATTCTTCTTATACATTTCTTGAATTGGGTTATTGTTGTCACCTCCTTGATGGCTCTCTTTAATTTGCTCCACAGATATGGGCCAAAGTATCTTACTGAATGTTTTCCTTCTTTTACCGTACGAAATTTCGGAATTACAAAGTTGCTATTTTTTAATTCATAGGGAGTTTCTTTTACTGCAAACAAATCCTTTATAAAGTGTGGGGCTATGCCGTTTTTAACTTTATACATAAGTATGGCAATGTCCTGAAGTCGTCTATTCTGGAGAGATGGCAGGTTTGGAATTATAACCGTCCAGTTCCTAACATTTCGATTCTTCCTCTCGCGTTACTTTCGATCCACATCTTGACACAATTTTCTGCTTACCTTTGATCATAACCCGCCGTTTAAGAGTGTCGGATGCAAAGTACTTAAGAATATGATGATTCCGCTTTTCCGTGCTAACTTTTCGATGTGGGTACATAATAAAAGTTTATAAGAACACACCTTATAAGAACACTGAGGATCAATTTGCCCAAAAAATAAGAACAAGGCGAGAACATGCTTAGCTCAGATGAGAAATTTAAAAAAACAATTTGCATTTTGAAATTTATGTCATTTCAACAGAACAAAACTATGCAACTATTGCTTTTTTTTAAAACTTTACCCAGTAAAAAGTCTTAGAAACTATATGTAGTTTGCAACTTCTCAAATGTTTGCAAAAAATCACTCTTAAAATAAAAACAACTTTAAGAACATTTGAGCCTAAAATTATCAAAAAGTTAAGAACATCGAGGCTCGGCAAAAATTATCTGGTTCTTATAAAAGAGAATGCAGTGTTCCCTTTCAACCACCATTTCTTTCATTTGGTCAATAAACAAACATTTTATCAAACGTTGGAAGATAATCAGCTGAGCTTTGGAACCGTATGTAAAAGTAAAATTAGATCACCAGCCTAAAGCCACGTACTTGTTTTAACATCGCCTTGAGGTGAGACATTCTTGAAGTCTCATCAATAAAAAGGAATTCGGATCGTTTAATAGAAACTGGCTGAATACAGATGTTGTCGATTGACAATTTAAACACTCCGTAATAAACCAAACAGATGCAACCACCATGTTCCGTTTAGGTAAAGGTGTTCTTCTTTTCTTTGTATTTATTGTGTTTTTCTTTAAAGTTGTGTTTTCAACATCTATGACTTAATTTCAATTTTTGTGTCCAAATGGCCCTGGGGTAGTCATAGCTTTATGCTTACCGGGGTATCGTCAAAGTAGTATCCTATAGTTGCATAGTAAATTGTTTTGTAAATCTGTATTGTAATCTTTTATTATGGATATAAGAAATACACGGCTATGAAACAGCATGGGGCTCAACGAAAAAACCCTGTAATACAACACGAAAACAAACAATAAATCAGAGGAACGGTCATCACAATTTACATTTTACTTGGCCTTGTCCCTAGAGTAAGGTGATGATAAAATAGCAATGTTTAGAAATTAACCACGAATACCATAGTTGAAGACCTTTTGTATGTATTAACAACTTAGTAAATGGAGCAAAGGTATTAAAGAGATTTCATTCAAGTCAGTGATTCTATATTTTGATGTAGTGTAAAGATGTTATCGCTACTGTAGAGTGGAAGGATTTCAGGTTTTATTTTTTGTTAGAGGGAAAGGGGCTCAGCCCCACGATTTTCCAATAAGACAACAATCTTGGATAGGCGTGTTTTAAAGATCTCGTTAAGGTACGATTCAGTTTGTTTTTTAGTTCAGTTGCATTAATCATGATCAGTAACAACGGAATCTACAAAATAATGTATTTTGATCGCTCGAAAGCAAATAAGCGCTGCTTTGTTGAGTGATTTATCGATTAGATTGATAGGGAATAGTGATTATGTGTTTTGTTGACATTTGATTGGTCTGTTTGTGTACTTGATTGACAATCCGCCTTTCCTGGGCGGCAGCCATTTTGAAGTGCGGGTCCTTGGGGTGGAAATTGAGCCGGAGCAGTGAAGAAATAGATTGGCTCTACCCACGCAGATTTTTACCTTCTGCGAAGAAAATAAAATTTTGCAATTGTTCGATAATTGGAGTACAAGATGGTAAGGAAAATTATGACATTAACCTCATTAGTAATGTAATTTTATTCTTAATTCTGAGCGGAAGCAGATTTGCCAAAACCCTTGTAAAAGGGCTAGGCCGTAGAAATCTTGCCGTTTCACTCTGTTTTGGAGACAAAACTAAGGTTCTAGCATCAAAGCAACTTACTGTACAATTTCTGAAGAACAGGTTCAACTTTTGTAGTACGATTTCGACGGCTCGCTTCAACTTACAAAATTTGACGAAACCAGAACGTATTATTTATAAACTTAGAGCTGTTGGAGTTTGGTTACATGCGCATTTTCCGATGAAATATTGACGATAAAATTTATAGAGAAGTTATAAGTTTATCTGCTGTAGCCTTTCCACTATCTTTAATCTACATAATTAATCAGCAATATAAACCCACTATACTCTTATATCGTGTATTCTAGGCCCTATGAGTTACTAGAGATGTACCTACAATTTAGGCTCATCACCCTTACCCTTAAGTTTCCATTTTCCAGTTTCCATTAACTTATGTACAATGAGGTTTATTTTATATTGAGTTCATGTGTGATTTCTTTGAAAGGGATGGCTTACTTTTTCATCAAAACAATAAGCAGTTTTATAACTACAATGTTTGAAGAAAGAGTGTAAGCCTATGATAAGAATGATGGCAGAAAAGCTTAATGCAAAACTTCATGTTTGAACAAGCATATTGATAACAGTCTATATGTATCAGTCAGTGCTGTACTTTGACCTTCAGATATGAGGGGTTTTTCAAAATCAAACCTTCAAATGAACTTATAATGAACACAACATTGTTTGTGAAAAAGTTTTTGAGCTACTTGGCTAAAGGCTAAGCAGGGTAATCAATTGAACAGAAGACTTAGAAAGCAGGAGAAATTGAAAGCAGAAGCATTTATAAGCAGAAACATGAAGTATATTTTAAATCAAACTTTAGGAACATTTTAGTTCTAATGATCATCACAGTTTTAATTTCAACTGATGAACAAATGTAACTTGATGCAAATAGAAAACATTTTGAGCAGAGAATGCATTGATTGGTTGCTTTGACCAATTGGCAACCCCCTAACCCATCTCACTATTGAAGGGTTAGTAAGGTTAAATCAAATTGATTCTTATTTAATTTAGACCGCGCGTTAAACATGCCCTGTGATTCTTAAATGTCTCTTTACTCTTCTGCAAATTATGACAGATTCATGCATAAAGATAATATAGCGTTTTACACAAAATTAAAATTTTGAATTTTATATAGTTCTGTTATGGAAAACACATGTTTGTGTGCCACAAAATTTGTCAAGGAGATCTGGAAGTGGACAAGTTAGCTGTAATCACTATACATCTATAAAATCCAAACTGTCATACCCTGAAAACTAGATTGTTGTTTTGCTGCATTGATTTTCATGCAAGTAGTCATTGCAACTTAATGAAATACTCCAGTGTAGACAGAAATTTTGTTATAGCCTCTTTGTGATATCTTTAATAATAATAAATATTTTGAATAAAAGATATTTTTTTAGCAAGGGGGAAATTTTTTGACAAATTTTTCGAAAGTTAAAAAGCTGGCAGTTTTGTCTAAAGATAATTCTAATCAAGGTAATTATTTTCAATTAGGATTTATTTTTTAAAAACCCATCAGTCTCTGATTGTGATCTTGAGTGTGTTTATCAGTGTGACTTTAACTTTAGATTTCAAGTTGCCAACGACTGTGGACAATTTTGTCCAACTGTGTTTGGTATTATAAGCATACCTTCTGTTTTTATTCATGCCTGCAAAAAGTTTACCATAGGCAAATAAACATGACAATACAACAAGGAGTATTGGTACATAACAACCTGGTGACTATTTACAATTAACTTTAAGTCTGTCCCAAAATAGATGCCAGTTCATCTAGTCTGTGGAGTGATGAGTATTGTGTTCCACATTCAGAACTCTATGTTGAAGGTTGTACATAACAAATTGCCATTTTCTAAACCTGTCAGAAAAGTCTTATGTTGTCCTAGCTTAAGTTTCTCCTTTAGATTGGCCTGGTTCTAACCTGTAGGCATTTTATAAACACATAACCTCATGACAATGAACACACTGAATGTCAGTTACTAATTAAGGATTGCTGTAGGAAGCTGGGACCAAGTTTGTTAACTTTTTTTAAAGCCAGTGATAAACCAACTACTTTACATGCTTGTTTGATATATATATATATAGTTATCTAAATAAGAAGTTTTAGGTTATAGTTAGCATAAAGCTTGGTATTAATTAGCAAGGGCCATTGATTAGAGGGAGCATTTATTGAAGGTTCATTTATTAGAAAGGGGTGTTTGTTTCCATTTTATATTTTATGGGAGACATTTATTAGAGGGAGGCATTTATTTAAGATTTGGAGTTTATAAGAGAAAATGCAGTTTATTTTTGGTGTAGAGCTCCTTATCTTATACAGAGTTTTGATCTTTGATAAGGCTTGGAAAAAAATCAACAAAATTGGAAAACAGGCACACCAGCTTACTCCTTGTCACCAATGTACCTGTTGATTGTTTAAAAAACAGCTTTGTGGTGAACCAGTGTATCTGAAAACTATGACTCCCAGACTCTATTTATGCTTTACATTACAACTAAGATAATCAAACCTTGGAGTTAATTTCATCCAAGTGTTGAAGATGCAAATGCAATTAATTTCATCATTGCAGTAAATGATGTTCCAGCTTATGATCATTTTAACAGTTGATGATAAAAATTTCCTAACTCTCTTTCCTTTTAGACTGATCAGCAACTAGACTGTGCTCTTGATCTCATGCGAAGGCTGCCTCCCCAGCAAATCGAAAAGAACCTCAGTGACCTAATTGACTTGGTTTGTTGCTTTTAAATTTAAGCATTTATCACTTTAATAATGTTGTTGTAACAGAGGTACTTAAATTGCTAGATTTTCTTTAGTTGCTGCCCATTCTTAGTAAAAACAGACAGAAATCTTTCTTCCTGGAGTATTTTTCCTCAAATCTGCTAAAAATCACTCTTCCATTTTCAGTTTTGTGATTATGATGTTATTCCAAGGTTTTCAAGAATAAGTCTGTTGTGACTTTGATGCTAAAATGCACTTAATTGCTTTGCGTGTGAATCCCACAAAGAGACAGATTTTTTCCACAAATTCATCCTTTTATTTAGGGGTATGCCATAACTTTTTTATGTAGAACTCTCATATGTAAGCACAATGGCTTTGGTGATTCTTCAGATCTAGTCTCCAATTAGTATCATTGCCAATGAACCCTGCATATGGAGACAGAATTGTCTTAAATTGTTACTTGTTTTGACTTGTTTTCTCAGTGTGTTGTCTTTGATAAGTTACTGTTCATGTTGCATCAAACTACTCATTTTCCTGCATGTGTTGATAGAAACTCTCATTTATGCATTTCTCAGGCCCCAAAACTCTGTGAAGATTTATTGTCCTCCATTGATCAACCATTGAAAATTGCAAGGGACAAAGAAACTGGCAAAGACTATTTGCTTTGTGATTACAACAGAGATGGTGATTCTTATAGGTCACCTTGGAGTAACACATATGATCCACCCCTCGATGATGGGGCAATGCCATCAGAACGACTAAGAAAAATGGAAATTGAAGCAAACCAAGCCTTTGATCAATACAGAATTATGTATGTGTTCCCAATATAATCTCAGTCACTGGAAAAGTTCTGGAATTTATATTTTTACTAGATCTATCTGTCATTCTTTTTGCTTCCTGTTCAGTATTTGATTGTAAATGTGATACTATTGTTTTGAAATTGAATTTTAAGTTGCCAGAACATGGACCCTTGCCAGAACATGGAACATGAATTTTATTGTTGAATTTCCTGCTTCAAATTATGAAGCATATTTACAAAAATGGTTGTGTATCCTTAACAAAGATGGTTGTGTATCCTTAACAATTTTGCTAAATATATACAAATTTGTGTCTTTTCATAGGTACTTTGAGGGAGGTGTTTCATCTGTATATCTTTGGGATTTGGATCATGGCTTTGCTGGTGTTATTCTTGTCAAAAAAGGTATTGCTAAGAGATCTATAAAGATATAGATAGAACTTACTTTGGTAAAAGAATTGCTCAACTTCTTTATCAAATGGGTGTATAATATCTACTTGTTAACCGACAGTTTTCTAGAACAAAATTTTTCTTGGTCTTGCTTTATTGTTCTTTGAACAGGCCCATCACTATCGGTGGGCGTGTGGGGTATGACAAGCCCCTTGCAAAAAAATTTCATTGCAAAAACAAAGATTTCCTTGCCATTCGGAAAGTTTCCAAACTTGTTGGCAAATGGGACTTGGAAACCCAATAGCTAGTGACAGACCTGTCTTTGAATTTCTCTATTTCCTGAGTATTCTTATTTAAAGACGCCATTCTTTGCAGTTATTGTTTTTTCATGTATGATGGTAGTAATCCTTTGTAATTTGCTCTGTGTGTGATGCTCATTTAGGAGATTTTCTATAATGTGCTAAAAACCATACTAGTAGACATCATATTCACTTGTTCAATTGCATGTGTTGATTATATTTTTGTATCTTTTTACAAGTGCAAGGAATGCAAAGGTAAATTTGAAAACAAATAATCACACATTCAACATAAGCACTGCATGTGCAGCAGCACAAGTAAAGTCCATTACAACTGCGAAATCTTGCACATTGTCCAAAATGATCTGCATATGAGTTGGAATGGATATATGTATTAAAAGACAATCAACAGATACTTAAATGGTTTGAGTGATCTGCCAATCAATATTAGCCAATCAATAAGCGCCCAAGTTGTATCAGACCCACTGATTGGCCAATTGTTGATTGGCAATGGCTTAATCATCAACAGTATCTGTTGATTGTTTTTAAGCTAAAACAGTGAGTGATTAACTCTAATGATCTTGTAGCTGGTGATGGTTCAAAGAAAATTCGTGGGTGTTGGGATTCAATACATGTTGTTGAAGTACAGGAAAGAGGTGGTGGGAGAAATGCACACTACAAATTGACATCAACGGCTATGCTTTGGCTTCAGGTACTCCAAAATGAGTATTTCTGTATGAAACATGTTAATTGTTTGAAATTTTCCATGTTGCAGCAATATGTTAATCAGCTGACATGAAATATGATAACAACTGATGTTTCTAATTAGTTTATGATGTTTTTGATACATAAGAACTACAGTTTTAGCTTGCAGATTTTCTACCAAGTTAATGTTGAAGAATATTGCCTTGGTATCAGAGATTGTTTGAATGATGATCAATATTGCTGGAAGTTTATTAGAGATGACTGATAATATTGCTGTTATTGGATTTTCAAATTTTTTGTTCATTCTCGGTTAATATATTGATGTATTTGCTACATTTATAGTTCATATTTATCAACAAACTTGAGTAAAATCAGACAAATGAAATCCTATACATACACCATAACTAATGAATTTTTACTCAAACACACAGACCAGCAAAGAAGCATCTGGGACAATGAATTTAGGTGGCAGTCTCACAAGACAGGTAGTTTTTATGATTGGTTGTATTTTTCTACATATTGGTATCAAGGAGATTCAAAACCTGGATACCAAAATGCAATATTGGTCCTGCCTGCTTCAGAAAAGGCAACTCAGTTACCTAGCGAAACAAAACACACTTACCCAGGACTTCCAAAGCAAAATTCATCATTTCTCAGATAAACACATGAATGCACAAAAAGTACTTAATAGGATGAGGGAAAATTAGGCTTGTCAAAGTTAAGGCAGTTGCTTGTTAAGTCTTATTGATCGTTCAAGAAGCATATTGTTGCCTCAAACATCAAGCTATTAACAATAAAATCCAGATCAGATTTGCTGTACAAGAGTCAGTTGTAGGATCAATTTGTAGCAATATTTTATTGTCCTGGGTCCATCTGAAAGGAGGCTGAAGAGATCAGCACTTTTCAAATCAAACTTGGGGAGATGGGGGCAAAATTATTACTGTACTTCAAACACAGTCAGGCCTTAGGCTAGAAGATTAAACTTGGACCAGTCTATGGCTTATGGTAGCAACCCAAAAAATTCATATTGTGTAGGCCTTATTGTAAAATTGACCATTTTCTTTAGAAGTGAGTAAATTTATTTCCCTTTCCAAAATTTAAAAATCTTCAATTTAAAATTGTTCATTATTATCATCATCATCAATGGTTTTATGGTTTCGAAATTGGCATAGAAGAATGGGCAATGTTTAGAAATTTGTAGATTAAACAATTTTATTGTCAGTAGGTTAAACAGTTTTAAAAGGCTTTTTATTATTTCAAGGCCTTTCGATTCCCAAAAATTGCTGCTCCAGCTAACAATTTTCTTTACTTATGTATGTTTCTTTCATAGAATTAAATGTTTTAGCCATTGGTCCACTAAAGAGAACGTTTCTATAAAATTTGGTTAAAATGTTTGATGTGGAAATCAGCAGATAACTTGCTCGGATTTTTTGTAACTATTTAAAATAATGACGATGGCAGTTTGTTTTAACTGGTCTCTGTCATTTATTTCCTGATAGATTGAAGCTGATAGCCCAGTCAATGACGCAAATCCCCACATCGTAAACATTGGTCGCATGGTCGAGGTAGGTTGCATCTGCAAGGTCTTGTCATAAGAATTAAAATTTTATCAGCCCCACTAGGTTCAGGGTTTTTTTTTCAAATTTGGTTGTTCAATAAACGTTTATTCTGTTTTGCCCTTGACTTAGAACGTTTTACGTGCTTGCCATTTCTACCATTGAATGTAATACCCCTTCCTTAGAAAATGTAGTCAGGTCAAGGCATATTTGCATTGAAATGACCACTTGCAACTTATTAACATACAAAGGTGTAGATTAATTAACTCAACGACTTAAAGCACAAACTTTGAATTGCAAAGAAGAGAAGACAACTGTACATTAGCTATAAATTGCTTAACGGAATTGGTTACACAAACAAACAAGACTTTGTTTAGACGGCGTACATTAGGGCTGCAAGTAGTTCCTCTCAGAAAATTAAGTCTAAATGAAAAGCCAAATTGAAAAATTTCAAGTATATAAGTAATTTGTTTCCGAGTTTTGTGGAACTATCAGCGAATTCGCAGCGAATTCGGTGCGAAATTCGCCTCGTTGAAATCAGCCTTTAGGCTGTTGTTCATCGATATCTAGATTACTGATTACTTTTGTTCATCAATATTTAATGACAATTTCTGTTTACTGGTCTGTCATAAAGTGCTTGCTGCTGTATAGGCAGAAATGCGCACGTTCTGCACGTGCACCATAGGAGATATCTAAATTTAACTAGGATTTTTGTAAGCAAAGCCTTGATATAGGATTTGCTTTGAGGTCCAGGTGATAACGATTTATAAATTGTGAAGTTTCGTCATCTGCTAAATTTGCAATAACCAAGTCAGACGCACTTCATCATCTGCCTATTTTGCACTATCAAACCCTCCCATTTGCTTGAACTTTTTATTGAAAGACAACCTTCACAACACACTTATCTGTCTATAAAAGAAGGGCGAAATATGATAGGACTTAGTGCGGAATAGAAACACAAAAATGTCACTTCGTCAGGTTTCCATTTTGATAAACAGAAAGCTTTATGCTTCAACTATCTGGTATAAAAAATGTTAATAAGAATTATTTCATTTTATGACTGATGTAATCTTCCACCAAACTGTATTTAGCGCATTCCTCTTTCTCGTAAAAACATTAAAAGGCTTAAAAAGAGAAATATTTTACAAGCACTGCAGTTCTCTAACAAACTGATTTTACTTTCTTCTGTTGTGTGTGCGAGAATGTCAGGCTAAAGAAATACATAGTCTAGTTAGTTGTGAGGACCTCTGTGAAACCCCCTTTTTAATAAAGAAAGCTACAAGAACTGACTTACCCCCGGAAACAGGAGTCTTTTATTAGTGAATGAGAGACATTTGGAATGTGGAGAATATCGCGTAAGAAGTTGTAATCACCTCTGATTTATAAAGATTCGCGTTGGAAAACAATTTTTTGTTTTATGTACATGTTACTTTGTTTCCAATCTGATTGAATTGCACTGAACCGGGCCGGATAGTAATTAGGTTTTTAGATCTTTTATCTTTTCATAACATCGTTTCGTAGCATGGATATATGTAATGATGCATATTACCATAACAATAATGGTTGGTATGGTACTCCTGACAGTTCCCTTTTAAGCATTTCTCCCCATTATTTTTCCGGCCTAAGCTGCATTTTCATTTACATCTGGACCGGATAAGAGTTGTCAGCCTTGCTCTGCGTACATTTTTGATGTTTTCCTTTAATCAAAAGACTTTGTAAGTGCATTTTTTCACTCGCTCGTGCAGTTAGAGATTTGTTTAAAATTGCTTTTTACTCTGGCTTATTTTTTCAGGACATGGAAAACAAAATGCGAAATACTCTTAATGAAATATATTTTGGTAAAACTAGGGACATCGTTGCGTCACTCAGGTATGCATACAGTTTTGTCTTCTGACGACTGCCTCTCCGCTATCTCTTTTCTATTTCATGTCCAAAATACAACCAACTCTACCACGTGCTACGTCCCCGATTATGAAAGATTTTTTTTGAAATAGCCAACACTGTTTGAATTTACGACTACAAATTGACATCGGTTCCATTTCATTGGAGGGGAATCCATATGGGGAGGGGGAGGCAACGATAACGGGCGGGGCTAAGGGAAGGGTGAGCTGCTTTTCATGCCCATTTCGTATTTTCAAGAAAGGAAAGAAAACATGGTTTGGCAGTCATTTGGAAAGGCAACTGTTTAGTTCCATGAATTTGTTTAAGTTTGTTCCATGATTGTAGTTCATGTAGTTCTTTATCTTAAAGATGGGCCTTGATTGGTATTTGGTAATGAATGGTAAAATTTGAATGTCTTCTTCGGTTTTTGTTAAGCAAACATGCAATTGTTAGGTACATGAGCCTAGCTTGAAAGGATTTTTTTAAGATATACGAAACAGGTTATGAAAAGAAATTGGGCGAATGCATTGGTACAAGTTGCCGAACGGCTGATATTGGCGCTGCACGTGTTCTCAAATTGTTCTGTACAGAAAAACGGTTGCTTCTTTTAAAGTAATCATTGTGAAATTTAATCTCTTACTACTCGTTAAGTTTTGTTTGAAGATTTAAGATAGAATGTCAGAGGTAGACGGCATTAAAATGGGTACTGTTTCTTCTATGTAATTGAAAATTTTGACTTTATTTGCAATTTCTTGCTTTGCTTTTTAGAATTTTGTCCATCATCATCATCATTACATTTACATTTAACAACCCTTTGGGTCATACAAATGTCTGCCCAGTCAACTACAACATTAAAATTTTAAAATTTACTGAGGTGATTTCGACAAAGGTTGTAAAAGGTATCCGAATTTGCATGCATCACAATACTGTCTGGCAGGCTATTCCATACAAAAGCGATTGAATAAAAAAATGAAAACCTAACTGCATCAACCCTCTCGAATTTAGGCATGATCTTCAATGAGTTAGAGTTCCTTGTCATTGAACAAGTTGCAGGGGAAAAGAAAACGTTTGGGTCCAAAGCAACCTGATTTGTAAAAATTTTATGAACATATTTCAGTTGGAATAGTAATCTACGTGATTCAAGTGATTCAAGTGGAGCGTCCGTATCCTTGTTTGTTTTTATTCAAAGTCATCTTACCTTTGGCTATCTTTTTTCACACTACATGGCAACTTTTTCGCGTCTCAGGTCCGTCAACAGCCTTGGTGAGCAGCAGAAACAGAAGGACTTACAGGCGCAGCTGTTCCAGAACCTGAAAGCGAGGCAAAAGAAGTAAACGAAGTTACTGTGACATTTTTTCAGTTTTTGGTCACTTAGATTTTTATTTCTCCTGTCGTATAATTGGTGCGTGATGTATTTTTGTAATACAAGTTTCATTTCCTAACGAATTGTAGCCAATTGTAATAAATTGTTTCCCTAGAAATTTTGTTTTCTTACAGGTTTAAAATCTGTTATAACCTTGATGCAAAATTAACAGAATACTCCATAAGTTGAACACGAATTTATAAACTTGGTTTGATGCCTTCCTTTTTGATTTGCTAATTTTGGTCTTGAAGATGCATGTATTGTAGCAATACCGTACAATCGCACACAATGCCATACAAGGCCGTACATAGAGAGGAATCAGGGCAAAGGGGGATTGCCTCCCCCTCCCAAAAATTTTGGAAGATGGGTTTTGATACTTGTTTGTCATTTGCATCTAAGCATTATGGCCAACGAGGACGCGAAAGACCGAAAACTAGGTTTGCTGAAAACATGAAAGAGAATATGGGTTAAAGGGGTCTTGCTGAAATCCAAAAGATCGTGACTTGTAGAGAGCCACAGCAGATCAAAATGAACCTTGTTACTTGAGAAATTGGGGTTCCCACATCAGATTTTCAAGGAGCTTAATCACCACCTCCTTGTTTTTGAACAAACTAATAGAACCGCAGTTTTTACTACCTTACACTGTGACAATAACAATCTTAACGCTTAGCTTGTTAACCTTACAAAAAAGAAAGAAATGCTCTTTGCTGCTAAGAACATATAACAAACAATACCAATATACCAAATCGCCTTGCACAAACTTACTGAAGTATGCAACCTCTTAAATTACCTCTTATTTTATGCAAAGAACTGTAAGGGCAGAAATTTTAGTAACCAACCCTTACGCTGCGTCACATAGACAGGATTACAAACAACACATTTTTGGATCAGCATAAAGTACTAAAAGTTTCTCAATTTGGCATCCAAATTTTTGCGTTTTTGTACTAAAAGTTTCTTAATTGGTTTCTTAATTTTTGAGACCTAAAATGTCCTTATTCTTGTACATTTTGGGATTAATATAAACACAAATCGTCACGAAAAACCCATGCAGGTCAAAATACAAAGTATGCTTTTTTAAACGGAAATTTCACAGTTTTTTTATTTTTTTCTTGAGCCTGGAACTGAAGTTTTCAACCTTTGGCAATCCTAGTACTAGTTTCTTATGAACAAAACAAATTGTACTAAAAAGGCAGCCTTGTTATGAGAGGATAGCGGAATCGTAAAAATGAGAATTGCCTTAAAGTGGTTTTGTTTTAACGTATTAGACAAATAGCTGTTTCCTTTCTTAAACATTTCTTTTCATTTCTTCAATTGGTCTTCCTTCTACTTCATAATCTGTAACATAACAAATCAATTAATTCCTAGCTTCTGAATCCTCACATGCACCTCTGATCTTTGAAAGGCACTAAGTATACGAGTACAGAAATCAATTGCTGTGTAAACATTTAGACTACCTCTAGAGATAATTGGTTGCCTTCTTACGTAAATATTTGTAGCCTGTTGATATTTTCTACACCCTAACCAGGGGTGCTTGATTTGCTTTTAAAAGAATTCTTCACAATTTTTAATTGCGGAGAAATTAATGTAAATCAAACAGTTTTATATCCAGATGATAAAAGAACTCCAGCATAGTTCGTTTTTCGCCCAGAGGAGATGCTTAAGTGCTTTGAAACAAACTCAAAAGCTGGCCAATAAAGGACAACTGCAAAACAGAAGCACTTTAAGCGCGCTGCACAACTTTAAATAGCTCAGCCAAAATGATCATTAGGACATATTTTGATGTGATATGTGACTTGAAAACAATTATTGTATTTGTTAGAGGGAAAATCTAATCTTCCTGTAGTTGATAGAAACGTCAAATGAACGCCAACAAAAGATCACGAATTCGAAAACACGATAGGAGACCATGCACAACTTTTCACGCTGCTACTCATTTACAAGACTCAATCGACCCATGATGGCTTTGTAACTGATTTTGCAGCATGCAAGGTTCATATTTACAAATTTCTACTTTTTGAGATTAGATTGTAAGTTTTGATAACTATACTGCAAAGGAGAGTACTGTTATGTACTAAAGAAAACTGAATTTCAATTATTTTGGTGACATTCAGAACTAGATTTCTCAAGCTCAATATTCCGGATACATTTATTTCCGAGCGAGAAAATTTCCCCATGGTCGAAGCAGGATGTCACACAATTCAATTCGATTGAAACCAGCTTTTTTTAAGTTTATCTCATAGGTTAATGCTGTTCTAACTTGAGCACACAGAAAATAACTAAAGTAGAGTTTTTTTAGTTCAGATCATGTGCTAGATTCGTGCAACGTTTATGGCGTCGCGTTTAAAGGAGCATGCTTGAAGACTTGAATAAAATGTCTGAAAGGTTGTAGATTAAAAAGGGGCCAGACAAGGCTGTGTGCTGTCGCCTATTGTATTCAATACTAACACAAAAATGATAGAACTGTAGTTAGCAGTAGAATTATACAGTACAAGTAAAATAAGGTCCTTCTAGCGGATACTGAAAGCAAACTAGATAAAGTTATGGAAACTAGTGTTGGTAGCGAAGGAAAAGGAACGAATAAGGATACGTTTAACGGTAATCACAATTAAGGTTGAACAAGTAAAAAAGCACAAATGACCCAGGACAGCTACTCAAGGAAAGTAAACAATGTGATCAAGGCATATTGCAGAGAATTCAGATAAAAAATTTACCTATGACAAATGGTTTTGAGATCGACTGACACAATTCATGTTCATTTTGATTACATTCTTTTTTATAAGGAAACACTTTATAAAAAACCTACATGTAGAAGGCAGAAAGATTGAAGAACCGTTAGTCGTAAAGACAAAATCCCTGAGGCACTTCAATTTTGAATATTTTTATCATTACAAACAATGAGGAATTAGGGAGCCGGTTCCATTCCTTTGGATTCCACAATCACATAGTCTCGACCAGGGTACATATTTGACATCCCAGACAACCCTGCTGGCTCCTTTTGCGCTGTTTAGCAAGCAGACCTCCCCCCCTACCCCAGCCCTCTAGAACACATTATTATGCAATGTAGCTCGATAGACAAGTTCGTTCAACATTAAAATGTATTAAAAATTAGGATTTCCCAGTTTTCATCAAAATCCTTTCTTTACTTTAATTCTCGGCAGCACTGTCGGTAAATATCATAATGAAATGGCATATACAAGCTGTCGCTTTTTCTGTGGAAAGATAAGACGAAGACAAAGACATTAGAGACATCAGATACCCGCTCCCTCCAGGGAGAAATGTGACAAAGAGATACGGAGATAATCATCTTATGACGTCAGCGAATTTGAAATCTTCTGCTTGGGTGCAGCTATTGTTAGGGACGCATGTTTCTTCAATGAAAAAGAAGGAAAGCACTATTATTCGTGTTACAAAATAAATTGAATTGACCTAATAATCTTGTTAAAGCTCGTACGTGCAAGGAATAATGTAGTTGTCGATGCTAGGCAGTCCTAAAGGAGACCTTAGGCCACAACCAGCATCAAGTGAGGAACGTTATCTCAGGTAACTTTAACTTATTGACAATTGAATATCGTTTTACCGTCCACAACACGATTCATCCAGGTTTTACCGGCTTTATGCTACCGGCTTTATGCTACCCAGTAAACAGCTAACAATGCCCAAATGTTTAAAATTCCCATCTAACCATTGAATTCAACTCTTGAATGTAGACTACCACAGATTGTCAGATTTGATATAATACGGGATTCATGATACTGTTACGTTTGATTGAATTCGTCTTTTTGGATGTTGGGATCAACCGGTAAGGGTGAACTTCTTTATGGCCTGATGTTAACTTCTAGAAGCAGCAGTGTCTTTTTATTGAAGTGCTCAAAGTTGTGAGGTGGGTTGGGGGTCCACGTCTGTTCCTCAATGGGTCTTGCGTTGAGAGCCAAAGGGTTTCTCCATGTATCTTGCAAAACATTAGGTACATTTGTAAACTACTATATCAAACTACTGCAACACTTTTCGTGCGATTTATCGCCAGTTATTACCAAAATTTTTGCTTCTAAGTGTTTTTTGCTTTACGGACAATGGCATATGATAGCTGAAGCATTACTTTCTGTCGTAATATTTGAAAAACTGGCCTTTTGACGAAAACGAAACACTTGTTGGTACTGACCATAGAGATCCATTTGAATCTGACCCTTTCTTTATTCCAAATACTGGTTCCTTGGTACAATTCGCATCGAAAACTCTTTGAATATCGCATACCAGTGAAAAGAGTGCGGCTTTTGCAACATCATACAAATTGCCTCTATGAAATATTTGCTGAGATTTTTCAACATCAATAAGCAAAAAAGGCTGTGATTTTTCAACAATCAATTTCAAGGGATCATTTAAACGTGGAGAGTGAGGGTTCATTTTTTTTATCTTTCTAAGCCTTTTCATGTCTGTAATATTGACATGAAAATTTAATTTTTTTGGCGAAGACTAAATTTACGTAGCAGAATTGTAAAATCACTGGTCGGTTGAGAGAATGCGCCGATCTTTTGCTCCCGCACATCCAGGCACATGCATTAGCTATTAGACGTATTAAGAAACACGGATGCTAGCCTGTATTTCATTTATTGAACTCAACTGCCAGCTGTTAAACGAGAACATGGAAAGTTTTCTAGTCTCTTTTTCTGTTTCTTGTGGACAACAATGGCAAGGAACCCTAGGCAACTGCCCCCTCCCTATGTGGGGGAAGATGCCAATGGCTCTTCATCAGTACCCATTCTTAGCAATGCTCCACGCCATCCAGATTTTCGTATTTGTAACCAGTCAGCCATCTTATTTGCAAAGAATTCACGACAAACTTAAGATTAACGAAGGAATATATGACTGGCTAACCTACACATCTATTAATAGGCAAACAATCATGATAGAATTCTCTTCTGTCATCTCTCCTGTCACCAGACAGTGCATAACGTTGTGTCCTTGGATATAGAAATTGTTTTCAGAACAGTGGAATGTATGTCTGTTGATTCTTATTAATATCATAAGTAGCAATCTCTTTAAGAAGCGATCTCGGATCAGTCCCGCTTATCTTACCCATGGTCATTCCCCAAGTTGGCCTTTGATGAACTATATGATGACTAACAAAAGGGGGTTGGTAGCAAGATCTGAATTATATGTTCAACAAGCTACCACTTTTGCAATACGTGGTCGCACTAAATGAGGAAATAGTCTCATGATATGAAAACTCACAAAACGCTTACAGGTTTAGATTAAGTGCACGGCATCAATTGTGATGCGGAATGCACACCAAAGTAACATAGAAATATAAAGGTTTAATTAAAATGACATAAAATGGAAATCTTGTCTGCAATTTTCTATCTATGGGAAACAAGGTCCCCTGAAATCACCATAACAGTAGTTCGGCGAAAGGCTTTTATTATCAAGATTTTATTCAAAGTTGATTAATATCTTAGTAATACTGCTGTTTGATGTCGAGGAAAGGATCTGAGTAGTTCAAAAATGAACTGCTGTTAGAAAACTTGCAAAGGTATTTAATCGATACGTTCTTGTGACTATATTTTCTTCAAAAACAACAAGGCCTATGTTTGTCAAAGATGTCTCCAATCTTTCAAATTTTATTCATGGTTGATACTTGACATAGACGTAAGAATCGTTAATATGTTTACAGACGTTGATGTCTGGTATTCGAGTAATCTTCAAGGACAGTTCAGAAGATCCAGGAAAATATCCTAATCCTTTATAGACTCGGTTCAGGTACAGAAGACATGATCCAATAGCCAAGGTCAGGTTACTTTTACCGTCTAAACAGACGCTTTGGATCAATCGTGTCGAAAAGTGATATGTTACTTTCCCTGTTTCTATGGAATCTGTTTGATTAGATATTAAGTTTCCAAGTGTCTTAAATCATATATACTTTGAAAGGTAGACGACACTTACATTTCCATAGTTACAAACTACAGCTCAATGGTCCAGGCTGCATCAGGTTTTCACAAAAGCAATACATGGGGGGGGGGGGAGATGTCCAGGATCACAGGGTGTTTATTGATATGTGACACTAAATAAGGCAAGATGGTCCTTATTTAGATTGTCGTGTCCTTCATTATATATTCCTATCATAAGATACCGTAAATCCTCGAATTAGCCCCCAGGGGCTTATTTATTTTTGATATTTTTGGATGGGGGCTTATTCGAGGAGGGCTTCTACGAGGGAGGGGAGGGGGCTTAAGAAATTATTGTAGACATTAGGAAGACATTGTTAAAAGACCGCATGCTCAACCTAAAATGGTGAACTTTTTCAAAAATTCATATTTTTTTGTATATTTTAAAAAACTAGAGTAGGAATACAGCTATACAGGGAAATGCTAGATTAATGCTGCTGTACAACAAAGTTGTACAGTATAGTACAGTATAAAATAATTCAAAATAATGAAATGATTAAATAATAAAGGCTGAGTCAGAAATGTCATCAACTGCTTTTGGCTGAGCAATAGGTTTTCCTATATGTTGCTCTTAATACCCTTTACATTTCTGAATACTATCAACAACCATTTGTTGGAGTCACTGTTAAAATTTTTGTCCTTTTCCCCCAATACTGCAGAGATCATAATAGCTTAGGCCAACATCATAGGGGTACCACGATAAAACATACTTCCTACTAACTTACGTCACTTCGTAGTGAACAACGAACGTTACATCAAGGAGATGAGAGGGAGGCTGTTTTTGACCTTGCAAATTCACAGTAGTGTTATACTGTTATAGTCCAGCTGTTATCGACCACAATTGTGCACTTAAATGATTAAAGCATGAAACTTTCCAGAATAGCTAATGAGTTACTCAGTAATCATATCTGATATAGTGCCAGTCGGTATTGTGCTCGAGATCCGAGAACTGCGCATGTCTGTATGGAAACGAGGCTTAGAATAAAGTACTCCCTAATCACTTTATATTTTGATATTTTTGTTTGAAAAACTTTCTGCGATATGTGCAATATGCAAGGAAGCAATCTAATACATATCCGAGAACTGCGCATGTCAGCACGAAAACGAGGCTGACATGTCAAATTTGGCGCGAACAAGAAAATGATGTCAGCATGTTTCTCTTGTAAATCAAAATTTATTCTTGGGAACGATTCAGCAAATAAAAGGTTATTTTTTCGAGCGAGCTAGGATGCCCTACTTATTGATGTAGTGGTCACGACATGACACATTTGCTGAATCCGTTTGAAGAGGAAGGAGAATATTTGCTGGCGATTCATACCAAAGATGTCAAGTCTAATGAAGTGATCGAGACAGTTCGCAATGCTAAACGTATTGGTGAAGAACATTTCAATCTGTTTTTGAAGGAGCGATTTGTTGAAAAAAGCAAACCTGTTAGCCATCCCATAAAGAAGATGTGCCTATCAATCTTTGATACGCCAGAGAAAAAGAAAGTACCCGCAGATAAAGCTAAGCTACATGTTCTTCAACAAGACTGCTCTCTGTTTTCACGTCTTTATATAGCATGCCAATTCCGCGACGGAAATCTAGAAGATTTCTTCAAATATGAGAATCAGCCATGGCCCCCTTCACTTTCCCAATTTGGCCAGCTCAGAGAAGGCCAAAAAGCAGACCTCATTAACTGCTTAACAAGCCTATCAGCACAAGTTCCGACTACGACCAAACCATCTGTTGATGCAGTCATTATTGATGGTGCTGTCATTGTCCAGATGCTACAGCCTAAAACTGTGCGCTCATTCGATGAATATTTCACAGCCATATCCGCCCCTTACATTCTGAGAATACTGCAAAATTCCTCGCGAATTGATCTAGTATGGGATGTTTACAAAGTGGACTCGTTGAAGAAATCACTGCGAGACAAGAGAGGTTCTGGGCAACGTCGGAAAGTGATGGCCTCAACAAGAATCCCGACAGATTGGAAAGGCTTTCTTAAAGTAGATGAAAACAAAGACGAGCTGTTTAAGTTTCTTGCAAACAAGGTTAGCAATTCTTTGCAATTCTGAACAATACTTTTCTTAATAATGTTGATGATGCTGACATATGCTTTTAGTTTCTGACAATAATTTATTTCATATGTTTCAGTTGGTTTCATTGACGATTCCCGACGGTAAGGAGATCTACACCACTTACGGCGACGATGTTTTATGGCTCTCTAGTACTCAAAGAGATGTAGATTACCTTGTGCCCTGCAGCCATGAAGAGGCAGATACACGGTTAATTGTTCATGCGCGTGATGCAACTTTAAGCGGACACCGCCGGATACTCATCAAAAGTAATGACACAGATGTTGTTGTGTTAGCCGTTTCAGTTGCTGGTTTTATTCAAGCTGATGAGGTCTGGGTTACTTTTGGCTCTGGCAAGAATATGCGGTATATCCCTGCACATATAGTTGCAAAATCTTTAGGCACTGATAAGGCATCAGCTTTACCAGTTTTCCATGCTTTAACAGGGTGCGATACTGTATCATTTTTTGGAGGACGTGGGAAAAAAACAGCCTGGGAAATATGGAAGATCTTTCCTCAGTTAACGCCTGTCCTGATGACCCTAAAAGCTGCGCCAACAACAGAAGCCCTCAGCAGTCTCATGCCACTGCTTGAGAGATTTGTGGTTCTGTTATATGATCGTACCAGTAGCCTTAACAGAGTCGATGAGGCGCGGCAGGAGCTCTTCTCAAAAAATCAAGGAGTATTGATGGCATCCCTCCTACGCAAGCAGCCCTCCACGAGCACGTTAAAAGAGCGGTACATCAAGGAAGTTTTGTTTGGGGTCAAACGCTTCTGAAACAGCCTATAATTCCAAGTCCATCAGAATGGGGATGGCAGCGACAGGGCGTTATGTGGACACCATATTGGACAGAATTCCTTCAGGCAAAGGATACATGCTATGAACTAATCCACTGCAAATGTAAGGGGCCATGCAGGGGTCGCTGCAAATGTACAAGAGCTAATCTGGCATGTACGGGACTCTGCAATTGTGGGGGCAACTGCCAACAGTAGTTTGTCTATTATGTATGCTAGTTACCTTCAAAGTTCGTTACTTTATAGTTAGAATTGTAAACAAGATAAGCAATACCCATATAAAAAGTAGCTTGCTTACATACACATTTCGCAGAAAGATTATCAAATAAAGATATCTAAATATAAGGTGACTAGGGATACTTAAATCTTAGCCTCGTTTTCATAGAGAAATGCGTTGCTATTGGAATTTGCTATTGGATCCATAGCACAATTACATACTGGATATATCACAGAAAGTTTTTCCAACAAAAATATCAGTGATAAAGGCGTACTTCACTGTAAGCCTCGTTTTCGTGCTGACATGCGCAGTTCTCGGATATGTATTAGATTGCTTCCTTGCGTATTGCACATATCGCAGAAAGTTTTTCAAACAAAAATGATTAGGGATTAGGGTGATTTGATAAAGTGATTAGGGAGTACTTTATTCTAAGCCTCGTTTCCATACAGACATGCGCAGTTCTCGGATCTCGAGCACAATACCGACTGGCACTATATCAGATATGATTACTGAGTAACTCATTAGCTATTCTGGAAAGTTTCATGCTTTAATCATTTAAGTGCACAATTCTGGGTGTTTTTGGTTGTTAACAGCTGGACTATTAGCATTTATTGGTCCATAACCTTAAAGAAACCATTCTAATGCCATTCTACCTCTGAAAACCTATCATGAACACCTATTGTATTTATTTATCTCTAATAATTTCTTCCTTTCAGAACACCGCAAGCTTTTTACAAGTAGCTTCAGGAACTTCAAAGCTTCAAAATCTATTTATTGCATCTTATTACCCAACTTTTTACGCCACATCACGTTGTCATAGCTGAAACAGTATGGAGATTGCATTCAGGAAGATAAAATCGTGTTTTATGCCTAGCAGTTCATTACAGGCAGTTATTTGGTGACAAGGAAGCCCTTTTACATTCCAAACCGTCTTTTTCTGGTTGAAAACAGCTTCCTTGCCTAAGGATTTACATAGGACCAAGGCAAATAATTTCACTTGGGTGGCTGTATATCACATTTGTATGCGCCAGGCCTGTTGAAATACAAAATGGCAGGTTCGAACACAGACCGGAGCGATACTCACCGAATGCTTCGGGAGCAAGCTTCGCGCGTTTATTTACAGACGATTGCAGCGAACGAGCGTGAAGACCGGATTCTCAACAAGAAGCTTGACGCTTTAGACCTTGAGCACCGCGCGCAATTTTTAAAGATGAAAAGGTGGATTCAAGATGCTCATGTCCATCGTAAAAAGCGGCTGAAGAAGATGCAGTCAAATACCAGCTACCTCAGCGAGAAAAATAATCTTCATGACGTTGAAAAAGAGAGGCGCGACGGGGTAAAAGTGGCCCGTAAGGAAAGAAAACCTGAAGTTGCAACAGAGAGCTCTTCAGATCTTGCGCGAGTTCTTGTCGACGAGGGAACGAAAGACGAAGCAAAATTCGCCAGATCAACTGACAAAAATTCAACGCTTCAAACTTACAAATCAAGGCGAAGGTGCTCCTCTCTATTAAAAGACCGTGTTAAGTATACAGAAAGCGAAGTTGCTCACTTGAAGGCGTCTTTTGCGGGACAAAAATCACCGCCTTCATTGCGACGCAGGACGTTTTTGCCGCACCTGCAAACGGACGCTAATATACCATTTGGAATTACGACCAAGCGGAAAAATCGTGCCACACGTCAAAGGAAAAAAGACACTAAAAATGATAAGATACTAGAAACAAGATTAAGCGACCTGCATTTGGAAGGAACAGTCAAGGAAAGGCTACCAAAAATTTCAGTACAAGAGAGTAAAGCATCTTCATTAGAGTCCTAGAACTTTTCTTGGTTTCATTGTAAATAAAGCTAGAACAGACAAAGTTTTTCATCACCAACTCTTCTGGTTGCAAGAGCTTCGAACAAGAAAAAATTTAAGAAACAAACCAATGAAATTCTCTCCCTTTTTCCTCTTTGGCTTATCCTTGTTGTCTTAGTTTCTTTCTACGAAGACTTTGCACCGTTTTACAGCATGAGAATCTTTTGTATTTTAGATAATAATGCATGATATTTTGCCCGTATCTTTAAAAACCTTTAATGTAAAAAGTCCATTGCTGTATATGTCTTTCTTACTTAAATCAGATTTTTAACCTTTTATAATAAGAATATAACGATTTGTTTATAAATTTCCATTGTCAAATTTTGAATTTGTACTTTCAATCTAAAAATGTTTCTTTGTTGTTACTTTATACCCAAATTTCATCGTAGAGTTACGGCTTGCCGATGTAGCTATCTGCCTTGATAATTTGAAAGCGCGCCGGGCTCGTGGGGTGGGGGTGTGTTAGGGTTGAAGCCCCCTCACCTTTTTGCTGAAGTATGATGTTAATGTTTTGGCGTCAAAAATGATAGTGGAAAAACTACCATAAAAGTTTGCTAATTTGTCTAGAGCTCCCCCCCCCGCCCCCACTCAAATTTCTGTTCTGGCGTAGCTGATTCATAACACCGAACTAAGCTGATTATTCATATAAATAAAAGCAAATATTAGATGTCTGCATTATTGCTACAACTTCTAGAATAACAAAGAAGAATTACCAGTCTGCATTACTATTCTTTAATTTTTATTCAACATGACTTCACATGCTGCACATGTTGCTAATACATTGTTTGGTATCATGTTTGCTATCAAGAAATTATGTCATGTTTATCATATTATTTGCCGACTATTAATTGCTATGACCTTGCTACCATCTCTCCGAGGACTGCACCTATTACCCTCTCCCAAAACTTCTCAGCCTCTGGCTCTGCTAAGATAGCCAAAGACTTAATTCTCGGTTAACATGGAGTAACAGGTTTGAAAAACTCACAAACAGATCAAGCCTAGGAATTTACATGGATGAAACCCTTTTTCCTTTGTTTATCAATCAGCTTAATCAATGCTTTCCTGGTTAATCCAGGCTCCTTCTAAAGCCAAATTGCATCATCCTAGTTGCAATCAATGCCAACTATCTTCCTTTTTCCATTCATTGGGAAATCTTTGAGATACACATGCCCATTCAATGCGTCTTCATAATCAAAACACATGACACTCTATAGCAAACTATGTGGTCAAATTTCTCGTGCTCTCTCCATTGTGCTTGCCACACTTTTGCAACTTGTGGTGCCACCACGCCTTCGTCGAAAGTTTGTTAAATCTGTCTCAAATAAAAGCCAAGCGAGCGAACTTTCATATAAAAAATTCATCAAAAGGCTTGAAAGAAGTGGAATTTAGAAAAATGTCAAACTAAAGGGATTGAGAGCAGCTTTTATTGAAACCATCCAATCGCTAGCTTTATTATTTACAAATTTTTCTTTGAGATTGAAACAAGAGTGGATAAATTTAAAATTTTCTTTTCAAGAGACGTTCTACCAAACGTCTTGCAACAACATTTCAAAATAAGCTGTTACTAGTTTATCCTTGCATCCATTTGCTTTTAACTTATTGAATAATGGCATAAAATAAATAGGTTTTTCGCAATTAATTTTTCACTGTTTCACGAGCAAATTTTGACAAAAAGACCTAGGCTAGATAAACTTTACCCTGGGACGCGGAATTTTGAGCGCGGAAATTAAAGAGAGGAGTGAAGAAGCGGAGGAGCCTTCTTCTCAGCTAGACGCTCCTCCGCTTCTCTGCTTGGTTTTCTATCTATGCGCCCGAAATTGTGTCCTTCTGGTACCCAGGGTAACGTTTATCTATTTATACAGTCAGTATAAATTTGAAAACATTTATATTGATATCTTTAGCGTGAATATGTAGATTGAGATAAAAAATTTTTCCAACAAGCACCTTAGTCGTAGTCACTGTTTCTGAATAGCAAATGTGAAGAAATTTCAAGTTTTATATTCACGACCAATTTACTTTTGCTAATCTTTGTTTGATGAATGTTAAAGTGACCTTTCAGCCTTACAATGGTGAACTGGCTGACTGCCCTTGTTCACACGTCATAGCAGGTCCCAATTTGAAGCTCGGAAACTTGTGTACTACTTTACCTAAACCTTCTTCAAGGATCGATTTTCTAATTTTTTCAAAATCAACAAGATTACGGCGGGTAGAAACTTAGAAACCCTTGTTCAGATCAGTGTAGAACTGCCATGACAAAATAAAGCTTGATAGTTTTGTCGATGAATCTAGAACTACTGGTTGCCGAAACTTCCACTCTGAATCGCATGAAGAATACATTTTGATTATATGATTTGTTGACAATAAAGCCGAGGATCTAAGACTGTTTTATCGTTGCTTTTCTTGGAATATCTTTACAGCCTTTCAAACGTTTCTACGCAAGCCCTCCGATCCCCAGCCCCCCCCCATATTTTGGCCTGCGCCGCCCATAGAGACAGGTTGGTGATGACTAAAGACAAGGTATCTGTATTCTTTTATTTGAAAGAACAAACTTCAGTTGCTGGGTCCATCCATAATTTGACGATACTCCGTGTGTTAGTGTCTCTTAAAGGCCTGAAAGTCTTCGGAGATTTGGTGAGAGTCTGCAATAGTGGTAATTGAAGCTAAATTTGCCTTTCAAGTGGATACGTATCGAAAAAGGCAGTTCGTGTTTCAACTTATTCGTTGATGGTTGTGCAATAACAGGTCAATGTTTAAACAATTTGCTTTTTAGATTAACGTGATTTTACACTGATCTCTATCTTTAAGTGTGCTAATATCGCCAGATTACAACCACACTGTAACCTGTCCGTACATGTTCTTCTTTCAATATTATTTTCCTTCTAAAAGTTATTTCTGTAGACCAGTGTTAAACGTATACGTATGATAGGCCTATGAAAGTCAGTTATCCAAACAACAACTAATCCATCGATTCTCCTTTCTTTGATTGGCAGATCTTGGACCAATCAGAGCTAGTACTTGGTATGAGCTAGCAGTCACGTGCTTCCACATAAAATCCTTCTAGTGCCAATAAAACGCGAATTTTAACTTTCACTTGCTGCAAATGCAGGATTATAGATCAATAATGTTTTTATTCAGGACATCGTAGCCATATACAGTAGCGAGATACAATAGCAAGGTGTAAATGATGTTGCAATAAATACGGTTTTAGGTAGTATAAGGTGAGTGTGTAAAATATCTACCGTCTATGTTGCAACAAGTAGCAGACTCAACAAACCGACAATTTTACCTGCTTTTGCTCAGAAGTAGGATGCTAAGAAGCTACTCTG